AAATACAGAGCCAAGGAAATACAGTTTGAAGATTTGAATGATGGGTGTGTATGTCATTTGTGAAATATTTGGAATTTTAAATGTGTGTTTGTTTCGAAAAAATCACCCTAAATCGTGGAAAAGAACGGGGCAGAATTTTCTAAAAATACAAAATCAAGTGGTTGTGAATGAGTTCAAAAACCAGCCTCGAACCTAGAATCGAGGGCTTATGGTTCACTTTGGTTTGTAAACAAAAAGAAAAAGAGAATAAAAAGATGAGGGAGAAACGAGCCTAATGAATTTAATTCTTAATAGTGGGAAAAATCTCTAGCACCGGTAAATTATAGACGGTGCCGATGACGCGCTATTACATAGAGGAAAAAAGATATTAGCACCGACTAGACGTAACCGATAAAACGCTATGACACAAACCAGAAATATATTAGCGCCGACAGGGAATGCCTAGTCGATAGAACGATATAACAGAGAAAGACTGAATTCATTGAAGTAGAATCCATGAACTATTACCTATTTCTATGAAGGAAAATAGGCAAACACCTATCTATGCTAGGCTACATCTAAAAAGGAACGATAAAATACATGAAGTAAAAACTTTTTTTTTTTTGAAATGGTACATGTATTTATTAATTAAGGAATACCTAAACTATTACATCGCATTTTTGCATAGGCTAAGTTATGTAGATCCTTAACTACCGCCCGGCTGACTTTAAACAGTGAACAATCCCGAAAAGTAGACATTAGGGTACGTATATTAGCTATTATCTCCTGAGCTTCACACGGAAATTGAGAAATTTCCTGATCGGTGGTCAAGAGTTCACAGTCTGTGTAAATGTTGAGTCTTTGAATCCCCAAAGATGAGGCATCTTGTAATGTCTGTAAGCAGGTAGTAGCTTCTGCTTGGAAAGGGGACAGTGAATTGATAGAAACTGACTTGACCTGCATTAGCATCCCGGTGGATGAGATGATTCTCCAGGCTCCTGCTGCCTTTTTGTTGTGAGGGTTAAAGGATGCATCAAAAGTAATTTTTGACAGTGGTTCAATATTTCTCCTAGCAGGAGGGGGAGGTGGAGTCGAATCCGTATGTAACCTTGTTCTGGACAGCAATACCTTGTGTTGCTTAAGGTCCTGTTGGATTAATCTCCATGAGGTTACAGGATCGATTGTATGATTTCTCCACACCTTATTATTTCTGTCTAACCAAATACACCAGAAGATTAAGAGGAAGAGGTCAATATCATCTGAAGATGGTTGAGTTTGAATCCATGAGATAAACCAATCCAGTATGGAGGGCATTGAGCCATTTAGAATTGATAGGAAATTAGGATATGCAAAGCTCCAGACTGCTTGAGAAATTGGACACTTGAAGAAAAGATGAAGATTGTCCTCCAATCCTGTGAAGCACCTTGGGCATGTAGTATCAACCTATATTCCTCTTCTCACGAGTTCTTGTTTGGAAGGTAAGGCATTGAGTGCTGCTCTCCAAAAAAGGAATTCATGTTTGGCTTGTACTTTAGCATTCCACAGCTTCTTCCAAGCCAAGCTTTCAATTTGTGAAGGAACCTGTTGATTTGTTTGAGAAGGAAAGCTGAGAGAATCACGATTTAAGGCCTCATGATACCCAGATTGGACCGTATAGGAACCATGATCTGTCTTTTGCCACAAGAGTACATCCGGTTGCATGTGTCTTGCCGGATCCACATATATACTAGTTATATAGGGAATATATTGGTCTAGAAAAAAGGAACGGAGGAGAGACATTTTCCATTGTCCATTCGGCTGTAGAAGATCACTGACCATAAGATTAGAATGTTGAGCCAGAAAGGAATTGCTCTGAATAGGATTGGTGGCTCCTAGAATCCAGTTACTGGCAATCAGGATATCTCTACCACTAATAACCTTCCATTTTATGTTATTTTGAAGAAGTTTGGCTCCCCAGAGGACACTCTTATATCCGCATGTGGCATTAGTGGTTGGAGTCTTGTGTGGAAAATTCTCCATGGTGCAGTATTTTGCTCTGTATATCCTGGATAAAAGAGAGGTTGGTTGTGCCAATATTTTCCAAGCATGTTTAGCCAGAAGGGCTTGTTTAACCCTAAACCCTAAACCTTAAACCCCCATGGAACTGTGATCTGGCTATTTTCTTCCAAGATTTCCAATGAATACCTTTCTCCTGGTCATCTCCTTTCCATATTAAACAAGCAATGATTCCATTTGCTTTCTTTAATCTGGAGGCTGGAAGTTTAAAGACTCCCATCGGATATACCAACATAGCTAATAAAATAGCCTTTGCCAATGTAACTCTCCCAGAAAAGCTAAGAAGCTTTGTCTTCCAATCCGTAAACTTTCTATTAAGCCGAGCTGTAAACTCTTTAAAGATTTCTGTTTTTTTCTGTTTGAAATCTAAAGATAAACCAAGATATTTGCTCTGAAAATTACCTTCTGGAATGTGCAAAGTGTTGTGCACCAAGTCTTTCATGCTAGGAGATATATTCTGACTCAATAGAATGGAGGATTTTTGATGATTGATCCTTTGACCAGAGTATGAAGTATAATCCTCAATTAATCCAGACAGTGCATGTATAGAAGTATCCCTGAATTCTAAAAAGAATAGGCTATCATTAGCATATATTAGATGACTAATCCTTGGGGCCTGCTTACTGATCTTGATACCTAGCCCGGGAAACACTTGCAGCTCTGCCCTAATTGCTGAGGAAAGAGCTTGTTGGCATAAAATGAATAGATAAGGGGACAAAGGACATCCCTGTCTGAGACCCCTTGTAGGAACAAAATAAGGCAAATGTTCACCGTTGAACTGGATGGAGTATGTCACCGTTGTTACACAGTGCATGATTAGGCTGATGAGTTTTTGTGGGGTACCAACCTTTATGAGTACCGCTTTCAGGAAAGGCCATGATACCCTATCATAGGCCTTGCTCATATCTAATTTGATTGCTGCAACTCTTACATCACCCTCCTTCTTTCTGATGTATTCTATGACTTCATGTGCAAGTAAAATATTCTCACTGATATTTCTCCCTGGAACAAATCCATTCTGGTGCTCATCAATGAGTTCTGGCATAACCTACTTTAATCTGTTAGCAATCATCTTTGAAAGAATCTTATACTTCACATTGCAGAGACTTATTGGTCTAAAATCCCTTGGACTGATTGGATTAGGCAACTTGGAATTTAATGAAGTAAAAACTAAAAAGAAAGAAAATAAAAGACTCGATGATATAATGATTTATGGTGTGTCTCTTTGATGACCTCTTCGGCTCTTTTAAAGTAGAAATCCAGCCGCGCCTTTGTTGATTGAGGAATTAGAATCAAGTCAAATGCTTTCTATTTATTTGGAGAAGAAATACTGCCTTCACATGTTAATCAATTTGCCAACCAAACTCCATTTAAAGTAGGGAACTAATAATAATCAATTCTTGGCCAAATTAGACTCCAAATGGTCGTGGAATGTAGAACCGACGGAAATCACTTTTCTTCCTATCAATCTGATCATCAAGTGACCTTTTCCAATCCAAACCAAACTCCAAACCAAACTCCAATTTCTTTTGCACACCAAAAATATAATATTTTTAGGGTCAAACAATGCGGGAGAATTAGCAAATGATTAGATTACAAATTTCAAATTTGTACATCATGGTGAACTTCAATTTGATTCGTTTGTTAAGATAGATTTGGTTTGTTAGTTTTTTTTTTTTTTAAGAGAATTAGGACGGTACCTGGCAGGCATCTCCCGATTTTTAAGACTTACTCAAATCAAAAGAGACCGCCTATAAATTTTTATGTAACCCTTAAATAAGGGAAACAATTCCTATCTAAATATACTTTACCTCTTAATGTGGTTGAAAGATCCTCCTAAGAAAGGTATTGCAAAGTACTCCCCCATAACGATTTTCTAGTCAGATTATCTGCCACACTATTTACCTCTCGATAAATATATATGGTTTGTTAGTTTACTTTCTCTTTAAGTCTCAAAAGGTATTTAGTAATTAGCATTGGGCAACAAATTGAATAGTAATAATATTATGTTAGTTTACTTTCTCTTTACGTTTCAAAAGGTAGTAATTAGCATTGAGCAACAAATTGAATAGTAATAATATTATCTTTAATGTAAATTCTTTTAACGGTCTCTTCTTAATCCGCCATGCATTTTTTAATTTTTTAATTCATCCCGAAATCCATTTCCTCTAATATACAAGGACCATGCATTAAAATAAGATTTGCCGCTCTAAATGTAAAATAAGCTGATCTTATTTGGCCAATGTTTTGAAAGTTTCAGTTATGGGAGATTTAGAGTAAAGCCAAGAAAGGAATACAGCCCATAAAGAAGTGTCCAAATGGCCCATTCTCATTGTTGGTTCTTAAGAAATGTATTGGTGGATTAGTTACAATTTACAAGATGTGTTTCATCGGGGGAAAAATAAAACTATTGTATATGAAAAAGATATGCTATCAATTAAACTCAACAGATAAATTAGTCACTACTCACTATTGTCGATTATGATATGAAGGGGAAAAAAAAAGACAAAAAGAAATTAGATTGTTGTGCCGTATGAAATGGCAATTTTAACAGCAGTATAGTGTAATCTGGGACTAATTCAATAAATATTTTTCAAGGTGGAGTGACTGACTGAGGGGGTTAATTAAAATTAACAAACTACAAAAAGATTAAGTTCGGGAGATCCTTGGACGACGGAATTTACTCTAATCTTAGACTTTAAGGAATCATGAGCAAGCTAATACTACAAAGTTATGAGATGTATAGTGACAAAATTCAGAATATACAATGATCACACTTGAATACTTATATCCATCTCTACTTAATACCACTGATTTGCTTTTATGCTGGACTATCCGTATGAAATTAATTCGTTGGTTTGAACTTTGAAAGATCATTAATTATAACCATATTAAGAACAATGAATATGAGATTCTATTTTAATGTGTAAATTAAACTAGAAATGAGATGAATTAATTGAGATGTGTATCATTACTGTCAATATTACACATAATGATCTATGTAGCTGGATTAAAATAATGCCAAGTTGTCTTGAGTTTGACCTTGTCTACATATTTAACTACCAATTCTTATTTGTACATTAAAACCTTGGGAAATTCCACTTGTCCTAAGGAAAAAATTGAAACACCAGCAGTGGCATAGCCGGCCGAGATATGTATCAACGGAATCCACAAAAACCTTCAACAACATAGGGAAACATTTTACTTAGTATTCAGCCCTCAAACTCATCAACTCTTCTATTTCACACACAAACACACACACACACACACACACACATTCATCCTTTCGCATATATATTCCTCCTCTCTTGAATTTCCTCTAAATAGTGTTCACTTTGAAGGATACTTTGGGAGGTCGAAAATGAAGAAGAGCAAGTTTGTCCTTTGTTTTCGACCTCCTCTCGTGATCGAAACTAAAGAGAACATTGATGATCACAGCAGTGCATCTTCAGATTGTAAAGATATCATTGTTGCTAAGAAGGTAGAGAAGAACAATGGAAAACTACCACCAACTTTGATGATGAGTCCTCCTCCTCCTCCGCCTCTTTTGAAGAATAACGGCGCCGTTCGAATCCCATCTTCCGGTCGAACCCGAACCCGAAAAGGTTCAAGAAAAACCCTTTCCAAGGTTCTCAAAACCATGTTACTCGATCCCCCAGCTGTAAGTAATTACATCACCAAAAAAACTTGTTTCCAATTTTTATTTTATTTTTTTGTTGTGGTTTATAATAATTAGTTCCTCATGGTTGTTATATATTGGTTGACCCTTTAAAAATTTTGTTGGTGCAGAGAATCAAAGGTGAAACTATTCGAGAAATTATGACGTCCCAAGAAAGGACTAATGATTTGGAACAAAAGAAAACTAGTTTGGAGAAGATTGAAGATCATAAGAGGAAGAATAGTGGCTGCGACATCACTATTGAAGAAGACAACTCTACTAAAAAAATCCCAAGTAACTTTTCATCTTCTTCATCATCATCATCATGTTCATGTCAAAAGGAAAAGAAAAAGGCGAAGATCACAAAAACAAAAGATGAAAAACCAAAGGGTTGTTCTTTATTTTCTAAATTATCAAGTAGTGATTATTGTTTAGATGAAGATATGGTTTTATTATATTGGGTAGTTTTGGCCTCATTAGCCACTATATTTTTGGGAAAAATATTTGCCATTTTATTGGCTACCTTGTGGTTCTATGTCATGCCTTGCCGGAGTGCTACAACTGGTTGCCTTTCTCCTATCCAGCCGGAAAATATCCTGTTGAATCCGTCGCCGGAGATTTTTGAGACCCCTAGTACTACTACTAGAGAGTTCATTAAAAAGAAAGTCATAATGGACGGGTTGCTTCAGAGGCCGCAGAAAGCATTAAATCTGTTGACAGTTTGATAGACATGAGGAAAAAAAAGAATGAATTTTTGACGTGTTATAAAGCCTTCGTTCTCTGCATGTAATTTAAGGCAGAGTGGTTTGTAGTAGACTTGTAGTTGAGAGTGTAGTAAAATCTCTCAAATCTGTGTGGAGTAATTCCTGTCTTTTCACTGACAATTTCAGTAAATGAGATCTCGTGTATTTACTATTAATAGTACTATCTTAATACATTGAATGCCAAATTCTGTCCATTCTTTTTTATTTTGTCAAATTACAATTACTTCGAAATAAATTGACGTTGGGATTTTGATTTTTGATGCCTGCATTTACTGGGGGTGAACTTTGAAGTAGACTTTTTGACGTCTTTGGCATCATTGTTATTTGTTAGCATGAGGTGTGGAACAGCTAACTAAACAACTTATAATTAAGATATTTCTTTGGTTCCATCGTACATCATGGATAGCTTACCCTCATTATATTATTTACTCTGAGTAATGATTTAGAGTACTTCTATCAATACATTATATATAGTATATATTGATATATAATTTGGTTTTTGCTTTAATTCATGCAAGTATATGCACATTTTCCCGAGGAGAGGGGGGAAGCGGATAGTATAATAAGGCGATGGATTATAATCATATATGAGAGATTAAAAATACTATGAGGAAGAATATTCAAAAATCAAGAAAAAGAGTTTAAAAATTGTAAATTCTCGTTCAAAATACACTTCATCCGTTACAAAATAAATTGTCAAGTTTGAATTTTCATTTTTAGTATAGAGTACATTAAAATGAAAGTTCAAAATGAACCATCATTTTGGGACACAGAGAGTACTTTTTGCAGATAATAATTTAACTATATTAAAGGCAATATATCTTTTCAAGTTGAATCATCGGAAGTTATTTTTAATAAAAATAAACAAATAAATCTTGGGTTGCTGATAGAACTTTTATATCCTGGAGTGAGTGGTATACTGGTATTAGTTTAGAAAAATGTAAATTGTAAGAAGAACAAAAAGGGAATTAAAATTTGGACTTATTGAATCAAAACAACATTATTTGCAACTCGTACTGTTTTCTCGTAACCGGAGGAAAATCCGACTGGACGGAGCCGTTTGGTCCTCCTCGTGCCGGTGATGATCAGGTTCCTTTAATCGATATATCCTACTTTTTGTCAACAACTTTATGAATTTGTATTTATGTGCACATCCGAACCACACGTACGTCTGTTCATGGATATCTTTGTATTTTTATTGGAAAAAAGAACTTCATCTTTGTGCATTGTCTGAAAGGCAAAAAAATCCTATGGATCCATAATCATTAATTAATCTTGTGGATAAAATACTTACTTTTAACTGCTACATACCTTTTTATTTTCGTTTTCTTCAAGCTTAAGAAATTTGAATGTCTAATCAGTCGTGATCATATGACACTTTGGTCTCTTCTCCTTTAATTTCCATTTGTTTTTCTTTATATGTGTATTCATTTCAACGGCTGCTGCTTTTCCAATTCGATGTTCTGCGATTCATAATTTGGGACAGAGAGAATACATAGTTATTTATTAGCTATTCCGTTCTCATACTTTCATCTTTACTTTCATAGAACACAATTTGCTCTGTAAAAGACTGATATTTAATAGTTTAGGTACTGTTTCGTAATCATTATACATGTATCTTTAAAAAAAATAAAATAAATTATAGATAGCAGTGCAGGTCAAGAAGACATCAACATGCATTTCTAGTGTAGAAAGTTACAATAGAGAAATCTGAATTTTACCATATAGAAGATTGAAAATTCTGAATAGTGCACTTTCATTAAGTATAGAGTAGTACATTTATATATGAGGTTACATCAAAGTAGGAAGTAGTTAGGATACATATAATATCTAATTTAAGATAATAAGTTACAACAATAATATTTGATTTTGTAAATCAAATCTTCAGTTGATATCCTAATCCTTGCCACGCCCCCGCAAGATGGAGGATCCATCGGAGACTCCAATCTTGGAACAAAAACGAAGAAATGGAATGCGGCTCAAAGGTTTGGTAAGTATATCAGCAAGTTGATCTTTGGAGCTAATGTGTAGAACTCATAATGAAGCAGTAGAGACTCGTTCCCTAACAAAGTAATAATCAAGAGCTAAATGCTTCATACGGGAGTGATAAACAGGATTAGCACATAAATATGTTGCACCAGTATTGTCGCAAAAGAAGGTTGGAGGTTGTTTGATAGAGAGACTAAGTTCGTGTAATAGATTCTGAACCCAAATTACCTCCGCTGCTGCATTGGCTAAAACCCTATACTCAGCCTCAGTGGATGACTGAGAAACTGTTTTTTGACGGGCTGACTTCCAAGAGACGATGTTAGACCCAAGATATAAGACATAAGCAGTAGTAGAACGTCCACGATCTTGAACACCACCCCAATCGGAATTGGAAAAGGCTGTAAGAGAGAGAGAAGAATCGCGCTTTAGAAAAAGGCCATGATGAATTGAACCTTTTAAGTTGCGAAGCACTCTTTTTAATGCCCGCATGTGTAATTGTGTGGGAGCATGCATGAACTGAGACAGCTTGTTGATGGCAAATGACACATCAGGGCGAGTGATTGCCAAATATTGCAAAGAGCCAACAAGACTATGTAGTATCTATTTGGGAAGAACCATCAATCAATGCATAAGTCTCAACAGAATTAAGAGGCGTAGCAACCTCTTTTGCTCCATCCATATTATGCTTTTTGAGAATATCAGCAATATGGCGATGTTGTGAGAAAAATAAGCACGAGGGAGTAGAAATGACTTTAACACCCAGAAAATGGTGCAAAGGGCCCAAATCCTTAATAGAAAATCTTTTAGCCAACCTGTGAACAAAGCTATCCAAAAACTTAGAATTGTTACTCGTGAGCACAATATTATCAACATAAACCAGAAAGTAAGCAATGATGTCATCGCGGTCATATATAAAGAGTGAAGCATGCAAGTGACTTGCGAAAATCCGAAGCAAGCAAAAAAAATTTTAGCCCACAGCCGTAGAGATCCTTGTGGAGTTTACAAAGATGATGTGGGTATTGAGGATTGATGTAATCAAGAGGTTGAACCATGTAGACATGTTCATGTAAAGTTCTATGTAAAAAAACATTGTTGACATCCAATTGGCGTAGTGGCCAGTTCTGTGATAATGCAAGATATAGAACAATACGAATCGTGATAGGCTTAGTAACAAGACTAAAGGTCTCAAAATAATCACGCCCGAGTTCTTAGAGGAAACCCTTTGCAACAAGACGGGCTTTGTACTTTTCAATAGAACCATCAGGCTTATGTTTAATACGGAAAACCCACTTGCGACTATTAGGGACATGCGTTGATGGCGGTACTAATTCCCACGTACCATTATACAACAAAGCATTAAACTCGTCATCCATTGCCTTCCGCCAAAGGGGATCTTTGATAGCCTGGGTCACAGTAGTAGGCTCAAGGGTAATAGGTAAGGGATGTTTAGTGGTGACGTTAATGCATTTGTCATTAAAATATTTGAGATTTGGTTTTTTTATACGAATTGGGCGTGATGGAGTAGACTGTGAATTGGGTTGTATTGGAGAGGGAGATATTTGTGGAGATTGGGTGGAAGGTGTAGGAGGAGGGGATGAAGGAGGTGAAGATGAAGGGGTTGAAGGGGTAAGATTTTCATGTACATTAACAGGGGAACTAGTTGTCGGAAGATGTTAGGTATGAGAGATTGGATTTGAGGAATAAGTAATATCGGGAGAAGGAGAAGCTGGCGGATTGGAAAAAGGAATGGTATAATCCTCATTGTCTTTTGAAGTACCTGCATGGAAAGCATCTCAAATACAGTTAGTGAACGCATGAGATTTATTGCGATCTTGAAGAGAAAAGTGATTCTCAACAAATTTGACATGTCGAGATAAGTACAGACGATTAGCGATAGGATCTAAACATTTATATGCAGATTGAGATGTAGAATAACCAAGAAAAATGCAGGGTGTGGACCGGGGTTGGAGTTTGAACGTCGTATATGGGCGTAACCAAGGATAACACAAGCATCCAAAGGTTTTAAGACGTGAATTGCTCTGAGGATGACAAAAAAGCATCTGAAAAGGAGTTTTAAATGATTAAGACTGATGATGGAAGACAGCTAATTAAATAAACAGCAGCCTGAAAAGCATAAGACCAATAATGAAGCAGAAGGGATGTAAAATGGAGAAAGGAGAGGCCGGTTTCAACAATATACCTATGGCATCGTTCTACAGTACCATTAAGTTCAAGTGTGTGAGGAGGCGTACTGAAATGAGAAATCCCACACAATTAAAAATTGGGATCAACTTTTGATACTCACCCCCATTGTCTGAAAAAAAAAAAAAAAGAACAAATATTAGTTTGGAAGAAATTTTCTACCAGCTTTTGAGGAAAGAGAGTGTACGTATGAGACTTTTTTTTCATGGGATACAACCAAGTATATTTGGTGAAATGATAAATAAAAATTATGTAATACTTATATCCATCAATAGACTTTTTAGCTGGTCCCCAAACATTAGTATATATTAATTCTAATGGTTTAGAACTGATAAGAGAGTTATCAAAAAAAAGTAATTTGTGACTTTTATTAATGGAGCAAGAATTACAATGAAAGTCTATAACGTGTGAAGAACTAGACACCAAACCATTATTTTAGAAAATCATGCTAAGAACTTCATTGGAGGGATGGCCAAGTCTATGATGCCAAAACGACAGAGAAGATTTGGTGGTGACATTTAACTGAGGATGACACGAAAAAGTTGTGTAATAAACATCATCAACGTTCTCTCCCCACATTAGAGGTGACCCCGTGTGAAAATCCTTCACAAGAAAATAAGTAGAGAAAAATTCCACAGAAACTGGGTTAGATTTGCATAATTTTGCTATGGAAATTAAATTATGGCGTAGCCATGGAACACATAAAACATGAGATAAAGAAAGTGGTTGATTAGGAGTGGAAATAGTGGTGTGACCAGTATGTGAAATAGAGAGACTTTTACCATCACCCAAGAATATTTCATCTGGACCTCCATAGTCGGAGTAGCTCTGGAGAGAGGACAAATTAGAAGTTGCATGGTGGGATACTGCACTATTAAATAGCCATGGTTGTTGCTGAGCCAACGAGCTGAGAAAGGTGGTGGCATTCGCCACAGGGCTCGAAAATGTTGGCGATGGTTGAGACGCATGAATGCTAATATTATTCTCCTTTAAGAACCTTGCAAGTTTCCTGCAATCATGGGTATCATGACCTGTAATCTCACAAAAACGACAAAAAGAGTCGGTTCGATAGGAGCGATTTCCATTTTGAGGTTGCCAAGAACGAGGAGCATTGCTACCATAACCACCGCGAGATCTGCGATGATTGAAAGAATATTCGGTACTTGGATTTTGGTTTGCTGGAGATGACTTGTGAAATTGATTAGCCTTCGGATATTGCTTTTGAGTGACATTTGCAGTAGCAAGTATAGTTGCAGATTCTGGCTCTTTTTCCTTCAACATCCTCTCAAAATTAGTCAACTTATCAAAAAGTTCAGAATAGATGATTGGTGAGTCATGAACTTTTGATTGCAGCAACAATAGGACTGAACTCATCACCTAATTGGGTGATGATGTGGACAATGAGATCTTCTTCACTGATGGGGTTTTGAGTGAGAGCCAATTCATCCGCAATGGATCGCATATCATTAAGAAATTTTGTCACCGATTTAGTTCCTTTGGGATTCTTTGCAAGTTTGGCCTTGAGTGAAATTCGAGACCACGAAGAGTTGGCATAGCTGTGAGTGAGCCGCTCCCAAACTTCTTTTGAAGATTCAGCTAAAGAAATGATGGACTGAATTACGTCTGAACAGCTTCCAAGAATGACACTAAGCAGAGTTTGATCTTGACGAAACCAGATGGTGTAGGCTGGATTTATTTTTGTTTTCTCATTGCCAAGAAATTGGGATGGTGCGCTAGAATACCATCAATGTATTCTAACAAATTACGGCCAATGAAAGTTTATTGGACTTGTTTTCTCCAAATAGGAAAATTGGTGGAAGTGAGTTTGATAGGAAAATGAGTTGGTGCATTCAATTGCACAATAGAAGATGTTGATGAAGTAATAGTTATGGCCGGAGAGAAAGAAAAAATAAAGAAAAGGAGGATCGAATGAACTCAGAAGAACTGTTTTAGGCCCTGCATATTATATAGAGAAATCTAAATTTTATCATATAGAAGATTGAAGATTCTGAATAGTGCGCTTTCATTGAGTATAGAGTAGTATATTTATGCACGAAGTTACATCAAAATAGGAAATAGTTAGGATACATATAATATATAAGATAAGATAATAAGTTACAACAATAATATTTGATTTTATAAATCAACTCTTCAGTTGATATCCTAATCCTTGACAGTTACAACAGACAGATCTCATTATAGCAAATTAATTCTATTTCAGTTTATATGCTAATACATTTGATAAGCGATTAGCCGTCAAATGACTTGAAACTACAGTTTACAGAATCGAGAATCACATAGGAGAGTTATTTGAAGCCAATTAAATGGCTAAAGTACTCGAAAACGAATTGGAAATGTTTGCAAACATGAATTAACTTAATTGGAAATTCAAAGTATATTCAATGTATACTATATTACCTTATCTCTGATTATACATATATACATCAAGAAAGATGCAGAAACAAACCAGCTTCAACTTTCTGAAACTTTTGATGATTCGGAAGTGCTCTTGGAATAAGCTGAAGTACTAGAAACCTTGCTTTGTGGTTCTGAACTCTGGTTTGATGATGACTCAGTGAAGAAAACTACATCCTCTTGATTGTCGAAAAAGTTCTGGAGCGCTCGTGGAACAGGAGGTAAATTCACATCCAAGACTCCTTCAAGGATCTGAACAACCTGACCCATGGATGGCCGATGATTTTCATCGTCTTGAATACACCAACATGCCACTTTACATAGTCTTAACGCCTCTGCGGCATCAGCCATCCTTTCCAATTTTGGATCTAACAAGCTTAGGACGTCACCTTCTTCAACAATTACACGGGCAACCCAACAAGGAAAGAACCTCAGTACTCCATCCGGAGAACTCTCAGAATTTCTCTTTCCGGATATGAACTCAAAAAGCATCATGCCATAGCTATAAACATCTGCTTTAGCTGTAATGGCTACTCCAGATATCCACTCTGGCGCAAGATACCCCCGTGTTCCTCTCATGGTTGTCAAAACACGACTAAAATCACGCCCCATGAGCTTTGCAAGACCAAAATCTGCAACTTTTGGACAGAATTCAGCATCGAGAAGAATGTTTTCTGGCTTAATGTCACAGTGAATGATGACTTCCCGACATTTCTCATGGAGATAAGCTAACCCTCTAGCAGTTCCTAGAGCAATTTGATACCTTATCTTCCAGCTCAATACCCTGGATTCATCGTCATGGAAAAGATGGGAATCCAGGGACCTATTTTCTAAGTATTCATACACCAGCAGTTTCTTATTACCTTCAGAGCAAAATCCTCTAAGCCTAACAAGATTGACATGTTGGATTGTTCCAATGGTGCTAACTTCAGTACGGAATTGCTTTTCACCTTGGCTGACACTTTCAAGCTTCTTCACAGCTATGGCACTTGAATCAGGTAGTTTTCCTTTAAATACCGAACCAAAACCTCCCACTCCCAACTTCTCCGAAAAGTTTTTGGTGGCATTCTGCAAGTCTTTGTAGCTAAATGCCACCAGAGACCCATCTGCTGCTTTTCCAGCTCCAACCATTCTCCTCCTACGTCTCAGCATTACAAACAAAATGACAGCCAATATGACTAGCACAAGAGCGACAGACCCCACACCAGCACCCACAATAGCCGCTGTGTTTTTCTTTCCACTCGAAAACTCAGACGCCGCAAGCCTAATGTAAATTGATTTACCCCTATTATCACCTGCAGACAGCTGTTGGAGATCCAAGAGCCTCTCATTCCAAATGGAGCATCCATTGCTGTCATAAGTATAAGCAGTACAAGAGCAATTACTCAAACAGCTAGATTCACATTCGGCAGCATTCCCAACCTTCACAGGCTGAGGATTTCGAGGTAAACTCATCCCTGGGTAGACCCGGAACTTATTTTTCTGGCCTTTTCCACTACTATTTTCTACACATTGCAAGTCTGTTTTCCTTACACAGCCCCCAGAGAAATCATTAAGATTCCAATCTGCTTCTGATTTATGATCAAAACCCCCCAAACAGTTGCAAAAGGGCAACGAATTCTCATTACAAATGCCAAATTCCCCACAAAAAGCATAAACTTCACATTGTTGTCTAGGTTGAGACCAAAACATATTCCACTGCTTGGTAGTATCCAACCAAGTAAACTGCTTAATTTGCCCCGACACATCCATTACGAATCTAGATATGACTGCAGAACTGTAGACGCTATATGTGAAGTAAGACTCATTCTCATTATTAACATAGCTGAAATTGTAAATATAATTCAACCTCATTTCAGGTACCAAACTAAAAAGTTTGCTTTGCTCATCCCAAGCTCCGCTGACCCAATACTGTTGAGACCTATTCCACTTTATCACATACTGATTATCAATGGCATCAAGCTCAAGAGAGAAAAGCCCAGGAGCAGGATCTTCAGAATTTTTCCATGAGGTTAAAATCTGCAGTTTCTTAGTAACTTTATTATAAGCAAGCTTGCCACCAGGTAACCATGTATCTGTTGGGTTATCAAAACTTTGCCAAATTGGTGGGATTGAACTAGAATTCGACAAGATTGATGACCCATCAGTTAAAACCAAATTACCATCATCCCGAAGAACAGCAACCACAGGACCTGAATTTGTAGCACTCACATTCGTAGACCAAATAGACTTCTGGGACTCATCCAAAATCACTAAATTACTACCTTGAATTGTAAGGGATGAAGAGTATTTATCTTTTACTGGGGCTACCCTGTTAGCAACCCAAACTACGGTTGGTTCACTAACTTTCTTGTACCATATTCCTATGTAGAATCTGGAGGAATTCTTACCTGGTGAGAAGAATCCCAGCTCAAAGTTCCCATCTTTGGAGATAAGAGTCTGGTCACCTGAAAGGGACTGATTACCAGAAATTGAGTCTGCTCCAAGAGCTAGCTGAGATTTCAAACAAATGCACAAACAGAACAAACCCAGAATGAAATTGATGCTTGTTTTTTGGTTTTCCATGGTTTCATATCAATAGGAATGAGAAAAAAGGAGAACCAAGATAGAAATTTGTTTGATCAGGCCATATGAAGAATGGGGGAGAAAGAAGATCAAGAAGAATGAGTTGTGCAATGTGGAAGGAGACCATGATTGTGGACTGGACTATTTCTAGTCTTCTCCGAGTCAACCAACCTAGTTAAATGACAACATTAGCCTTTTTCTTTACACACCTGAAAAAACAAAAGGGTATAACAACATAACAAATTCTATCATGTATGAAAAAAATATATATAGTTTTTGTGACTTGCCTATATCGCACTCGGACTATTACATGAGTACGTGAATTTGATCTTGAGAATTCTTTTGTAATATGGTAAGAGTATTGATAAATCTTGGTTTGAGATTATTGATATATTTGTTTTGTGTTTTTTTTCCGAATCAAGATATATTATCACTTTTTTCTTAAAAAAAAAGAAATATATATATATATAAATAGAACCAGAAAAAAGATATCATGTATCCATATGGGTTTCATTAATTTACGACCATTTTCAACAATTTCATACTATAACTTTGTAACAAATAATTATATATTGTGTTATATCTCAGTTTGACTAATAAATTTATTGCATATAACTTTTAATTTACCATTTTTAAGGAATTCGTGTGGCAAAAGTTATTTAGTTCATCCCAAAATGACTGTATTTATACAACAGAAACCAGTGAAGGATTATCATTTTTATTTTATTCTTTTGGATGAATAGGATTATATTTTGATACCAAAACAACCAAAGTATACTATTATAAAAGGGGTGTTTTGGTCAGTTCGAGTGGTGCTCGATATTGGACAAGAAACCCAGTGGATGAAGAAAAGTCAAAAGATTTGCATTTAGCAATTACCGTGAATTGACTGTCACCTTTCCATTCCAGTTGTAAATCCTAAAATGAAAAATCCAATTGGAATTTGGAGGTCCTACGTTCGACACGCCACGGTTCAGTAATCTATGCATCATTTTCTATTTTTCTTCCAGATTTTATTGGACCATTATTTTCATAGTCTCACCGGCAGACTAAACCCAAAAATTACTTAAGCCCACAGCCGTGATTTCAAGGTCAGGAGTCTTAATCAGCTATTGAATAGGTCCTCATATTAATTATTGTTAGCATTTGTGGAGAAATTAAATGCGTGCCAACCTGCTTTATAACTCAGAAGATGGACGCAATCAATCATGCCACTGATTTTTTTCCCCCCTAATGAAAGTACTATTTATGAAGTATTGAAGTTTACAGGGCAGATGCAGTGTCCAAAACTATTTTTTCCAAATAATTCATATTATCAAATTAAATAAATTTTTTAAAAGCCAAACTTCCTCTAAATTTATTTGATAAGTATCTTTGTTATAAAATTAATGATGGACTACTAATATGAAATTAAACATAAGAACAAAGAGGAGAGACAAGATAGTAGAGAAAAATAAAAAATTTATATTCAAAGATATTTCAAAGCATGAATGAGCTCCTTATTCATACAAGAACTAAGGGGTCAAACTGTGATAAATGAATCAGCTATCATTAATGTTAAATATTACATAATCATATCTCATTGATTGTGAATAGAATAATACATATTATTTGTGGACATTCAATCAAATCAAATCAAATATGTCATAACACTCTCCCTTTGAATGTCCATCTTTGTGAAATAATGCCTCGTTAAAACTTTACTAGGAAAAACTCTTTGGGATAAAATCCTAGTGAAGGAAAAAAGAGTACATTTCCGAATGTGACACTGCCTATTAAAAACCTTGTCAGGAAAACCTATTGGAACAAAACCTCGATCAAGGGAAAAGAGTACAACATGGATTACTCCCCCTGTTAAGTACGCCACTTGTAATCTTTTCGTTGCATGCCAAACTATTGATCAGGTTCGTGATTTTTTTAAGTCAATAATAGACAGATTATGTTGACTTCTCATGTAGACGGTTGTCTTCATATACCTATATAATCTTGAGCGTTTTATAATAATGGAGATGCATGACCATCATACCTTGAAGGTATCAATATACAACATCCAGGTCTTGACTAATTGATTAGATAAACTGAAACTTTATATGGTATTTCATCGCCAAATCGGTCTACAACATAAATAGAAAGTCAAGAACAATGATCTATATGCACACAAGATTTTAATCAAGTGCGCTCAACAGGTGTTAAATATACGAAGGTCAAACTGTTTAGACCGAGATTCTGCTCAAAATTTTTCATTATCCTTACTTCAAGCAAGTAGCAACCTTTTGAACTTCCTTAGAAATGTTCATAACTATGATATAACTCTTCAAGAGTTTTATTTATACTAAGGCTATTAGAACTTCGTGATAAATTTTGATAAAATTCAGCCTTCTGAAACTCTACAAGAGTTCAGTGCTAACAAAATTGTAAATGTATATAAGGCTTATGAAGTATTAATTATCATCCTATCATTCAAATATGATCATAAAAACAGATAGAAAATCATGTTACAAACAAACATAACATATCTAGATAAAAACAAACATAGCATATCTATTATATTAAAAAATATGAACCTAAATATCTAGACACATGAAAACACTATAACTTGCGGAAGTCTTTTGAACTAATTTCTCCAGGATTGGGAATTAGATCCCTTTTTTAATCCTCCGGATATTTCATATAGAAGTCATTATTAAATATCAAGTATCATGTATTAAGTGATCACTATATTCAAGAGACGCATTTATTATCTTCATTTTTTATTCCTAGATTAGCAAATAACGGAAGATTTTTCTTTTCATCCATCACAAGATAAACCGGACTTTGGAAAAAAATTGTGCAACAAAGACGTTGCTCTATAATCTTTTGTACAATCACCCGCCAAAATCTAGCCGGTATATCACTTGCCAAATTTCTAGTTCGCAAGCAATTTCAATTCTAAGTACATATCGTCAAGTGTGTATTGCGTCTTTTCATTGTTGTGCCCAATAAGTTTAATGTCTGCATCTACAACAAACTTTCATTTCATGATCCTCATTTTCATTTATTTTACTGTTGCAGCATAAGCGATTTTCATGTCCACATTTTATTGCTGATCGATTCCATGTTCTTTGGTAATGAGATCTCCCAATCATTCAGTTTCCCAAGTATTCATATACTTCTTCTGGAAGTTAATTCACTGTAGTGAGAAACTATTTCAGTTCAAAATTCTTATGAATTATAATCACTCGTATTTGCCATCTCCATAGATTTATAAACCTTGTCATTTACGAAGATTTTTATCATTTAGAATAGATGGTTCTACCACTCATCAAATGGACATTCAACTAACAAATAGTGGTAGGTAGTCCTTTAAGGATACATTATCAAATCTAAAGTTTCAACAGCCGTTTATATAAGATATATTACACATTCGGTCAGATAAACATCTGGTCTTAAACATTATCTCTTGAACTTCAGGTTCATATCATCGAGGATCATAATGAGATAATTATATTGTCCATCTAATTTTATAATTATATTGGGATAACTAACTCACTAAAATGACGATTAACCAACCGAGCAGTTAATAATCTCCCTTCTAAGAGTAACTAACTCGTCAAACTAATACGATCAGTCTATCGAGTAGTTAATCCAACATCAATAATCTCAAACTTAGGAAATTCAATATTCAACATATATTTCTGACCTCTTCTGAAGGTTCCATCATTGTGTGCATTGTGATGGAATAATTATAATATAAACTGTACATGTAATCTTTGAAGATGGATATATATGGTTCATGACCAAAATCACTATTAGGAGAATATCTACAATGACTTATTTGGTCTTATGCATATAACCGGTGCCTTTTGTGTTTCAACACATCCTCAATTACATATGAAAATTTTACTTCCCTTAGGTAATGATGTTAATTAATTGAACATATGCAATAAATGATTCTACTAGACCATTTGACAGTTGCTCTTACAAGCACTCAGTGTTCAATCTTTATCATTATTGTCTAGTAAACTTCTGGTTTACTTTTTGTAAATTTCAATATTCGTGCTATTGTATAATGCATTGTAGTGCATTTATATTTCTTCTCTTAACATAATCTTACTTGCTCTTTTAAGAGCAAATTGTATCGTTGTTCTGCTAGAGACAACGATGATACACTTTTACCTTCTACCACTCTCTTGCTCTTAGGAGCAAAGTTTGTTTACAATCGCTCTCTCTTCAAGAGACAATGATGAATTCATTAAGAGGAAGAAACTTCTAGTTCTCCAATTTAAAATACATACCGAAATTTTTCTAGAGTCAAATTTACAATTTCTTTAATGGAGGCTAATGCACATATTATTCAAGTATACCGAATAAATTTTTATTGATTGAAACATTTATTATAACAGGGCATACATACTCTTGAGGAATATATGTTTATCATTCCATCGAAATATTCTTGTTCTATATGAGCACACATATAATTTTGTCGAGATATTTAATACATGATTCTCTACTAAAAATTTCATCCATTATTATGGAGAAAATTTTATCACATATGTCCTTAGTTATTGTAACGTTTGGACTATTTTATTTTCTCATAGCAAATTCTTCTCTTCGGAAGTTTTATCCATACAGGAACATGGAATTAATTTTGTTCATAGAATCACTTCTAGATTTAAAATACATTCCACTTTCGATGAAAATCTATATCTATGTGGCCATCACAATACTAGATTTAATGCCTACAAATTGGCTCATAATCAATTAATTATCCACTGGTAAGCTTTCTAAATAAATAATGAAAATAATAAAATAAAATACACTATTTTCACGGTGGACAATAAAATGAACGTGACCATCAAATATTAAGTAATACTACTGGAAGAATTGTTTACCTTTGATCTTCATTACAAAATGCAATGATTTCCCTCGCTCCAAGAAGATATGAATTTCAAAAGGTAGCCGACAAGCTTAATAGTTGAGAGGTTCACTTCTTATGTTGCTTAGTAACACTCACGGAAACTAAATTCCAAAATAGTCGTAAACCCACACGTATTGGAAATACATATATATATCGATCTCTCTTCAAAAATGGTGTAAACGATGAAGTACTCAAGCTAATAAATCTGATTAGCAATCAGGTAATGGAACAAACCGTAAATCAGTCTAGGAGAGAAATTAAAAATACTTCTTAAAAATATTTTATTACAAAAAAATTCCTGGGTACCAAAAATGTCACAAACTACTACTGATCAATGAATTTGCAAATTACTGATGCATTTTCCAGAATATGATAATATCCATGCATTATACAAGTGTTCCAATAGTGTAACATTTTCCCATCTATACATGGAATTTTTCAATGCAGATTCAAGCAACCCAACAGCAATAAGACATAAATATATTTCTGCAATTTGTTTAATTATTTTTTATAACCAAAGAAATCTATCAACCAAAATAGCAGAGTAGATATGCCATGGTTAAGTATATAATAATTCGGAAAGAAACAAAAGACATTCGTATAGATTTCAACCATTAGTTTCATTCTGGGAATACTAGCTCCATAAACAATATGCATCATCATCATACATGATAGAAATAATCACGTATTCATCAATTTCTATTTCTATAATCATACAAATAATCACGTAGCACTAAATTTTCAAATTTTCGAATAAGCCCAAAGTACTATACAACGAAGTACTAAATAAATTTTACACAAAAAATCAAATTACAAAACAGGCTTACCATACCAACCTTCTCGTGAAATTTTATCTTATGAGCCTGATCGAACTCTTTTCGCCTAATTATTGCGTTCACTTCTTTGATCGTCTCAATTGTAAACAGAGACTCGTGCACCACAAAATTTTTGAGGTCAAGGCACTTTAGACGCTTTAGATCTTAAAAGCATTTTTAAATATTTATTGAGGCTTCAAGCCTTTAGAATTAATACGTACCAACTTCATGCGGTGGTAGAATTTAAATATCCATTGAGGCTCTAGGCCTTTAGAATCAATACACACCAACTTCAGATGGTGATAGAAGCTCTTTGGCTAAAGGCTCGTGCTGATAACGTGTTATAAAATTAATGGTAGACTATTAATATGAAACTAAGCATAGAACAAAGATGAAAGACAAGAAAATAGAGAGAGATAAGAGACTTGTATTCAAAGATATTTTGAAGTATGAATGAGCTCTTTATTTATACAAAAAGTAGGGATCAAACTGTGAGAAATGAATCACTTATCATTAATGCTAAATATTACAAAATCATATTTCCTTGATTGTGAATACAATAATAGATATTATTTGTGGAAATTCAATCAAATCAAATCAAATATTTCATAAGAGTCGATAGCATATAAGAATGCTCTTGACAAATATTTAAAACATTGTTTATGTCAGCTTGTTGTATGTATTAGTACTAATTTATAAGAAATAAATATGTGAATATAGTTGAAACGTGTCGACGATTTGAATGCTAGCAAAGAAAATAATGTAACACCACAGATGTCTCACAATATCACATTGCAGATTTCCTATCAATAACTTCATTTTTTTTTTCTTTTATGATTACATTCCAAATTATTTTTGTCCAATCATGCATCACATAAGTATCTAAATATAGTAGTTCATTTATTATCCTTTTGCTTGTTTGCAATTGTCATGACTTGAACAAGGTTACAGAAAGATATCCACTTAGCAGAACTAAATTCTTGTAATTTTGGTTGAAGGCCTACCTAAAGAAAAACCATGTGGAAACCAATTAATAGCACACCCCGGCAAGTTTTTCGTATGTGGAGGAAGTAGTGCTTATAATACAAGTTTCTTTAGTGGATCAATTTTGAGTTTTTTACCCAAATAATTTTCAATAGAAGAACAGGACAAAAATATATGTCCCAGAGTGGTGTGGACAAATTTAGTTGTCTCGGATTGCCAAATTCAAATCTATCCATTTTGTACTACATTCGGATTTGACAAATCCAAATCTCCTTGTATTATAACTATGTGATGAATCAATTCTATTGGGTAGATTCAGATTTACCAAATCTAAATCTAGTCCAAAATGGATAGATTCGGGTTTGACAAATCCGAGACAACTAGTTTTATCCACCAAACATAGAAAAAAAATTATTTTTGTCCACATTTTTGTTTGAAAATTTTTTTAGCCGAAGCACCCGATCAAATTTTCTGCAAGAAATTGGTATATTCTTCCTGAATCAGCTTGAAGGTCAAATTGGTCAAGCACCTCCATAATCCAAATATACAATGATGGAGCAGAGGAGAATATAAACACTTTCTGCAGTAGACCTTTGTCGTTCTCATGAATAATGGATCAAAGAAGGGATACAAATCCATGTCACATTCATATCAAGAGGCAGAAGATATTCCACACTAGAATCATTAAGAGTCATATCCACTCAGTAATGTAATGTCAACTGGGCAGCAAAAAACTATTCTTAAAACTTCTTTTCTTATCACTATTAAAATCATGCACTTCAACTACCAGAAAACTGAGCATCCAGTGGGATATGAGTGGAGAGACCCTAGGAATTTATAAACTAGTCACAGCTGTTAGCAAACACAATGAGGAACAATCAACTCTAACAATAACATTTACGCGTGTTACATGGCCCAACCTACTGGTTCTACAATGCTAATATGACACTTTCCCTCTCTTCATGATAAGCAGATGCAGTTAGTTATTGAGAGTTAAGATAGCTGTTCACTCAATTTTAACATAGTTAAGGAGAAAACTCACTGTCGGTGATCTTTATGCCGCGCCTCAGTCTTCTCAGTAATCGCACTCTATCCAGACGAGAGATAAAATGACGAGAGATAAGACGACCACATCTCTTTATTATTCTTTCTCTTCTGGCCAAAATGGACTCGACTGTCTCGATAGGGGATCTAACTTGAGGACCTTCGTGTTTTCCAGCTCTAACTTCACCGAAAGGCTTTTGGTTGCCAAAGAAGTTACGCGGTTCAACATTAGAGGGTGAGGAAGATACAGTGCCCCTAATGTCCGTCGGCTGGAGAAGCTCAACAAATTTCTTTATTTCTGAGAAGCATGAGTGATCAGAATATGGAACTGTATATATGTACTCATTGCAGATCTCTGTAATTGCTAGAACTCCATTTTGCTTCCTTGTCTTCGAACAGGTTACACCGTGTGAAGGGGAAGGACCCACTACATTGCCGGGACCACTAAAAATCTTCTTCATCCATGGAAGACCAGATGGCATAATTCCTACGGTAGGGCGCATCAGGTTCAATGCTTGAAGTGTTTCCATGCTAAAGCTGTAACGCGGAATGGCCCGAATTCTTGTAAGTGATGTATTGGTTGTAAAAATATCCTGAAATCCAAGAAGGTGCATAGTTCGCAAACGCTCCGGCCAAACCCAGATCTGTAAGTATAGAGAGCAATTCAACTAGTAGGTTAATAAACAAGCTGATCACCTGAGAAGACAAATCACTTCGTGAATAAAGCTTGTTTATTAACCTACTAGTTGAAAAGAATTCCAAGTAGATTTTAGGAATAAAGCTTCCACGGTTCCAGAGTCCCTCACAAGGATGCAGCAGACATTTTCACAGTTATGCATGTATCAAGAAAATATGCATGGTGTTTACTAAATTTGAGTGGCACCATAGAGAAATTGTTAGCATTCAACAAAAAACACTCAGATGTAGATTCCTGATCAAAAAGTCCATGCCTACCTTTGTCTTCAGCTTTTTTGAAATATAGAACAAGAGATCTTCTTTGCCCAATGAGTCAATACTGATAACTATATCATGATTTGGATGAGAGGAGATAATATCGACAACCTGTTTAGGAACAAAACTTATAAGAGAGGAGTCCAGGGTTATCAAAATATAGTGATTAACTTGTCCGGGAGAGAGAAATAAACTAGAGGAACCGAAATGTTGTAGATTGATGCAAGAATGAAGCTCAGTGGAGTAAATTAGGAAATCACTGAAAACCTTAACCCGTTCAACTGATTTAGTTCCCCATTACAAGTTTTTTTATCAAAGAATGTAACTGTGAAATTCCATAATAGTTTCTAACTCCAATGTATCACCACATCTAAACTGGAGATAGCAAGAACAGAACATAGGAAAATGATGCCAAAAATCATGCAATACAATTATCAATTTCTCATTAAGTCCTAAGATTACAAAAAAGTTTATAGTCACAGAACACCATTATACGTGCTTTCTGCAACATCAAGCGGTCAAAACAGTAGAATGTGATAATCTCACAGAAACCAAATGAATAAGTAAAATCCCCAAGCTAGACGACGCACCTGTCTAGAAGCATCTTCACGGGAAGGGAAACAATATGATGGATCGCAATAAGTATTATCCAAGTACAAAATATCCAATTTCACCCCTTTGAGAGCTTCAAGCAACATGCCCCTGGCAATCTCTGCTCTAGGATCCACGGTTTCCCATCGGAAATCACCAGTATATAGCATGCATCCGAATTCACCACGAAATAAATACATCACTGCCCCTGTAAAAAATTTTTGATAATCCATTTCAGTTAAATCATAATGAAGCGGCTCTAATAAGTCCTTAACAAACAGCCATCTCGTTAGATCGAGGAAAGCAATTTGTACTTTTAGATAAGACGTCTTTGAGGAATTTTAGCGAACAGTATGAGTGCTGCTAATAAGGGCGGAAAAGAGAGAGAAAGAAAGAAAAAAAAAGGAACTCGGAATTAGGGAATACCAGGGCAATGATGGGCATCAATGGCCATGACTTGGATGGTAACGGGTTGGCCGGAGGAAGGAGAGAAGAGCGGGAGAGAATACCAACGTCCGAGATCCAGAATCCGGAGGAGGCTGAGCTTATTAAACTGATCGAATTTGGTGAGGAAGAGCTTAGCGGTGACCTGGGAACAGAAGAGCGGGCCCCATTTCCAGGTCGGAGTCAGGCCAACGGTGTGATCGGCGTGGAGATGAGTGAGGAAGTAAGCTTGGCTGCCTTGCGCCCACCGGTCAACTGATATCATTCCCCTCTCCATTTCTAACTTGACCCCTTTGCGTGAGGTTCGTTTTCTTCTCTTTTCCGGCAGAATTTTTTATGCCCACGGTTTTTTCCTTGTGAAGTGTGCAGTTCCGACTTCCGCGTGTGGAAATTTGGCGGGATTTTTAAAAACTCTCAAATTTTTTGAATGAAACTATGAAACCGAAACTCAGTAGAGAAGAAGATCCGAAAGGACCAAAACAGCCGGGCTCTTGTTTTCTTTTTCAGAGACTCGGAAAAATAAAATGAAAACCTGTACTTAATAATTAGGACAAATTTGTAATTTTAGGGGGGAAAGAGTCATAATACTTCACATTAATTACTAATTTCTTTTAATATTTATTTTTCGCCATCCATATCATTTTTCCATTTAAAAATTCATTCGTTTTGGTTTTGCTCTAATTGCACATTAGAAGAAAACATTTTATAAGCATTATATTATAGAAACATACTGTAAAAAAACTCAGAGAGCAAATATCATCACAGTAAAATGTAAAGCAAACTAAAAGTGGGTGTCAATTCCGACACGACATTAGTAATCTGATTAGCCTTTTTTACTATATTTGTACTCTAATTAATTTTATTATGAGTATATACATGACTAGAAATTGATTTAATAACTCGAATTTTGTATAAGTAAATATTTCTTTTGTAATAACCGAGTTGTGTTGTCACGCCTAAATAGTATTTGTCTTTACTAAATTCTATTGATATTCCATTATTTTATGCTCATTGGATGTATCTCTATCCTTCTTTTTTAATACTTGTTTAGTACTCTCCCATTCAGATAGAAGCAATGGCATAATTGAAAGGATCCAAAATGCTTTAGGGTTGGATCTGCAAACTATGTTGTGACAATGTCACCGTTGCAAAACTGGCAAGTACAAACAGAGCAGTCTCCCTAACCTCTCATAGATCTAGGAAGTCACAATCAAAGTTTAATTCGGTCATGGTTCCATTCAAAAGATAGAAAGAGATCATGGATAACCCACATAGGGTGGCTAGAGGCGATATAATCATGATTTTCCAAAAAAAAAAAAAAATCACTTTAGTGTATTATTTAATTCAAGAAAATAAACTTTTTTTTTTTGGTGAATTAATAATAAACTATTTTCATGAAACGAAAAAAATAAGTTGGTGTAATCTTCCTCAACAAGTCATCCCTGCAAGGTGTTTTATATCTAATGCAGATCCTGTTAGTACATGGAATCCCCTCTCAACTCTTATAAGATACAAATTTCGAAGGTTAGTGAAAATGCAACATACATAAAATGTAGAGTTCATTTTCTGGAATTAGAATAGGTCTTTTGGAGAAGCTAGATTTATAGCTTCACGAAGCTAAAAACAGTCCCAAGAGATGGTTACAAATTCCAAAGGTTGGTCAATGTGGTTTGTTTGCAAATTGAACCGAAGGCCTGTTCAAAATAATTGTCATATTTAAATTTTTATTAGAATTCCTAAAATATTTTTTTCATAAAATGTCTAAACTTGGGGAATAACGGGAAAAAATTTATGAGCTTCTTCTCTTTTGAATGTATTCCTCCAAGATTAGGACCCCAAATTTCAGTTCTTATTATTAATAAAACCTTTTGTTGCTGTTTGTCAAAAAAAAAAAAAAAAAGTCGACCCATCATCGGGTAATTATTTTGGGACACGTACTTAGTCGGAGATAAATAGTACTAGGAAAAGTACTCCCTCTGTCCCATAATTATTGTCCACTTTGTCTAAAAATTTTTGTCCCAAAATTATTGTCCAATTTGACTTTTTATGGATCAAGTTACACATTTATCCTTAGTAAAAAATATTATCCATAAAATCTTTGTAGTTAAACAATTACTTATGTAGGGATATATACGATTGTTCAAGGTAAAATATAGTTAAGTTTGACTAAAAATAAAATCTTTCATTTTAGTAAAATTGGACAATAATTATGGGACGGAGGGAGTACTTGTTTTCTTTCAAGAATGTAAGAATAATATATCTAGAATAATTATATTGGGAAATATAATGAGAAAAATTTTTATAGTAAATATGCATTATTTACTGCAATAACATTTCCACCATATAATGAAAACAATATCACATTTCCTAGTTTGTTGGAAATTTGTTCCGGTAAATTACAATTTCCTCAATTATGTCTCTCACTATATAATTTTACGTGGTACAGTAATTATATAGAAAATTTTTACTCTTATAATGAATTATCGGTTAAAAAAAGTTTCTTTTTTTTTTTGGTTAAACTAATTGTACACCGATTTCCATAAATTTTTTTAAAAAAAATTGCATAGAATCTTGTAGACGCCAAGTCGAAATCCAAGAATCAAGGAAAAAAGAAATAATCACCGGAGGGGGTGGAAAATAATTTATAATACGGATCTGCATTAAAAGAATCTTTCCCTAGTTGTAGTTCTGCCGCAGGAATAAGCTGTTCCAAGTCGAACAAGATACCAGCTTTATGTGTTTGATCTGCTGCAGGTCTTTTATTTAATTCTTTTTTTTTTTGGTATAAAGAATCTTTTATTGGTGGTGACTTGTGATTCATACCCATTTCTTTGAACCAGCCACGATTATCCCAATGTTTTAAAATTAATTAATTACGTCCCAACGTTTACACCAGTGTCCTAATTTATCTCAATGTTTTAAAATTGATCAATTACGTCCCAAGATTATCAAAATTGAGCATATCCATCCCATTACCTGCAAAACAACAAAAATGACCCGATATAACAAGTAAAAATCTATTGGGTTTAATATTTATTCTTTTTTTCTCTTTTTTTTATTTTTTTGTCATTTTTTAGTTCATTAAAAAACAAAAAAAAATTTCTAAATTAAAAAAAAAAACCCGAAAAATTTACTTAATTAATCAAAATAATTTATGCATCACAAATGACATAATTTATAATTTTAAATAAACTCAAAATTAATTAATTTTTAAATACAATATATATATATATATACTCCCTCCGTCCCATAATTATTGTCCACTTTGCCCAAAAAATTTTGTCCCAAAATTATTGTCCAATTTGACTTTTTATGGATCAAGTTACACATTTGTCCTTAGTAAAAAATATTATCCATAAAATCTTAGTGGTTAAACAATTACTTATGTAGGGGTATATCTGGTTGTTTAAAGTAAAATATAGTTAAGTTTGACCAAAAATAAAATCTTTCATTTTAGGCAAAGTGGACAATAATTATGGGACGGAGGGAGTATATCTGTGTGTGTGTGTGTGTAAGCATAATCATTCTATTTTTTACTCAAAATAAAGAATTCTTTTTGGAAATTTTCTTTAAATTTTATCAAAAAATTAAAATAAATCTGATTATAAAATAAATTAGATTCATTACAAATAAATTAAAGTTTTTAGTTTCTCCATTTATAAATGTTATTTTTGTTTCAATAAACTAAAAAAAATTAAAAAATTCAAATAAACAGAATTAAAAAAATGTTAAATATGGGATCTAAATGATTTATCTGTTATACCAGGTCACTTTTGTTGGTTTGCAGGTCATGGGATGAATCTGCTCAATTTTGATAACCTTGGGACGTAATTAACCAATTCTAAAACTTTGGGATGAATTCGCTAGCAGGGTATAAACATTGGGATATATACACTAATATTCTTTTTAAAAAAAAAAACACCGGACCTTTTGATTTTACACTATCAATGAATGTTGCAGGGTTCACCTCCTCCGTATGTTTAATCATTGGCTACGCCATGATGTAATGGGTGTTTCATACCCAAGGAATGTATTTGTGTAATATATAATATAGGCTCATGCCTCCCCTTTTTGTACCCAAAAAAAAAAATATTGTAGGGTTCAAGAATCCAAGGTGGGTGTTTCAAAATTTACAAGTTAACTAATTTTGTTTCTTTAATTTGAGAAGTCAGAGAAGTCTGCATTTGGTACCTGTATCAAAAAATTCTACAAGTTCATCTCTTCATGATCTAGCTTTTGACCTTCCTATCATCATCATCATCAGTACCCAAGTTTCTTAGGCATACTCTGCAGTCTGGTCATCATATTCCACCCCTTTCCATCTCATTTTAGTCTCTTTCTCCTTCTTCCTTTCATTTGATTTCGACTTGCAAATACAATTAATATCACATCTTTCCACCCCAAAAAACAAATTTACAAAAAACATGGCCTCTGCTTGGCATGGTCTGGACTTGCTGCTGAGCTCATTGCCTCATAGGGGGGCAAAAGAACTTGTAGAATGGAGGGTTATGATTAAGCTCTTCAAAGTGTTCACTCTTATTTCCACCAGCAAAGTTGGCAGCAACGATGATGCAGATCTGACATCTTTATTGCTAAGCATTGAAGACACTGTTCACAAACTACTTGACCAATTTCATCCTCTCTGTATTCATCACCATTCCGATGATGAAGCTAAAAATTTGTTTGCCAGTCTGGATGAAGAGTTTGTAAAGGAAATCGATACCTTTGTCGGAGCGAATAAAAGGTGGTATGTCACAATGTTGGATTCCCTGCTGCAAGAATCAAGTAGTACCTCTGTTTTTACCTTAGAGGGCATATCTTTAATCACAAGTTTCAATTATGAGGTTGTCCAGAGTTGCGATGACAATTCTGAAGCAGAGGACTTGATCGAGCAGATGAAAACCTTGCAACTCCTAACCGGATTTGTTGATGAAAATCCAGCCCACAATTTGTTGGCTCCTGCTGAAGCTTTTGCTATCAATGCACATCTCTTCCTCCTGGTTCCTGACGAATACATGGAGCATAAGCTTGGGGTCGAAAATCTTGACGGAGATTGCGATTTCATTTCTTACTTTGAGCATCTGTACTACGAGGCTTGTATTCAAACCTTGCTGAGTAGCACAAAGTTATCAAGAGTAGATGATGCAGGGGAGCCTGAGGACGCCTTAATTGATGTCAAGAGTTTGGTTTTTATTCTGATATCGAATCTCTGGAATCTGTTGCGATTGAATACTTTCCCTCAGAAGGAGAAGGATCAACTGCAAGAACTCTAAGAAGGACTAAGATCCTTCAAGAGAAACATTCTCAAAGAAAACAACAACATTGATGCGGACATTGTGGCTGCACTACGCGATGCCGGAGTCATAATCTTCTCATTGCTTCTTGACCACACAAATGCAACGGAACCAGACCTCGGACGAGTCCTTCAAGAAGATTTGACGAGAAGGATCGAGGCAATTTTGGCGCAACTTGGAGGAAAAGATCCACCACAGGTACCACCAGCATTATTTGCCTTTTCCCGGACTAATCAGCTGGGTTTTGCCGATTTCGTGTTGGAAAAATTGATGGACCTGAGTGTTAAAAGAATCCATGAAGAACTTGTCTTCCTAAGATCTTTCAGGGGGGACATTGTGGAGCTACGCCACCAACAGGAGGAACTCCAAGATCTTTGGAATAGTGTTATAGAAATGGCGTCTCGGGTGGAGATTCTCATTGATGACCTTCTTCTAGATGGTGACACTCAAGATTCTTCTTCAGCATCAATCAGTTCTATTATGAAAGACATCAAGACTTTGAAGCCCAAAATAGAACTCAAGAGATCAGAAATTAAAGCCAACAGGCTAGAAATTAAGGTGAGGGAAGAAGCCATCAGTGAGTTGCCATCACAAGCAACAACTCTCGCAACAATACCAAATGAAGTCATTGGCTTTTCTGATGATGCAAGATCAATTGTGGATCAACTCACCCGAGGATCCACCCATTTGAAAATCGTTTCCATTGTAGGTATGCCAGGACTAGGCAAGACTAGTTTGGCTACAAAAGTCTACAATGATAATTCTGTTCTGCACCATTTTCATGTTCGTGCCTGGTGTTCAATCTCAAAAGCGCTGGACAAAAAGAATGTGTTATTCAGCCTTCTAAGTCAGGTTAGTTGTAACAGCGAATATTGTCTGGTCATACGAACACGATTTAGCAGTAAAACTATGGCGCAAATTGAAAGGGAGAAGATACCTCATATTTTTGGATGATGTGTGGGGGATTGAAGATTGGAATAGTTTGGCACAATCATTCCCTGATGACGAAGTGGCAAGCAGAATTATCTTGACAAGTCGTGATCGCAATGTTGCTCCCCGTAACATGATGGTAGACGAGAAACCTTATTTTCTTCGGCATCTCAACAACGAAGAGAGCATGGAGTTAATGCAGAAGAAATTGTTCTCTGGAACTGATGGTTGACCGCCTGAATTACATGGTCTCGGGATGAATATCGCTCGGTTTTGTAAGGGTTTGCCGCTTACTATCGTCATTGTAGCTGGAATCCGAGCAACTGCTAAGAAACCGGAGGTTTGGAAAGGAATTTGGGATGATTTAATCTCAAGGGATGCATCAGTTCGACAAAACTGCACCCACGCCTTGGAACTTAGCTACGACTTTTTACCGGATCATTTAAGGCCATGCTTTCTCTATTTCGGGGCATTTTCAGAAGATGAAGAGGTTTCAGCGGATAGGTTATGTTACCAGTGGATGGCAGAAGGTTTTGTTCGGAAAGCTGAGGGAAAGCGAACAAATGATGTTGCTGAAGGTTACTTGAAAGCTTTGATAGACAGAAGCTTAATTATGGTTACTACCAAACAACGATGGAATGGTGCAGCCAAAGCGTGCCGCATTCAGGACTTGCTTTACGATTTTTGTCTGCAGAAATCGAGAGATGAACATTTTATCCATGTCCTGAAGGGGAACTCAGATGAGCTCTCAACTTCTAATGAGCCATTTAACCTCCGGAGGTTATGCATCTATTCTGAACCATCGCATTTCGAACAATCCAAGTTGTTTTTCCCTCGCGCCCGCTCTCTGCATTTCCGCGGCTCCAGATCCACCCGCATGTCAAAACTTGATGACGTTTCGTTCCTGATCGACACCTTCAAATTGGTAAGAGTATTGAATTTGCTCAAAATCCATTTGAAATCCGGGTTTCCAAGCGAAATAGAACGGCTTGTTCAATTGACATTCCTTGCAATTCGAGGCAGCATTACTCACATCCCACCATCAATATCCGAGCTCAAAAATTTGGAAACTCTTACCGTGGACCCCCGGGGTGTGGTTTTTTCCATTGCCAGGCAGTCTTTGGGAACTTCGGAAATTGAAGTACCTTTACTTGAAAGGTTATTGCGTAAATAGTGGTGGTATTTTGCCCCTAGAAAATCTTGATGGCTCGCCGGTTTTATATGAGTTGGACAAGCTTTCCGGTGCTCTTATTCTTGAGTCGAGATTCATGGAAAGGCTAATGAGGAAGTTCCCAAACATCTGTAAGCTGCACTGCGTTGTTTCTGTTACTCAAGATGATGAATTGCGGAACCTGGATACCATTGTAGTTCCTGAGTTCTTGAGGCGACTAGAATGGCTTCATATGTCCTGTCGTCGCACACTTGACAGGACTTTGAAGCACTGGAGTCTGCCGCCAAATCTGAAGAAATTGGTGCTGTCAAACTTTGATCTTTCTTCGGAGAGTATGTCGACCATTGGTAAACTGCCAAACCTCGAAGTTCTCAAACTAGATCGAGCCCACTTCGAAGAAGAAACATGGGAAATGGGAGAAGGTGAATTCTCAAAACTCAGAGGCTTGAAGTTTTATGAACCGGGGAACCCTGAGAGAAAGTTTCTTGTCCAGGTGGAGAACCGCTTGCGATGATCAGCTTGAGTGCCTCCAGAAGTTGGTGTTTCTTAATTGTTTGGGTTTGGAAGAGTTGCCTCCTTGTTTGGAAAACATTCAAACACTTGAGATGATTGAGGTGTCGGATTGCTCTGAGATGATTGAAAATTTGGTGAGACAGATTGCAGATCATCAGGTGGAGCAGTGGGGAAATTCAAATCTCAAGGTCGTCATATCCAGACCATCCCAAGCATTCGATTTCTTCGAATCAACAGAATGGTCGGGATCAGATTATTCATCTGAATGATTTCTTCTATTGTATTTTTTTCATATATAAATTTCTTCCAAAAAAATAAAACAAGAAAAAACGGAAAAATGAAGAAGAAGATAGTTTTTTGAAAGGGTTGTGTAGTGGAAAAGGCTACACATTTCATAAGTAATCAACTAATCATGATTGGGACAACAGTAGGATTATTACCTTCTTATTCATATAGATATAGCTTCATACTATTTCATTGTTACCTTCTTTATGTACTTGAGTGATATGATTCGGACTTCGAGACATCTGATGCAGCCCTAGAAAAACATAAGGAATGCACTCCTCATTCGTGCTCAACCAAAGCTGTTACCAACTTGTTGGGATCAAAACATGAGGAGCACAATGTGGCCTTATTTTGAAACATAATAGGTCAAGGTCAAATACATTAAATCCGAATTTCAGAATGAAACAATCAGTTTAATGAAGTAATACAATCCCCTCTGAGTAAATCTCAAAGAACACCAAGATTTCCCTCACTGCGACTTCTGCGCATGGAAAGATCGGACTTGAAGCTTAGAAGTGTGTTGCTCAAATAATTCTGCTGAATGATGACAGGCTTACTTCCACCAGTTGGTGGCAGTCGTGCATTTTTTACTTTAGAAGACCTTGATGCAGCTGCTGCTTGGCTTCTTCGACCATGAGATGATGCAGAGGTGACCTTGCTGGTTGCAGCAGCATGAGCTCCCTTCCGCATGAGCTTGAGATCAGCTTTTAGGCTCCGGTCCATTTGACCACCACTAATGGCTACACGAGCTGATCTGTCTGCAGTGTCCTTCAGAGCGCCAACTTTGATGGGCTGCCTGTTGAAGTAAGAAAGATGGGGGAGAAGGCCTAGCAAGTATTTCTTCACTTGTTCATCGCCAATATTCTTCTGGGCGGGATTCCCTTCTAAGCTTATTGCCTGTAAAGAATTGTAGTTGGCAGCAAGCTGACCTAGACATTTGGTTGTAGAGATTTTGTTGAAACGCAGATCAAGAACATTCAACTTAAGCAGCCGGTGGAGACCCTCAACCTCGCTAATTTTGTTCCCAGCTATGTACAGCTCTTTCAAGGAGGAACAAGAAGCAAGCCCTTCGAAGATTCGAAACCAAGATTCAGCAGGACAGATGATTCAAATATCACAAAAGATTTGGACGAAACAGAACATATAAACCTTTGACAGACAATAAAGTCAGTCAATCGCAACCCACACCAAATAACAGAAACGCCTAAAGAGATTCCTGTGCAAAAGAAGAATGGATTTTCTCCTCTCTTACAGAATCAGTTAAAATCAGAACCAACGGGGCACGGCCAAAACATAAAAAGGGGGAGAAATATTTCCAATAAGTGGGGTAGGGGTCTGGAGAAGAAAGAGTATATCATAGCAGTAACAGAATAGGAAACGACAAGCCATGGGAGAAAAACAACAGATTGTCCCCCTTTTCTCTGTCAATTCACATGAACTGCGAATATTCTGATTGCAGATATGCACAATAAACTTAAATAATCCCAAATTTTATCCTCACATCGCCATTCTTCAAATTATGAAAGTTTAAAACAAAAGAAAAACTGGCTACAATCCCTTTAGGTGTCATCAAAATAGAAATGCCAGCTGAACTAAACTACAAATATTTACACAAGCAGTCACCGTCCAACACCAGTGGCAACAGCAACTATGCTAAACAACCAGCTTTTACAAAAAAAAGTCAAAACCAAATTCAAATTCAAATTTCCTGACCATAATCTTCCAGTATTTCCCAAACAAAGCTTTACACGGTCATAGGGTTCATTCAGAAGAAAATCAGTCGTGGAATATATATTAATGGCAATCAAAATCTGAAATTCACTACATCCCTCCTATTGTCTAATCAAAAATGATTCTTCTCTAGTCACATGCAATAACATCAGAACAATACTTCTAGTACTTCATATTGCTTAGAAAAGTGTTGCCTTTCTGTTTCGAAATAGAAATGCCTCAAAAACTCAATAACCAAATGGTAGAGTAAGAAATCTAAGATCAGATATATCATACCATGACCAATTCTCAGAATCCGGTTGTAGCTAAGGTCAAGAACGCGAAGGCGAGTAAGTTCTCGCAAACCTTCAACGGTGGAGATCTTATTTTTGGATAAGTTCAGAATGTGCAGTCCCCGCGGAAGAGAGCCAGCAGTTATTCTAACTGGAATGAAAAGTAGACAATTATGTATTAGTTTTATTTAAATGGCATAATCAAATGATGGTGAAATGTAAAACTACATAAGAAGCTAAAAACATATAAAATGAGAAGCTGAGGAGAATAATACCTATAGCATTCCCAGATAAATTAAGGGCCCTAAGGCTAGAAAAAGGACTCAGAAAAGGGATCAAATCCAACCCGTAGTTCGCCAGCTGAGCAGCAGTAGCTGAGGGACTCAATGAAGAGATGTATCTCTTAACAAGCTCCTTGCCAGGACTGAATTTTCCCTCCAATTTTGTTGCAGATGAAGCATCTAGGAAACCTCTCACCGGAGGATTAGTATAGTCATCCAAAGCAGAAATTGGTTCAGACTCGTCCAAGGGGTTGCAATTCTGAAGATCACTCACCCAATCCTCAATTCTTCTAACCTTGAAGTCCTTACTTGGTAATTCATTCCCCTGCCGATATGAAGAATTTCCTCCAAGGTTATCATCGCCCAGGGGTACTACCCAGTCTTTTGCTGAACCAACATAATTATAGGTTAGAACAGCATCATCAACATGATTACTAGAATGGTTTTTCTCATTATAAGATATCAAAGTATCATCTCTCCCCAGACGACGGGTTATATCTGCCCGTAGTCTGCGTGTCATCGTCTCCTTTCTTCTGCAACCAAGAAAATTCAGATCCTCAGCAGACCGAATCCGGCGCAGAGAGCCCACCACAAAATGACCAGGAGAATCAATGTTTGGCAAGGAACTTGACTTCTCAAAAATAGGGGTGCAAGGTGAATGGCCACCATTATTTCCTTCAGCAGAGAACATTATATCATCATTAGGATGCTGATGGCTCTCCTTGTCTGAATGTGGAGCACCTCCTGCAGGAAATACAGATCCAAGGTTTGCCTCTTTTTCATGTGCATAAAGTGCTTCTTCAAACTGATCGGACAGACTGGCTGGTAAATCCTTGCCTACATTTGGGACAAGAGAGGCACCATTATCATGGGATCCATCAGAAGAAAATTGTTGATCCATACCATCTTCCGAGGCACTACCACCTGAATCCCTCCCATTCATGTCCAAACCGGCTCCTAAAGAATGAGATTTCTTGATAGAAATAACTTTAGGAACGGGATTCTCTTGGGTGGTCTCATCATCATCTGAATTAGAGTGGCCCTCAACAGCAGGAGTGTCTATTGGGCAATCGGCACAAATCTCATGAGCATCCACCTCCGCCTTCAAGTTTGAAGAATTCGAATCTGTCAAATAAGTAAAGTTCTTCTGCGCCTTGATGTTCAAAGAATCCTCTAGCGTTTTCTGCATTTTTTCAGCGGATAACTGATCCATTTTCTGATCAGAAGAGCTGACAAATCAGTAACTACACTTGAATGTGGCTCATAAAGATTTTTTTTAAAAAAAAATAAAAGAAAAGAAAAGAAAAAGAAACAAAAAGTAGAAAATAAAAAGCAAGACTATACAAAGCCTAAAAGCGTGATAGATTTACCTTTTGCTTGTGCGATTGTGTATGTGTGTTGAAACACGAAAACCGAAACATCACTATGAGCTGACTATTACGAAATCACATGGGAACTGGTTGTTTGGACTACTGACCACCTTAAAGAAACTCCAAAATCAATTACACACAAAAGCTTCTAATACAAATCAGAGCCTACATTTCCAAGGACTTAACCGTGGATGACCTCAGTTGTGGCTGATCTTAGCCATAGTCAAGGGATAAACCTTCTGATACACGGCACAACCTCCAAATATGAGATGATCTCGATCTTCCCACGACACATAATAGTAATACTCCTCCAAAGGAACCCCACACCCTCCTAGAGGTGCGAGAAAAGCTTATTGTTGCAGCGGCCAGACTGAAAGAAGATTGTTGGAGCTATAAAAGCTCAATCCCTGTCATGCATATGAGACTACCAGCTGAAACAAATATCCACAAAATCAAGTCAATCATCGATGACCAATGCACTGATGAGGAGATCTAAAACTAAGCATGCCTGGCAGAAGATGAAGAGGGAAAAGTTGAGCTAATCAAGAACTAAATCAGCAACGCCCACGAATATCTTATCACACTCAAATTCAGTATTAGAAACAAAGACTTTCTCTTTAACTATAGACAAACACACACTCTTAGAATATTGTTAAGAATCAAGTTCTGACTAACTTCTGAATGGCAAGTGCTCCATTAAAACTGTATGGAATCGCAGCACTTAAAACTATAACTTCAATTCCACTGAATGAATCAGGATTGCAACAAAAGTAGTTACTACTGAAACAATAATAAAATCAAACCAATCATTAATTAACTCACCACTTTTCATTCAATTAAATAAGCTCAAGAAGCAAATAATTACTACAAGCAAATGAGAAATTAGTTTAAGCTATTTGCAGAGAAATTTAACCACAAAACAAAAAAAAAAAAAAAGAGTAAGTAATGTTTTCTTGAGAAATTTGGAGAAACACAATGGCAAACAAGTTTGGAGCAAAACTATCAAGAAATTAATAGCAGGATAAGATTGTCCGCAGAAAACTCACAGAATAGCCCATCAAGAAAAAAGAGGCCAATTAACCATGAAATCCAAAATTCAGAACAGACAAATACCAAAGGAAACAAGTAAAATCACAACTTCATCAAAATCCCAGGGAAAGAAAAAACAAACAAACAAAAAAATCCGTGGATTCGGCATCATGATTAAACAACTATTATCAGCCATTAAATTAAGAAAAGTTAAGAAGCAGAAAATAAACCAATTCAACCAATAATATAAATATATATATATAATCAAGAGATCCGAACTTACGATAAACCAAGAAATGATAGAGAAAGAAAAGAACAACACTGGGAAAATTCAACCCCCTTCCTAGCCAGATTGTGCTACGAGCAGCGTGACCTTGTGGATGAAAATTTAAAGGGAACCCTATTTTCCAGTTCAGCTGGAAGAATGAGAAAAAGGATTCTGCTTAAAGAGCCTTTTTATTTTTGTTGCCGTAGAAAATAAATTAAAAAATTTTTTTTTTAAAAAAAAAACCATTGAAATCAACGGTGGCCATTCAGTATGCCTCTATGTTTGTTCCGTCTGGGATTCTGGGGTATAGTTTCTATATTTTTTTTTTACACATTTTCACTGGAATATTTCTGGAGCACTTTTCATCAAAAAAATAAATAAATAAATATCATCCTAGAAGGAAATAAGAATTAAAATGATAATTTGCAATAGAGAGGTAATAAATGTGACGTGTAATACACTAGAATGAGTATATAATAACAATAAATTTTAACTCTTACTCGGAAAGGAATTCTGGAAATTGTTTATAGCGATTAAAAAAAAACACACACACACAACAATAATGTGGAGCGAATTTATTAGAGGTGGTGTGAATAAGGGAAAAAGCACCCACAAAATTTGGTGGCTGAAATCTTAAAACAACACTCAAGAGAAAGCAACACCATTTGCCATGTGTCATTTCTACATCATATTTTTAAAATAAATTTTTATTTTCATATCTCTTAAACTTAAAAGTCAAATGCAGTCCAAATTTATTTCCACCTCCTACTTTCGTCAAAACAAACAAAAAAAAACCACGGGTTCATAAAAAACCCAAATCCTCATCCACATCGTCACGACAATCGACTCCTTATTCAATTCCTTTTCCACAATTCAAAAAAAAAAAATCCTCATCAGTCATCAATTGAGAATATGTGGTGAAATATACTCCTTTCCTATTAGCATGTTCAATCTTTTCATTAGTGATGATCAACTACATCCTAATCGGATAAAATTTTAATTTCAAAAAATATTCTCTTTACCTCTCTATATAAACACAAAGGAAAAAAAAAAAATCTCATTGATCTTGCTTCGGCCGTTGTGGTGGTGCCATTACAGGTATTAAATTTAAATGATTTTATTTCCACAGATAATTGGTTTGGCTTTTATTATTTTTTATTTTTCCCGTTCAAGAATAGTGTTATTACTATTATTTTTATGCGTCTATCCGTTACAGCTACCGGAGCCGTTGTCAGGTAGTGTGATGTGATTTCTGATTTGGTTAGTTAGTCTATAATTTTTGTATGATTTTAGTTATGTTTGGATTGAATTGATTGATTGGGTTTTTGTTACAAAGTGTGGTTTTTTAAATTTGTTTTTTATGTTTTATTCAATTAGAGTGGTTTTCTTTTTTTAATTATGGAGTCTCAGGTTTTTTTCGTATATGGCCAGTTATGAAGTGTGTTTTTTCTTTGTTTAATTGCTTTTGATTTTGTTTCATACTCCCAGTTGACCAATTATTATTATTATTATTATTATTTTATTTGTAAATGAAGCACGTTTTTTTTTTGTGTTCGGGGTTTCAAGAATATACTTTTTTGGATTTGGTTTTTGGACCTTTTTAGTTCCTCATCATATAAATAGTTCAGGTCGCTTCTTTAACTCATTTATGGGGAAGCCTTTTATGAATTTGAGGCGGAGAGGGAAGGAATGATGTTTCTACGTTTATTTGTGTTGTTATACATCTACTACAGAAAGAAAAATAAAATTCTCAAATTTTAATGGGCTATCTTTTACTTTTTTTTTATTTGCCATGGTGAGGTGAGTTCTTTTTTGCTATATCTTGAAACCTATGCAAATTTACATTATTTTCATTCTCATATTTGTGATCTACCAGTTTCAACAATTAACCAGTATCAAAATCATTTGTTTGATATTTCACTACCTATAAACTTTTGGAAGAAATAGTTCCAACAATTAAGCATATACCCTTTTGAGGAAGCTAACTACAAAGCTATTATAAATCTCCAAAATTAAGTATTGATTTGGCATAACCAATGGAGAACATCAATAAATTATCTTACTAATATTTAAACTTATTAGGATACTTTTATATTTTTTCTAGCATTTACTTCAAGACATATATTTGATCAAGTTTATTTATATTTAAGAAATAACACTTATAAAATATTTCTAAAATTTTCAAAAATTTCTAAAACGTACCAGGCCAAATACAATTTATTTTATGCCAAATATAAACATCACACTTATAAAACATTTCTAAAATTCTTCAAATATTTCTAAAATATATCGGGTCAAATATAAAATATTTTTTTTCAGATACAAACATTTCTAAGATCTACAGATATATTGGGCCAGGATCACGCATTGCGCGACCAGACATCACTAGTAATAGGAAAGAAAAAAAAATTAAACAAACGCCTAGAAGTTCTCTTCTAAAGGGAAGAGAATTCTCTTGGGATGAGATTTAGCTGCAAGTGATGCTTTTGCGTGATAATTTTGTAATTTTATAAAAAGATGATTTGTGTTAATTTACTGTCGTACACTACTCCTTCCGTCCCTAAAAATAAAATCTCAAATTGGACAATAATTTTGAGACAGAGAAAGTACTATTTAAGCCATTCTAAAAAAAAAAATAAAAATCTAATCTGTACTATCTAAGTGTTACATGATATGTACAGTGAATATGGGTCGCTGATTTAAATTCTCTTCTTTTTCCTTGTTTTATTGAGAGTTTCCTTGAGATTTTTCATCATATGAATATAATATTGGTTAGTGATCTTTAGAATAGAAGAGAAGATGCCATCTCTTTGAAGTTACTGTACTTGGATATTTTCATATTATAATATTATTAGTAGTATAGATTACATTAGATGCCATTTAAGCCCCAGATGTGAATATTGATGTAAGGAAATAGCTGGTGACGGTAGACGTGCTAAGTGTATCTTTTTCAATTTTCACTTTTTTTTTTAATGTGGAAAATATTAGTAGTCTAAGCAATTAATGCAAATAATAATCAAAATCCTTATCATAGATTCATTGTGTTTCTGGAATGCCGACTCCGCAAATCCATAATCATTCATGTTCCGGGAACTCGGCAATAAATGGTGAACGTTGCATTTTACATGACTGATAATAAAAGAAAATAATCATACATGTAGAGAAAAATTATAAAAAATGATATAATTTAAATTTAAGAGTGAACTTCAAAACGGCTCATTGAACTATTAGGTAATTCTAATATAGGCCATCAATCAAATTTATTTGTATATAACATGTCATCATATTAAGCAAAAAATTCATCCGAGATCATTTTGTTAATTTTACTGTTAAATAGGGACGGATATCTATTTTTCACATGCTTTTGTGTTTAGAGGTATTTTTGTCATTTTATTTTTTTAAAATTTTTAATTTTTTTACAGTTCTTATTCTTATACTTCCTAACTTGTATATACTGGTAGTATAATTTCTAAATTTCAAAATTAATTTACCTTTTGTATTTTAACCTCTAGATTATAAACTTTTTTAAAAAATTTAAGAAATGAAGAAGAAAAATTCGAGTTAAAGTTAAAATAAAAATTAATAGTTTACCATTTTAAACTAAAAAAAAACTAAAAGAATTATCTAGGACAAGTTGTTTCTTCTAAGTTATTTAATTTTTTTAACTCGATTGAATTATTTAATTATTAATTTTCATGTAAACTTCAATTTGAATTTTACATATTCTTTCTTATTCTTTTTTTTTTTATTATTATTATCGACAAGTTAAGATACACATGACAAGTGATTTACTCTGTATGATTCTAAATCTTAAATGTATAATTCTAAATTGAAAGAATAAAATGAGGGATGTGATTTACTCTGTATCATTCCTTCTCATTTTTTTATTATTATAATAAAAAAGTGTTAAGAGTTTAGAAAAATATTAAAATGAACAATTCATTAATAAAAATTATGAAAAAAGCTTGGAAAAAAAAATCCAAACGAAGCCTAAAACCTAACAAATCTTGGAATTCATAGAGAAACACTCATCATTATAATATCTTTAGAAATTTTCTTCTCGCAATTGGGGTCCTCAAAGTTTTCTTATAGGCCGGCACCTATTCTAAAAATATATCTATATATATATATTATAAATGGGGAAAAAACGTATTAAAACTATTTCTCGCAGGTGAATATCACGAGTCAATAACTATGGCACGGTTTGATTGTTAGAATTCTCAATTTTTTTTAACCAAAGGTTCTTAACGAATTAATAAGGAAAATACATTATTAACTTTCGAATGTGTGTAATAGTTGGAGCTAGCGCATAAAAGTTTGAGATTAATCTTCTCATTCAACCTAAAAGTCCCGATGAATGATGATAGATAAATAAGAAGAAACACACGAAATTGATCGAAAATAAAATATCTAAAATCACACGAAATAAAGATCCAGAAATTGTAACTGATCTTGAATAAATTTCAATGGTACAATTTGGCACATCCTCACTAAAAATATACTCCTACAATAATAAATTCCTAAGTAGCAGTTGATCCAATATGATTTTACCACACTAATGATTATTTTGCTCTAACATTCAACAAAATCACACAATGGGATGGGAGATAAAAAAAGTAAAAATTCAGTAGCAGTGGCACTCAATTGTATTTTATTTTTTCCCCCCTTTAACGGACTTCATTAGAGCACGAAAATGTCGGGCTTAGCCCGACCCGAGACGGATCAAGAAGTCTCCGCCTTTTCAAACTCCTCTGGCAACTTCTCTGCCCTCCACTACAATCCACCGCCGCCACCGCTACGGAGCCTGGGGGGACATCGACCTTGATATCTCCGGGTAACGAGTGTTTCTGCGACATAATTCAAAAACAAATTATGTCCATCAATCAATCAGCGAACCGAAGAATATAAAAATAACAACAGATTGAGAAATTTCATAGATTTAAGGCAAAGATCTGAGACCTTTTGATGCGTAGTTTTTCTTCTCCGGCGCAGCGACCGAGACGAAGACGACGCCGAAGAACGCGAGCAGAAAGATTCGGCGTCGCTATTAGACGACGTCGACGAACTAGCCGCCGGCGGAGGCGTGGTGGTCGCCGACCAAGGCTGGAGCATTCGGTTATCCTCCAAACCAATCTCCTCTTCCTCCTCCGATGAATTTACAGCTGCCTCTGCTTCATCACTACTACCATCGGATTCAATTTCAACATGGGAATCCGTACATCCGGCTTTTCCCCTGTTTTTATTACGACAATTCCTGGCACAATTGGTGCACACAGAGACCGCGGGGCCAAGCATCGTGCCGGCGGCGGACCAAGGCGTCGGAGATTGGCAAATTCGGCAGAGCAGCGTCCTGGAATGCCGAGTGACGAGGAAGTTGGCGGCGTGGACTTTGTAATCGCAGGTCCAGCATAAGATCGCCTGGTCCGACTCGCAGTGGGTCGTAGCCACCCTTCTGCAGAGTTCGCATTTCTTCATTGTTTTTCTATTGAAAATTATTTCTTCTTGGTGAAATTTTCTCTTCATGGGAGAAAAATATGGGATGAGAGAGAGAGAGAGGGTGAAGAAAATGTGAAGACTCAAAGAAAAAAAAAAAAGAAAACTTAAAAAAGAGGTCGAGGAAGAAAGGGGGGAGAAGAAAGAGAAGACCAACTTGGTGGGCTGAAATGGGAAACCGCCTTAATATTTAAAGCAAATCACGAGACTGCCCCCCGAACTCATTACTGTGTGACTGTGTGTGTGTGTGTGTGTGTGTGTATTTTCAAAATGTCCAAAATGAATGAGCGGAATATACTTACGTAGTAGTAACAATTACGTGAAAGTAAAACAAACGAACAAAAAAAAGGAAAAACTGTAACCAGATTGTAACGTAATTTAGCACTTGATGAGAAAAAAAATCTTACGTTTTGAAGTTTTGATTAATTAGTTTTACCATAATTAAAAAAAATTGGTATAGGCTGAGCTAAAATATTCCAAATCAAACAGTTGTAGAGCTTCTTTATTTGCTATATTGATCAGGTATTTTAAAGATTTTTTTTTCTTTTTAAAGTGCATTTACTGTAAGGAGTATGAATATTACGCATTTAAAGGAACACTAATTTTCCAATAAACACTTTACGTTACCGATTTTAAACCATGACTCAATTTTCTGTTTAATTTTAAAAAATTATCAAGTAAAAGAAATTTCAAAATTGACAAAACTTCGGCTGCTGGGAAAAACAACGTGTACAAATTTGTAATCAGAGACAGAAGCGCATAGCCTAGAGTTCCCAAACGTGTGATTTTTCAAACTTGCATTTTTGTGGTTGAAACGGCAGCGTCCAGGAACCTGAACGAATGGCTGGAGCGAATGCCAGGTGTCGGAAAACTGGGGAACATAGGATTTTTGGCTTTCTGGTGGTTCGTACAAAGATATTTTTGTTGCTCTTTGGATTTTGGAGATCCACGTGGCAGATACGAGTTTTGGGAGAGAGATTTTCGATTCGCTTACTCTTGCGTGGAGTAACTTGGGGCCCCCGTGGGTTCATGGACCACGTGAGAACACCTGATGCTTAGTTGGCAAAAGTGGATGGTAAAAATGCCCGGTGGGCCCTAAGGCCCATAATGACTCGGGAACGAGTCTTCTTTTAGTTTTTCTTTTTCTTGTTTTGGGGAAGTCCAATTGGGTGGCCCTGATTCAATATGATGCTTTGGATACAAGGCCGATGTTACGGCCACGCAGCCATGATGTTGTCCAGCCTTGATCCTCTTCGAGGAGAAAAACAAAATTTTCGTCTTTTTTTTTTTTTTTTTCCTGTGAGAAGAGGGCTTAAACGTTGGCCTCGGTCTCTAGAATTACTAAAGGAGAACTCGAACGGATTAAAGATTTACTCTCATAAAAAAAAAAAAAAAAGAGTTTAGTTTCTAGCTTTGTATGTAAAAGGTTACTGTTTGATAGAAGAACGAGGTTTGATCATGTCAAATGGATAATGACTTCATGGTAGTTTTAAATATGAAAAGTGAGTTGACTAATATGTTTGATAAAAATTACAATGTCTTATAATACATATTTTGGAACTAAGAATTTACATCACACACAAATACGGTTTAAATCACGAGATTCAACTAAGTCTATGTTAACAAACACCGAAACACGACACTCTAATTTACATTTTCCGAGTGAAAGGAGAAAAAAGAAAACAATCTAATTCTTCACATAAATCCAAAAAAGCTGAGGAAAAAGAAATCTTTAAACACCATCTTATATAGTTTAACTCATATTTCAAATTACTTTTCAAAATCAATTTTATATATAATCTTACACCATCACCATGCTAGTCGGCTACTTGGTTGGCGGGGGCGTCCTAAATTAGTTGTGGAATGTGGATAGTCAGGTGATAATGAAAAATATTATTTTATTTAATAACTTATTCACACAACATCTTAAATTTTTACTCAAAATATGTTTTTAAATTTAGAACCGATGTGCATGCATGCCCAATTCACTGAAGTGGTTACCACTCTAAAAATTAACAATCACTAAAATTTACTTGATTATCATGCATTAGCAAGCTTTCTTACCTTTCTAACATGCATTTTCGTGAACTTGCTTGTAATCCAGCTAAGTAGAGCATATATTATAAGAACAAGCGAAAATCAAGTAGTAAATGAGATCTTTGGGGGGAGAAAAAAAGAATTGTACAATATAAAGGTAAAAACTCTAGAGAAACAAAATTCAAATTGAAAACAAATTTCGTCGACAGCAGGGTTCGAACCTGCGCGGGCGAAGCCCAACAGATTTCAAGTCTGTCTCCTTAACCACTCGGACATATCGACTGATGACGTTACAATTTTCACGAGGCATAAATAATCTTAAATTGCAACTTACAAAATATATATATATATATATATATATATTTTATATATATATATGAGCTCACAAATGATTAATTACACCGCAACCTGCTATTTGTAAAACTAATTAAATGATTAGCCTTTAGTTAGGAAGAGTGTTTAAAGAGGATAAACGATCAAACAACCTGAAAACTTAGCTCGCATTGATCTTTAGGGAATCCAATTTGGTAATTTCCAATCCCAAACAAGACTGTGTTTAACAAAGCCACGGATATTAAGGACCAAAATTCTACTTCGTGAACTCTTTTTTTGGAGGTAAAGGTAATATAATAAAAAAGATTCTCTATGTTGAATTAAAATACTAACACATAAATAATGTACTTTGTTTGCTATGGATGAAGTGTTAAAACTTTTAAGGTCTTCCGATGCATTTTATTATTATTTTTTTAAAAAAAAAAAACAGAAGAAAGAAAGAAAGAAACACCGCCAAAGAGCAAAGAAAGTTGTAAATAGCTAGCTGGTAGACAAATAAAACTAGTACATGTACAATTGTATTATATCTCAAGAAAAAACAAAAAAACAAAAAAATAAAAAATGACACTTGATGCAGATTTTCAGGTTAAGCTACAGTGAGAGAGAGCCCGATAGGTGCGAAGAGCGTTCATCGTTCCTCCAAAAAATATGCCTTAGGCCAAAGATAAGTCTTTTCACATGCGACAAATCATATTGCCATTAACACAAATACAATTTTTTTTTTTTTGGGAACCAATTCAATCAGAAGAAATTAGTGCCGGAGTTTTTTTTCATTAAAGATGTGCAGATCTCCTACTTGCTACAACTCGTGTGCTTTGTTCCATTCACCGACACAACTGTTTCGGGGGTCTATTGCGCCAGCCAACCAAACCGAACTCCTCTATGGAGTGAGAAGGTGACTAGACTTGTAGTAAAGATACTTTAAAGTGCCTATGGTGTGACTCGAAACTGTGACCTTCAAGTTGAGTAAGTTTGTCTTACGACAACCCATGATTTGCAGTGCCGGTGTTGTTTCTTCAGTTTTAGACAATATGAAGAAAAAAAAAAAGAAAAAGTTTTAGACTATTATATATTTGTGTGACGTAGGAAAAGAGTTTAGGAGTATCATTTATAATCCTCGTGTGAAAACTGAAAAAGGGGGTCCATTTCGAAATTAGAAAGCGGGCTTCGTTTTGGGATTCCCTTTTTGCCAAGAAACTTCACTTCACGAGCCTATAAAACCAAAAATCACCATCCATATCACACACACACACACACACACAAAACAACAAAAACAAAAACTAAGACCAAAATTAGTTTGCAGTTGGATCCAGGTTCTTTCCTGCTAGTTTCACACATAATTGCAAAAAATTCAAAATCCACTTTCCTTCTTCCTCACCAAACCTTTTTTGCCTTCTCATCGATCACTCATCAGTTCATACTAAAACGTTTATTAGAATCTGCAAGAATTTGTTTCTGGTAGAGAGAATATCGTAGTAGTACAATGGTACATTACATTACATTACATTTTGCCCCCATTAAATTTGGTGTAGACTTTCCAAGCTCATTCCTCTCTCCTACCACAACTGTCCAACTCCCATCCCTACCCAATATCAACTAAAAAACAATTCCTCCATGTCCATCATGTGAACATTTCTTCTTCATTTTTATATCATACAAAAAGACTCTTAGAAATGATTCCAATCTGGCAATCTTCCCCCCTCCATTGAAATTTGGAATGATTCTCCAGAAGAAGCAACCCAATTTGACAAGAGTGATAACAAGGAAATGGTCAATTGGGAATTATGGGCTCCCACTATTAGTTATTTCTAACATCATCCCCAACATTGAGGTTTACTTTTTTCTTTTTTTTTTAAAAAAATGCATTACACAAACTTAGAGAAAAGTTAGTTCTTTTATTAACTTAATTAATGTGCAATATTTCGGTTAAGTTACTAATGATCACTTTCTTATCGTGTGATATTTGGGATTAAATAGAACACGACTTAAGTCAAGCCGCATGTCACATCCATTGACCAATATCAGAATAAGGAATAGTAATTCGATCCAAAATGAATCGACAGTGTTGGAATGATGGAGAGAAGTAGAGAACTAAAGATCCTATTAAGCCGTATGAGTGTTTAAGAAACTTATGTAGAACTAACATATCTTTATAGTCTCACACATATGAAAAGCAAAAGGAATAACCGACTAATTGTTTAATTGTTAATTTGGCAAGCATGAGAGTATTTGGCTAGTAGTCCAATTGCGGGGACGAAATGTGAAAACTAGTAAAGTTGGGGGAGTATGCAATAAAACACATCATTAATTATTATTTTTTTTTTCAGAGAATTTCCTGAAACTTGTAAGAGTTAAACTAAGGACTTCGTTGTAAGTAGGGATGAAGCTTCTTCTGATCTCTGCGGAAACCAGAGGCAATTTCAGAGTACTGAAAAAGCCCGACCATCCATTACTTGTCTGTGAATCGGTTGTCATCCTTATCTGTCCTTTTTTGATCCATCAATCCATTATATATATAATCCCATTTGATCCACTTAATTCCCCAACAAATCTCTCCAAAAATACAATTTGTAGTTTGTACATTCACCAAGAAAAAAAAAAAAAAAAAAGAAGAAGAAAAAACAGAGCAAAGAAATGGCATCAGGAGGAACAAGGGAAATGTTTCAAGATATGCTGCCAATGATGGCTGATAAGCTTGGTGGGGAAGGATTAATTAAGGAACTGTGCAATGGGTTCAAGCTGCTGATGGATAAGGAAACAGAGCTGATCACATTCGAGAGCTTGAAGCAGAATTCAGCCAGTCTTGGGCTTCAAGATTTGAGGGACGATGAACTCCAGAGCATGCTTAAAGAAGGTGATCTTGATGGGGATGGCTGCCTTGATCAGATGGAGTTTTGTGTGCTCATGTTCAGATTAAGCCCTGATTTGATGCAGGACTCTTGGGATTGGCTTCATCAAGCTCTCCAGCAAGAATTCAGAAGCAATTAAACGTGCTTTTTGATTGATTGATTGAACCATCATCATAAACCAAACAGAGTATTATGCAGGGCTTCGAGGAACAATGCTGGAATCTGCGATATCTTAATTTTGAGTTGTTGTAGTTTTTTTAGGATGAATTCCATGAGTTCTTTTGCTTCTACATTGTTGGAAGGAATAATGTTTTTGGATTACTGTTTTAGGATGAATTCCACGAGTTCTTTGTTCCAATTTAATATATAAATATATATATATATATATATATATATATATATATTTTGGATCTCAGACTTTCGGTCACCAGTTGATTAAGGTTTTTTATTAAGATATTCAAATTTCGAAAGCGACAACATTTCTGTATTATCAACGACAAAATTACAATGAGCGAAGCACAAATCATAATTTTACTAACATTATCCACAAAACACAAATTCTAGAAATTGGATACGCGTATAATATTTTATTTCGTCCTAAAATAAGAATCTTATTTATTGTAGTACAATCGACATAATACAATACAGAGTCAGTCAAATTACATCACGCAACCTCCCCTATTGACACCAATTTTCCAGTCGCAGATTCTACCCAGCTAGCTGTTTTCATACAAATGGCGATCTAGCAAGATTTTCAGAAAAATGGTAGCTGTAGGAATGTGACTGTTATGTCGCATTTTCCAGTGACATTTAATTACTTTGGCTCTAATTTGGTGTTTTTTTAAAATCTTGGCACGTTTCTACTCAGAATGACCAATTTATATTATTCTATTTATTCTGGCAGTTGAGAATCTCGATACTGTTTTCTTATATCCATGTGGGATGAGGGCTTAAAATCTTTTGACAATTTCCTCATCTGTTGCCTTGTGTTTCCTACGGGAATCACAGGATAACTGAACAGTAATTTTGTTGTCTCTTTTCAGATGTTCTTGTTTTTGGTTTATGTATGGGACATTGGGATCAGCACTTTCTTTTAGAAAAAATAAAATAAAATTGCAACTGTTTAATGTCCAGAATGATCATATTGAATGGAAACACTGTACTATGTAGAAGATTTAAGCATCCGAATTCGAAAATGTAATTGACCATCTTCTCAGCTGACTGAAAACCTATCGAAAATGAGTAGAGGTTAGAGAATCTAATTGGATACCCTCTCAGTCCAAAAGGGACCAATAAAAAGAATCACAGATCCACCATCTTGATCTTACAAATTAAGGGAAGTTCTTGATTGGTGATTTATGATCTACCAAAGAAGAAAACTCATCTCTAAACAAAGAGACCTTGGGTGTAAAATCTCAATATTACTGTTATGGTTCAAAACGTCTTCAAACTGAGCTTTGTTAAACTCTATATAACAATGGATCAAAGAAGGACAACAAAACTGTTGTAAGAAACGCTGAAGATTGTTGACATGTAAACACTTAGAAGAGCCTCCTGATACCAGTTTCGCTGGATTGTGGGTTTCATAGCAATTCCTTGTGCGAAAGACTAAGATCAAGTAACGGATGCAAGCAATTAAGTAGGATCAGAGAGCATGGAAGGAGTAAAAGACCACTGAAATTTCCAAGCCCCCAAAAAAAAAAAAAGAAAGAAAAAAATGGTAACTAAAGCAGTTCATAGTTTCTGAATTTTCACTACTGGCCCTATAATCATATCCTAACAACAAAGAAGAATTTAATGAGGGCAGTACGTACATTTTTTTTGGCTTGCTCATTAATCCATTTGATCTGAAATCGCTCACTGAAACAAGATCTTCGCATTGTAGGAAGCACGAGAAAATCCCCGAATTTGTGACTTGATTTTGTCCCTCTCGAGGGAGTTCCGTGGCCTGGAGACTCCAATGGATAGAAACATCTCTTGGAGAACTTTTCCATGCTTGAGCAAAAACTTCACGAAGCTAATATCATTCTCGCACTCTGTAAACCCATGGATCTTCACCACTTTTAAGTTATGCAGGAAGGAACTCATGGCTCGACTTTGAGATTCCCAATATTTTTCTTCCCCAGAGCCGGATGATTCCCAGAGATCTCTGTTCCATTTCTAGTTACACACAACACAATTTTGTAGCATTTCCAAATTAGTTCACCTCATAATAGGTTAACATATAACAATACAAGAATTATGCACAACTCCAAATGGAAAATGGTAAGAGCCAAAAGAAGAGAAATATTGAAATAAGATAAGTAACCGATGAGGTAAACGTATATAACCATCCCTCGTTATGCTGTTTCTTCATGAAGGATATGATTCAATGATATTAGGATATTTTCATCATTCGTCATCCCATTCAACTATATTCTATATTTCACTATATCTCTATGCATCATTCATTTCAGCTATGAGAATCAAGGACTTACCCTCCTTTCATCATTATGGACATTTTCAATCTTGATTATGAGTGTATGGACAGTAGGGGAATTCCTGAATATAGTTGCTAATCCTGGGAGATTATGTTTGTTGAAATCGGTTTGGATCTCCATGGATTTGAGTTTGAGGTATGGGTATTGGAAAAAACCTCCAAGATGATAGTTTCTAGACAAAATCTGCACCGCGGAATCAAGGAACATAAATGAACAAAGTTGGAAGATTATGCAACAGTTACTCTTTCCCGGGGAAAGGATAAACATTGAGTTCATATCGTACAATGCAACATGTTAGATGGTGGAGATTTGAGAGGCCAAAAAAAAGAAAGAGGCAAATCCGCAAATGTGTAATCTTATTACATTAAATACTACTATTCATTGGTTTGCCACACTTAAAAAAAAAAAAAGAAAGAAAAGAAAGAAAGATGGCAGCGAGTGAATTGAATGATTCCTCAACTGATATGCAAAATGAAATCAAATAAAAACATCATTCTTACAATCTTTACTAACCTCAATACATGAGCTTTCCAACGTCAGAGACTGTGAATTAGAAATTCCAGACAGAAAATTGGATACGCTTCTAAGCTTTGTAGCACTGAGGTCCCCATGAAGCGAAAAAAACCCTACAAATGCATCTTGCAAGGAATTCAGATTCTCCAATACAATGGTTTCAGTGATAGTACTATAGGACCAGAATATCACTCTCAGGGCTGGAGCATCCATTCGGAACCAACTACTGCTGCTATAAGAATCGAAACAATCTACAACACGCAAACTCTCAAGTTTCGGACTACAAATCTCCAAATCTTCTAGGTGAAAACAATTCTCTAGAGTCAAATCTTCAAGAAAACGACAACTAACATTAAGATGCTTCAATCCAATACATTTCTCTAAACACAATTTCTTAAGCCTAGGGAAGGAATTCGATGAGGAAAACAGATTAACAAGGGAGGGTTGATCATGCAACATCACTTGAGAAAGTGATAGCGAAACTAAAGATTGAAATCCGCCCTTGAGAACCATCAATGGAGGTAATCGAAATCCGGGATGCCTAGATTTCAACTTTAAAACCCTTAAGGACTCACTAAAGATAACACAACGCGGGAAGTTGAAATAATCATTTGTAATAACCTCAATATCAAGCTCTTGAACATTAAACTTTGTAGCCCTCCTAATCAAAGTGTTCAACATAGAAAAGCTCAAACTAGCGCAAACTCGAAGAACCCTAATATCAGAATAAGATTGTCTTTTATGACAAACACGACGACAAGTCAAAACTCGATCAATGATTTCAGCCTCTCTTAAAGACTGAAATCTTTTAGTCTTGCCATTATTTGTTACATTGGTGGAAACATTATCAGTGGGATGATGATGATCATCACCACTAGTGATGATTTCAAGGGTGGTAAAATCAAGATCAGGGAAAGAATACCAGAGATTTCTCCACCTTTTGGACAAAATGCTGGTTTGTGCAATTGATTTGATGGGCAATGGACAAAGGACGAGATGAAGAACTGCATCTGGAAGATCACTGATCCGGTCTTCATGGTGATGATGGTGATCTTGTGAGCTTTTAACTGATTTGGCATTTGAAAGCCTCTTTCTTTTAGAAGATCTTGTTTCCATTGGATGCCAGTGTCATGATGGTATGGCCATATTCTTGGTGATATTGTGGTGATGGGCAAAATGAGTTTTTAGGGTTTGAAATATTCAAGAAGTGAACTCAATAATATACGGGAGGAGAGAGTACTCAGTAATTTGTTTGGATTCTCCTTTTTTTTTTCTACACTTTTTTTTTTTAAAAAAAAAACTTTATCATATTTTCGCGAGCTAAAACCTAGTCAGTCACACTTAAACACACAAATAATAGACGAAAAAGTTACTCTTACTTTGATCACTACAAAAGAAAGACGTTTCATTACAATCGCTTTGTAAGTAATGCATGCAATTTAGTTTTAAATCATCCATCCGTACATGTTGAAATTTATGCAAAACATATATCTGTTTATTAGTGGATATTTTATAAAAGTTGCTCTTACTTTGATGTGGGGTGCAAAGCCTGACATGACACATAAGGTGAGTTAGAATAGTGAGTTAATATCCATCATTACTCTTTATAAATTGGAATCCCTAAAAAGAAATTTATAATCCAAAAAGCAGACGTGTAATTTTTCATTGCTACATAGATTTGGCGACTTTAATTAGTTCGGCACTGTTAACATTTTTCTTCTCCACATGAGAAAAGAAAAGCAAATGCAGGGGGAAGGAATTCATTCCTTGACTACTTACATTCACTTCAAGAATTGGAAAACACGAACCATCCCAAGTGAAAAAGGAGATGAAATTAAGGATGGAAGCATATGTAACCGTCACATAATGCAGAGTTAACACCAAGTGAAATAGTCATCAACTTCAACATACCAGTAATCAACACCAAGAATAATATTTCAGAAAGTTCAAGCACAAAGTTGGAGTTGCAACTGAAGATTGCTTATTTCCCATGTTGGGCACTCGGAAAACTAAAAATAACAATAAAACTCATATCTTGAAATATCTTTTCAGCTTCTCGACCAAATTCCAAAGCTCAGCAGACATATCCTCCTGCAAGTTTTCAAGTCGATTAAGTGAACTGTAACTACCATTGATTGAATAAGTAAACTTTGGCATTAGTTGTTCAGAAAAGGGCACGGTTAGGGTTCTGCTAACCTCATAGAGGGATTCGAGTACATCGATCGACTTCCTTGTGATATGACTGACAAGCTTATCTTCAAGCCCAAAGTCCCTACCAAACTCCTTGCATTGCCCATGGTTATCACCAACTATCTGTGGAAGCATAACAATTGAACTATATCTTAAGAAAGATGCGGACACATGGATCAGTCACCCAACTCCACCCCATCTAGAGATTATAATAAATATAACTAATGTAAACTTTCACATATTAACAGAACTACAAATTTTCAGGGGCTGTAACAAAAATCATTCTAAAGCAAGAACTGCCAAAATGATTTACATTTTATAACAAATTTCTCATCAGGGCCAATCCTCTCCATATACAATAGAAAAGAGCAACACTAGAGAATAAAACAAGTAGATCCATCATTTTCAACAATCACAATAGAATATTGGAAGTTGTTCGTACTACCTATGCCAATATTATCCAACATAACATCAAAAAGCAGTATCAGAGAAAGGAAAAACAAATTGCTGCCTAATTCCAACGTTCGCACTCGTAAAACAGACAGAATAGTGCAATACCTTGATGGAAACCTCTTGGCCTTGACTGGCATGATCAACTGGGTTTCCGCTGATTTGAATGGATGCAATGCGACCAACATCACTGAAGTCCTTCTGACGGATACATAATGGGGTTCCAATCTGGAGACATTGGATAAGGGAATGAGAAACAGAAAAAGAACTATACAAGAATACAAAACAGAGAACAGAAACATAGGATAATGGCTCCATTTCAAGGACCCATGCAATAATCTACGGTCAGAAAGCGAGATGATAACAAATAAACAACGAAGAGACCAAGTGCTGCAGCAGAAATCATTCTTGAGCATTTTTTTGGCTTTATGACTATGTGACTCCATCTTAGCAATTCAACTATAGAGTTCAACTTTCATCTAACTAATCTAAAAGCTGGGTAATAACACAAAATCTATAATATATATTCCTCAATTTCATTAGAACAGCATTAGGAGACAACAAACCATCCATCTCAGCAAGCTAATTTCTCCAATAGCATTCTATAGAATTGAGACAGTATTGCATGAGAAGCAGCAAAAACTTAGAAATTTCAAAATTCCAAAAACAATCAGTTCTAAGGGTAAAGCATAGGAACGCTAGAGTAAGATGACTGACCCCAATGTAAATAGACTACTGAAAATGCAGAACTTTAAATGCATCTCCTGACACACTTGAGTTTTAAATAATACCTTTGCAATGCCTTCAAGAACAGCCACACCCAAAACTATCGGATCTTTCTTGTGGAAAACACAGTTAGGCATGATCTTGAGAACACAAGGGAATACAACATCTTCTACAGTTTCCTTCTTCTTCCTCTCCTTGAAATCATTGATATAGGCCTTGAACTGATCAAATAAGTGATAAATAATATCTGCACAGAATATGGTGACACCAAGTTCACCAGCAAGTTCACGAGCTTCCGAAGTGACCCTAACATCAAAAGCCAAGATCGCAGCATACTCTTTCTTCTTCTCAAGCATGGCACTTGCTTTGATTACATCTTTCTTGTACACAGGGCCAAGGCCTATACCACTTACAGGTATTTTCACTACAGAAGTATTTAAGCACTCAAGTAGGGCTTCCAATGAACCAAGTGTAGATGCTTGAACATAGACACCCTTTTCGGTTGTTTGGATTTTGTTCATCACTGACCTCGTATCCTCCATTGCAGCATCTTTAATATATTGCAAGTCATCATTCGGACCAACAACATATAACTCAGTTCCAGCGATAGTGTGCTCAAGACCCTGCAAATATTCAGAAAATAAACTTAAAAACATTCATAAATAGAACAGTCCATCTTAGAGAGAGACAGAGAGCTCCCCAGGTGTTCTATGAGTACTCGTTGATCCACAAAAGCAGCCCAAGTAAGGCCCCATGCACATTCCCATTGTTGTCCATGTCCACATATAATCTTGGACTTTTACAACATCTTATGTGTCATAGAAAACTCAGAAAGGAGCTATTCAACTTACAACCATTAAATATTAAACCTATTTTGGGCTATTGCGCGGCATGACATCTTTTGATTAAATATTTATGAAAAGCCTAAAACTAACTTGCATATTATTTCATAGAGCTGAGTTTGTCTTTGGTATTTGGTAGAAAAAAATTCAGACTTTACTTGACTACAAATGCATCTGATCCAAAATACATTACAGTTGATTTTTTTTTAATTTTATTTATTTATTTATTATTTGCCATATGAAGAAAACACCCACAAAATAAACTCTCCAGGACATGACATAATTTCAGGGCCCAATTTAAGCAAAATGGCATGGTGCACAAAATCAGAACAAGTTTGAAATGATTTGATCCCGTGCGGCTATTAGTTTCAAATTCCAGAACCCAAAGAATCAACTTCATGAAGTCCCGTTTGAGAATCAAATACCAGAGCCATATATATAAAGGCACACTGTGCTAACGAGCATGCAAACATATTGTCCCTTTAGGAACATGACAAGAAACTATCAACGAAAAGATTTTACACCAAAAATACCTGCGCAGTAATCTTAATACCCTGAGCAGCTTTGACTTCTTTGTGATGCAAGTAAGTACCCTGAATCATAAATGACCAGATTATATTAAGAAATGAAGGGAATGAAACAAAAAATCAGTGAGAAACTACTACAAAAGAAAATGACTCAAAGAACTTGCTTTCGGTTGTATGAAGCTAGATGGATATATGACTCCAGCTACAACAACCAATTATTTTTTAAAGGGCATCAAGAATTTTCTCCTCAGTTACTTGTAATGCAAATGTGAAAACAGTAGCAACTAAAAGTAATACCCAGACAAGTACATTTATACACCTTAACTCGTACTCATTATAGTGAACCGCAAATAGCCATATTAGCACAGAGATATAAGATGGACTTCCATTCAACTGCACTCACATTTTTAGGATTTAAAAATTGTGAAACTAACTCTTGATATTGGATAGGAGTATATCATTTTCTCAATGATTACAGAACCCACTCTGACAAACGAGGTTTGGGTTTAGGCTCTAGATGGATATCAGAACTTTGCTAAAATTTTAAGAATTTGATTGACTTGTTCCATTTGTATAACGATATTTTTATTCTATCAAGTTTCTAACAATTTCATAACTTCCTTATGATTCAGTAGTCAGCTTGCAACCTTTTCATCTCCAAGTAAGTCATAGTAACGATCCACTTCCCCCAGTAAGCAAACCAAGGAAAATTAGTAGTACTAGAATTTGTGCAGGGGCAGAGCCACACAATGATGATATGTCAACAAGTCGAAGTTTTTTACCTTTACTCGAAGTTCTTTCATTGGATGAGGCGTTAGCAGGGCTCTTATACAGGTAACAATGGGACCCTGACACACATAAAAATGTCATATAGCAAGAGATTGAAACCTTAACCTCCAAAACAGGAGAGAGAGAGAGAGAGAGCTTGCTTGCCTGTATGCTGCATACAACAATTTGATCCCCTTCATGGAGTACCCCGTTAACTAAGACAACATCAATAGTTGTCCCATGCCCTTCAACAACCTTGACCTCCAAAACAGTACACTGCCAACAAATATTTAGAAGGCATTGGATTTCATTTTAAGGCAAACAATCTTATATCTTACTTCTGCCACAAAAATACTTTGCCGAAGGATACCTGTACTGTGTTACGATAAGTGAGTTTTTCCACCATTGTTTTCTGACTCCACTGCACCAGTAATAGCAATAAATCTGGGATCCCTTCGCCACTGTTAAACCAAGATAAACAAAACAATTGTTGACAAAATTTAATTACAATCGGGAATATAAAATGAGCAGCACGAATAAGAAGAAACAAATATGACCTGATTGCACTAGTAGGCACGATGCTGAAAGTTTCCTGCATGTCTCTGTTTCTATGATAAAGCTCAGTGTTTATTCCTTGCTCCTTAAACTGCGTGATAACCTGTTACAGTGAAAAATTCAACAATAATGTGTTCTGTAGACGAATGAAATTCTAAATCCACAAAAACTAGTTTATACTGTTGACAACCTGGGAGAGACGCCAATTAAATTCATCTTTAACATCTTTAGACTGTTTATTCATTGCCTTCGCAATTGGGGCATTTTGGCATCTTTTCCATCTATATAGTCTGTCGACCTACAAATGGAAGCTCAATATAGTCAAAACTTGTTATCACCAAAGTCGAGCTGACTAATGCAATATTTAAGATAAATTTACCTTGTTCAAGGCAACAATAAATTTGGTGTTCCTCATCTTCAATAAATTCAGTGATTCAATTGTTTGTGCTTTTAAACCTTCCATAATATCCACAACAAGAATTGCTATATCGCACAAACTGGAGCCTCGAGATCGCAAATTGGCGAAGGACTCATGTCCAGGAGTGTCAATCACCAGTAAGCCGGGAACATTCAGCTTTGCATCAGATTTCAGTTCCCTGGTTCTGTCACGTATATTATCTGCAGGGAAATACGTTGCGCCAATTTGTTGGGTAATACCCCCAGCTTCACCTTCCTGAACATTAGTGCCTCGAACGCAATCAAGTAATTTGGTTTTGCCAGAATCAACATGACCCATAATGCAGCAAATAGGTGAGCGCAAATTCTTTTCAACCTGGGAGTGTGATGTTTCAGGTTCTTCTGGGGATTCCTGTCTATGTATATTCTCTTGTGTTTTGCATTGGTTTACTACATCACCAGGTTTTGTTGCCATAAGGGGATCCTTTGCACCATATACATCCTTTTGAACCAAAGTTTCAGGCAAAGAATCGACTTCTTCACCAGCAAATGTGCTAGGTAGCAAAAGATCAGCTTCATCCAAACTTTTGGAATCCCATTCATCATCATCACTACCTTCTTCATCACAACAAGGATTATTCTCCCCAATATCAACTTCATGGGCCTTCCCTGCATCCAACACCACCACTTGCTCCACCGTTTCTGCCAGGATTGGATACACCTCAGACGAGGTTTCCTGTTCTTTAAATTCACCGGTTTTATCATCCTCTACAAGAGTTTCACTCTTAACTCGAGAAGATGATGGCAACCTTCTAGTATGATATATGGGCCGTTTTGCAGATGCCTCACTAGGTGGTGGCATGCCCGCAGCATTTGCAAAAATCTGATTTCTCATAGATTCCATTCTTCGAGCTTCTTCCTTCTGCTTTCGTGTTAACGGAAGCCCCTCCATTTTTCTCTTCAAGAGCTTCTCTTTCTTCCTTTCCTTCTTCAAGCGTTTCTCTTCTTCTGCAATCCTTTCCAGTTCTTTCAGCCTACAGCGCTCTTCTTCTTCCTTCTTTAACTTCTCCTCTTCCTCCCTTTTCATCCTTTCTTCAGCTTCCTTAATTTTTGCAAGTTTCTCGCGGATTGCCAGAACATGCTTGGGAACTTTCTTATCTGATGCTATAGTCTTTTCTTTGTTCATCTCTTCTTGTTTTTCCTCTACTGCAGTAGATGCTGCCTTTTTGGCTCTATCCTTCTCCTTCTTCTTCTTGTTCTTTACTGCAGCAGCAGACTCTATTAATCCTTCGGAATCCTTGTCACCTGTACAGGCACATAAAAGCTTAAATCTAATGACTACTATCACTCAAAGATGAAAAGGCAGAACCAATGAAAGCCACAATAATCACAACTAACTACTTGCTCCTCTTCTTTGGGTTAGTAAATTATCTAAATATGATTAGAGTGAACCAAGCAGCTCCATGTTGGATTATTCAATCGGTAGTATCTAACAAATTTATTATCATTCAACAAGAGTGAAAATTAAATCCCCTCCAATGTAGAGTTAAAAAAAGTTACAAAATTTTCAAACATACCTCCTCTGTGGTTGTCAAAATTCAGTTTATGAGGCGCTCCTGACGGTAATGACATCAAGGGAAATCAACTTCCAACAGCCAACAGCAAAGGAGTTCGATCCTCGCGAATTCGATAGTTCGGAGTAATGCCAAGGAGGGCGTGGACTGCGGGAGATCAAAGGATTTTGGGGTATATTTCCGACGAACTGATGATACGGGACAACTGAATCGAAAGAAGCGAAGAGGGCAAAGGTCATATTGTGCTGTAAAAATTCTGGAAACCAAAAAACGGAATTGGAGATCGGGATCAACGAATCACTGATCTATGATCATGAATTATGAGAATTAGGGTTTGGAAGCGACGACTCGCGGAGCTGTGCAATAGACAATTAGGAACGGAGGCACAAACAGATTTATTTATTTTTTTGAATAAGAGTCTTTATTTATATTTCCGTCGTTTTCCCAGAATATCTCCGTAATTTATTTGAATTTTTTCTTTTCTTTCTGTTTTCTTGGGTAACAAGGATTTTTTTTTTTATTACCTTTCGTCTCAAAAAAAAAAAAAAACTGCATTATTAGGAATTAAGTACTATATATTTTGATTTTGAAATGGGGAGTAAGTTGTGTAGATTTTATTCAATGCAGCAAAACTAATTAATCAATAAATTCAATGGAATTAAGATAAAGTCTTCTTTAAATTACTTCTTCCATCCTAATTCAATATTTTAGCTGGTTTTTATGAAAATAATTTCGGTCTTGTGAGGCAGTAACACTAACAGTATGCAAGTTCAATAGGGATGTTTGTTTTTATTATAAAATTCATATAGTCTCGAATGTTCAGGCATGGGGTGGGGCCTGGCCAGTCTTATCTTAAATTTGGGTAAGACTGGCAAACAGATGAGCAAGGAAACCAGGCCGGAATCCAAACCACCACCCTGGCTGATACCATTCATCCAAGAGCTATGCCATGTCAGCCAGCTACAGGATCAAAATCTCTATCCATTCTTAATTAAAATATCAATAATCGAGATGCATGGAAAAGTTTCACCCAACTCTCAAGCCTGTCTGGAATCCACAACTTATTGTGCATCATGTGGCCTCTTTTTCCCCTTAAACATTTCATCATAACGGGTACTTTTCCAGCCCAATGCACTTATTGTTGAGTTTTCCGACTGAACTCGGAATCGGAACCAATCTCAAATCATCGTATTTTAATTAAAAGAGAAGAAAGAGATAGAGCTTCTATGTATAATTTATGTAAACAAAAGCCAAATGTTTGATTCAGACAAAGGATTTACTCAGACATTGTCTGAGTACTTCAAACTATATATTAAAACTTTAAAGAAAAATTACCTTTGAAAGCTTCTTCTATTCTTCAAACTTGAAAGATATATTTACTGAATGATTTGTTTACAAGGGAGAGAGAGAGAGTTTTGAGAGAAAAGAAGAAGAAAGGAGAGAATCCTTTTTTTTTTATTAGACACATCTATCATTTTAATTATTTTATCACGAATATCGTGATCTGGTATTTGTTTTAGTAGTTCTAAAACATTATCAGTTATTAACATGTTAAATTGTAAATCTTGAAATTGAGATATAATATTGTAAAGATTATTATCTTTTTTACAACAATCATTATTACTATTATTTTGACATGGAAGACATTCATCCGAAGAACTAGATGAAAATTCATCATTTTCAAGCATATTATTTTCTGAGCTATTAGTTTCTTCTGTTTCAGATTCAGTATCTGATTCTTCTATTACTTTGCATATTTGTTTTTTAAGTTGTTCATCTATTTCTAATAGTCTTATTCTATTAATCTTTTTACAATTAGGAGCAATATGACCCTTTTGACCACATTTAAAACATGTTATGTCTCTTTTTTTTTTTTTTTAGTTTTTCTAAATTCTCTCTGTTCTTTTGTTCTTTTACGTCGTCTTTTACCTTTAGGTATATAAGGAATTTTATTTTTCTTCATTCTTTTAGCCCTATTTTCTGGCCCTATATCCATAGCAAATTGATCACAGAACTGACCTAATTGTCGTCGTTCTGATAATTGTTGTCGTTTAATTTGTTGATTTAACTTTATTTCATTACATAAAGCTAATCCTTCTTGTGTGCAAACACCTATTAGATGACCATAAGTATAATCATCATAAGGAATATAAGGAAAATCTTTCCTAAGAACTTTTCTTATTCGTTCAGCAAACAGAGTTGGTAAGCCATCTATAAAATTAGCTTTCCAATAAGAACTATTACTTTCTGGTAATTCCATGACTCTTGATAAGAATGAATCCTTATACCATCTAAAAGAAGTAAGTGTTTTACACTTAAAATTATTTAACAATGTTCGAATATTTTCTTGATTATTGGTGAATTTAATATAGATGCTATCAAAGTATATACTGCATCTTCCATCATAATGGGTGTAGATGTTCCTTCATTCTCAATTTTTACTGTATTAAAAATTTTCTGTCTATCATTTTCGGTTAAATAATTATCCCACCATCCTTTAAGGACACCAGTAAAACCACAAACAATCATTTTTGCGATTGCTAGATCTGTATTACCATTTGCTTTTGCAACTGAGGAGTACATTAACATCCTATGCACCATATTAGTTAATTGTCTGTCAGTAAATCCATCACAATTCCATTCATAAACAGAACGACTACTATAACTATTAGTAGTTTCTTGATGTTCTTCATAAAGAAGATCTTGTGGAGAAGGTCGAGGATAATAATAATGATTCATATATGGTTTATTAGCAAATTTATTATGTCTAGATTTATGAGAAAGACGATTTATTTCATCTCGTAGAGTTTTATCAAAATCTTTTGTATATTCTCGTAAAATTCTAAAGTGGATAATTTAAGATTTTTAAATTTTTCTTCCAATAATTTTTCTAATACATGTGGAGATTCAAGATTATAATCTTTTACTATAGGAGGAGGTTGTATAAAATTTTTTATTTTAATATCCTTAGTTTTGTTTTCAATCAAAACTGGTTTAACTGTTTGTTGAAGATTTTCTATGAGAGAAAATAATTTGTCAACTTTATCATGTAAAGAACTAATTTGTTCTCCTAAAATTTTTACATATAAATTTGTATAATTATTTTGCTGAATAAATTTATTTACTAAAGAAACAGTAGAAGGTAAAACTTCACTTTCAACTAATTTTTGAAAAGCAGAAAAAGTTATATGAGTTGCATTTGTTAGAACAAATCCTTTTTGTGGAGGGTAAATTCCTTTTGTAATTTTTCCACCTGCAAGATGATATTCTCTTTCAAGGAGGAAAATATATTTATCAAGATAAATGATTATAAACCACGGAACAAAATATATTAGTTGATTGTGAAAAGAAGTATATTTCATAAAATTCTTTTTGTATAAGTTTTTGATTTTCAATATCATAAGTAGAAAAGAACCATTCTCTGAAAAGTTTTCACTTTTCAGATTGAAATTCTTGTCTTATTATTTGTCTAATATTAGATCCTGGACTAAAATCTAATTTTTCAGTATTCGCCATGATAACCCATTTCAGAAGGTGAAGGCATATCCTTATCATAAGTCTTACTATCGTGAATCGAACAATGTTATATGGATCAATTTTTACTTGATTTATTCTATTTGTTAAATCTATTTCAGGAATTGAAGATGTCGAAAATCTATGAGAATCGACTGGATCAATATAAGATTTAAAGGATCTTTGAGAGCTAGATCTTAGTAATTTAGGAATTTTTGGTTTATCAAAAGTAATACTTATCTGACCATTATCAGATTGTTCAATTTCTGTAATATTACAACTTGTAACATTATGAGTTAATGAGTTTCTTTTAATTCCTTTATTAATTTGCCAAGACTCTGGAAATTCAATTTCTTCCCATTTAATAGTTTTACGAGTACTAATTTGAGATTTATAAAAATTAGTTTCTATAAGTATGGTTTCATCAGATGGTTTATTTATAATCTTACATCTGGGTGTTAAAGTATTTAATAATTTAAAACAAATACGGTAATGTAAACAGATAAGTTCACTTCCCGGTAAATAATTATAACCATGTAATTTTACATTTAATGTTAAAGCATCGAGTATATTAACATCAGACAATGATAACTGTAAATTTGGATAAACATTAAAATAAACTGGACCATGAGCTAAGTGGATCAGTATTATGCCCATTAGGAATTTTTTCCAATGTAAATTTCTACCATCACGTAAGGCAGCAACAAAAGATTCAGGTAAACCTTCTAAAGTTAAAGGTTTAAATGCAATTTGTACCAATCCAATATGCATAAACTTGTAATTTTTATTAGATCTATAAGATTCAATATCTGTAGCAGACAAAAGTTGTAAAACCCTTTCATCAGAATTTAAAGCAATTGATTGTTCAGTAGTTTTAACTACCTGTTTAACCAAGTATCGATCAAACATACCATATTCATACAAAGTATTAGTGGGTACCTTTGGTATTGACCATTTATTAAGAAGAGCAAGCTGTTGAGGCATATTGTATTCCTCTTGAACTGAATTTTTTATTGAAGTAGTTTCTAAATTATTCATTTTTAATTTAGGTTCTGAATCAAACAAATCTTTTGTAAACATAAAAAATACATAACCGCTCTAATTCAATATTCACGCTGGTTTTTATGAAAATAATTTCGGTCTTGTGAGGCAGTAACACTAACAGTATTCAAGTTCAATAGGGATGTTTGTTTTTATTATAGAATTCATATAGTCTCGAATGTTTTTACACAAACAAATTTGAACAATTTAAGCATATGGAAATGAGGAAGTTAAACTGGTCAAACGGGGAGCATCACAGCCTAACTACATGCATCATTAGCAATTACATGGATATTCATACGAGAGTTACTCTGTACACAATTCAATATCATCCACATTCTTCGTCCCAAAGGTTGAAGTTACTGATTCTTGAACAGAGTAGACAATGCACTGGCAGTACTGCAGACACGAATGCTTTTCGATTTCAGTTAAACCTCAACATTGCCTCTTGCCGTCGGTTGATTTCACTTCAATGCAGCGAGAACCGCGATCCAGTCACAGCGGGATCGAGCACCACAGGTCCACTTTGGTAAGTCTCCTCATCAATTACAGGTGCCAAAAGAACTTTCTTTAGAGCCACCTTATGAAAGTGTAGGAGGACCAGAATGAACATTTCAGCATTTGTAGCCCTGAACCGTTTCAACTTGACCTCTTGAAGACTAGGAATCTTAAAACCATACATGCCATCCTCAAACTTTACCAGATAGTCTCCCTGAAAAAAAAACACACACACACAAAAAAAACTAGTGAAGCCATAGGTAAAAATCCATCACAAGCTGGTGGTAAGACGGTGCAACACTTACTTCTTCGTATGTACGTAGGCAAAATCAAGTACCAAAGTCTCCAGAACAGGGGATACTTCAAGCATTAAAGATATCCCCATCATGTCATTGTTTGTGTACCGTGTTTTCATTTCCAAATGTTTGAGCCTCCTCAGTACAAGGTATTCGCCAGACTGGAACTTGGGATACAAAAACTTCACAAATGAAAAATACACAAGACTTTACAATCATCAATGCACAACTTAGCAAAAACAACAGTCAGCGAAAAGGGATAACATCTAAAAAGCATAATGGATTTCAGGCTATTAGTTAACAATCATGGTAATTATAGACCCGAATGAAGCCTGGTGAGCCAATGGCTGGCCAGAGTGTTCTTGGCCCTGAAACCTAACATTCCTATAACTTATGTCAGAGATGTGCTGAAAGCTACAACGAAAGACGATGTTTGTGGGTGATAGTATGTTACATTCACCCATATTCTAAACCTAAGGCACTCAAACCTATCAACTATATCTGTTAATACTATTATCTTCGTCATGATAAACCAGAACTACTCTTAAATCTTAACTAGCACTTAAGATCCTAGGTCCCTTCCATTCATTGCAGATCCATATCAACTTGACTACGAAAGTTATTTGATTTAGTTACTAAATCCATAATCATAACCAAACTTCAAAATTACCATAATGCATGCCGTGTTTGAAAACTGACAAACAAAACAGCTGAATGACTACAGTAATTCAAAAGAAGAGCAAGATTAGAAATAGTTTACCGGTAGCCACATATTCCGCACGAAGAGCGTCTCGACTCCAATCAATAAGTTCATGGCACTGTTCCAGGAGTCTTGAGAATAATACGGGTCCTTATCAAGAATCAGTCTGGCCTCGATCACAGAGGACAAGTCCCCAGTATAATTCGCGACATGAAAGTGGATGATATCAATGGTGGACAGATTTGGTGTCCGTATCTCGATTGAGGACTCGGTTTCTTCATCACCCGCACCATAGTAAACCCTCAATTGAAGATGCTTAAGAGATTCAGAGATGACCCTGAACTTCCTCTTCATTTCACGAAAGCCATCAAGAGAAAGCCTCTCAAGATTCCGACACCTCATGATCAATTCCGAAAGCGAGTCATCAGCAATCTCCACAGAAGCAAGGTCCAACACCCTGAGGGACTCAAACCGAAATGAATCGTTACAAGACATGATAAGCTCACAGCGGCATAACGTCAAACGCTTGACAGACCCGTTACTGAGATCACATAAATGGAAATGATACAGAGTGGGGTTCGACCCGCTGGCTTCATCGTTGTCCTCGTGTTCTTCTTCTTCCTCATCACCGGTATCTATAAGATTGAGATCAAGATCGTCGAATTTGCAGTCAAGGGCGTAAGGGATAAAAGAAGAAACGAAAGATCGGTGGCGGTGATTGTGAGAGTAATACAGAGTCAACTGGAAGTTCCGAAGAGGGATGGTGGTGGGGCGGTGGAGGAGGGCCCGAGCGACGAATTCGACGAAGCCCTGGCAGTATTCACGCTCATCGGAGTAAGAAGAGTTAGTTGGCCGGAAGCCGATGATGTCGAAATGGAGGGAAGGGAGGGAACGCCAGAGGTTTCGCCAGGTCCGAGATAAAAAGCAGAAAGGAGAGGATGTGGATGAGGAAGTCGGTCGGAAGGTCGTTTAGACTGGGCATCGTGGGTTGCTTGGCCGCCGGCTGCTCCGCCATTGATCCAGGTCACTGAGTTGTTATTGATTTCTGGGTTCTTGAATTCTTTTCTTGGATGGTTTTAAGTCTCTTGTCGTCTTTTTGCACTAAAGAAATTTAAGCCGGTAAAAGGAAACTTTCTTGAAGGCGTACTCCAGGCGATCGGCTGAACTGTCATTCTCAAGTGCTAGTCGAATCGGACTCCGTTAATTCGCGCTTCAACTCATTGATGTAGCCAAAATAGGAACACTAGTTTGAATCCTGACATCCAAAGGATCGATTCGCTTTTGACTTGGAATTTGCTGGTGCAAAAATACATTCCTCGGTTTGAACTCCAATTGGCTGGTGCATTTTTCACACAGTTTCAGGAGAAAGATAATTTTTTTTTTTTTAATGTTGTCATAACTTGTGTCTATGTAATTTCTTTTTTGTGTATAACAATGCAATGGGAAGTTGCTTTATTAAGGATGAAAAAGATGTAAAGGACAGGATACTCCTTGCTTCGTAAGCTTCAAACATAACTATTGGAAGTTGAAACAGAGAACAACATTAACAGGAATCTGAATGTACTAATTACTACTACTATACATAGTGTAAAACCTACCAACAAAGGGACAAAAGAACTGTGTGAACTGTGAAGTGAAAAACAGACTCATAACTAGCATTGCAAATTTTCAGATCAATGTATTCATTAGAAGTAGCAGCAGCAAATTAAAGTATCAATCTTTAAATTTTTACTGTTGCATTAGAAAGCAGTATCATTGTGATCTCTGCTTGAAACACAACAGTACAAAAGATAATTCAAAAGTGATTTACAAAATCGTGGACAATCCAGCAAGAATATTATTACTCTCATCTACAATAAAAGATTCCTTCAAAGATCTCCCTCGGCTTTCAATCTAACTTCCAAACAGATACTCGTCCTGTAGAATCGCCACTGAAAAATAGACCTCCACAGCCAATCTCAAGTGTTTGAACTTCTCCATTTGAAAAGGTTCTTCCCCTCCCTGCAAATGTTGGCAAATCATACACCCGGACAATGTTGTCTTTACAGGAACAAAGCAGGACTGGTCTGTTTGTTCCATTGTTTATCCCACATAGTGCCAGAATCCCACTTTCTTGTTTCATCTCAAAGATTACTGCCAAGCTTCCATTCTCAGCCACTCCCCACACTTTCAAGCTGCTGTCCAATGATCCCGAGAACAGGTATCTGTCCCAGAATGCGAGAGAAGTCACCGATTCCTTATGTGCTTTCAACGTCTCAATACATTCTAACGTTTTAAGATCCCAAACTCTTATGGTATGATCCTTGGATCCTGAATAAAGCCTATTGGCTCCCACAGTGAGGGAAATCACAGCATGGGTGTGACCCTTGAGAGTTGGCAACAACACTACAGGACTACTTGATTCTGGGCATGACTTCCACGCGAATATCGTACCATCTTCTACACGGCAAATAGTACATCTCCGGCCACTACCATGGCATTGACAAGGCCATTAGGACCTGGTATAACAAATTCGGTGTTTGACTCGAGGTTCCAGGCCTTCACAGAATCTCGCACGCCAACAAACACCCATGGATGCTCACTTATCATGCATCCAATGTCACCCTCAAGCTGTAATGTTTCAACACATTGACCACTGTTGCAATCCCAAACACAAACAGACCCATCCTTATCCCCTGAAAAGAGCTTGTCGGAACCGAATGGAAGTGTGATCCCAGTGACAGCCTTTTGGTGATTTTCCAACTTCGCCATCAAAGAGAACCCAGAGCCAGAAAACCATGAATGCAAATCCCAGCAGTTATCACCTTTAAGGCAATTACCAACAACCCAATCTTGGCATAATGTTAGTCCTGTATTCTCACAACTTTCAGCAGCAGAGCAAGACTCTGTTGTGGTCATCACCATTTTCTGATTTGCAGGATCACTTTTAACTTCATATTTCGTACCATTGTTGGATGATGAAACTGGTACATTTTTACTCTGCACAACAGGGCTAGTTGTATCACTTCGAACTTCACATTTCATAGTAGTGTTGAATGCTGGAACTGTGGCATTTTTGCTTTGGACAACAAGATCAGGTTTCTCACTGGTCAACTCTTTCTCCGCAGCACTTTTAATACCAGAATCTGTAGCCCGGTTGGATGATGGAACTTCGGCATTTTTGCTCTGGACAACAGGGCCAGGTCTCTCATCAGTCAGCACCTTTTCCACCGAATTTTTAGCTTCAGAATCAGAATCCAAAACAATGTTGGACGATGGAGTAGTTACCTTTGTCCTTTGAACAACAGGGCCAGATCTCTCCACGGTCAACACCTTTTTCTGATTCACACCATTGTCATCAGCTTTAGGGATTACTGATCCCTTCTTGAGTGTTATAATTCTTCCACCCCTATGTTCAATAACAGAGCCAGATGTTTCAGCGCTCAAAACCTTGGCATTCATTAGCACATTCTTACTTCCAACAACAAGGCTGGATTTTCCAGCAACCAAAACCTGTTTCTGGATGGTGGCGACATCATTAACTCCAAACTCCCTGGCATCATTCTTGAGAGAGTAAGTGAACTTATTTCTGCGGTGATCGCCACTCGAAGGTTGTACTTTGGGTAAACCCGGGTGGAGAAACCTACAGTAGTTCCTATTGCACTTGCCAGCAAGCCAAAAACTACATACTCGAGGAGTCACTTGACTCTTGAACTGAGGGCGTTTTGGTCCTCCGAGACGATCAAACACGGATCTGGTTCTAGTCTCGAACTCCATCTTCACTGAGTTAAAGAAGAAAGGGAAAAATTCCCGAATTGTGAACAAAGGAATTTCCCTAATTTCCCACTAAGTTCCCTATTTTCCCAGTCAATAGAAAAGGAATAGGTCAAAAGGGTAAAACAATAACCCTAGATCTAATCACCCAAAATCAGAAAACCCACGAAACTCAAACAACCACAAAAACTGCCGGGAAATTCCGTAATTAGCCGCCGATTGGAAACGGAATGTTGAAAAGATACAGCAAAACAGCATAATCTCAATTTCCAATCAACGCGGTGGATGGATTAATCAATCAGTTAAGACTCCCCACGAAAAATCCCCAAATTCCCTCGCTCCCAGCAAAAAGGAAGTAGAGAACCTGAGATCGTTAACGGGAGAACCCTTCAGATTAAGTTACAGTGCTTAGATCTAAAGCTAGATTGATGAGAACGCGGAGTTGAAATTCGCGAATAAAAATTTTAGGGCAGACAGAAAAGTGAGAGAATTGGCTAATAGGAGGAGTCGAGTATATTTATAGTGACTAGGTTTCGGAAAGTTAACGTTGTTGTGCGAATAAAGGCGGTTTGATTTCGCGGCATAATTAATTTTATTTTTCATAAATGATCCTCCTAATCTTCTAAATTACGTCTCGTCTCTTCATCTTTTGCCCCTTCCTTTTGTAAATTTTGTGTCACTTAATTTCTACTAGCAAGATACTATGAAAAACGCTTTTCTGGGAAAAATAAAAATAAAAATAATAATAATAATAATAAAAATAAGCTTCATGGCTTCCACAAAAATTTTTTTCTTTAACTTGTTTGTCCCATGATAAAAGTTTGCTCCGGACAATAAAGAATGTTATTTAAAATAGGCTTTCAACTTTCAAGCCCACTGATACTACACCAAAAGCATGCCAACCTGGGACAAAAAAATTTAGTCTTCGTTCCATGTTGGGGTATTAATTCGTTCCAACAGTTTATATCCAATAACTTTTGCACTGCACCAATCTTCTTTGCAGTGAAATAATAAGAGAACGTACAGCAGTTAAAAGTAACAAAATGGAAAGATTCACTTTTATCGACTTGCTGCTGCTTCCTAGTAGTACTGCATAGCAATGAGAAATCATAAGAGCCAACACCAGAGATTTGAGTCAGTAGACCATTACAATCTGATTTCACTCCATGACTAATGCAAAAACTAGACTTCCTCAGTCATACTTCAACATCATTTTTCTTTTGGTTCCAAAATTTGGAGTATTTTATGTGACTATACCCGCATGTCAAACATGAACGCATCAATAACAATACTTCATTCAAACCCTCCTCAGCATCAATTTCGTCGCCACCAATGAAGCGAGAATCGAAGTCCAGTTGTCTGACGTTGGATCTAGAATGATAGGTCCACTCTTAGATTCCTCCCCAACAGTTGCAGGTATCAAAACAACCTTCTTTAAAGGCAACTCTTGGGTTGTAAAGAGGACCAAAAGGTAGCATTCGGCTTTGGTATAACTGAATCCCTTCAATGTGACCTCCTGGAGACTACTAGGAGTTTCAAAATAGTACTTACATGCGTTAAATTTCTCGAAGAAGCTTCCCTGAAAACAAATTCCTTTTAAGCATATTAGAGTAAAGTAAAGCATTTCACATAATGTCAATAACAAATTGTGGGAACAGCAGTGCACTAACATCTGCTTCTGTCTGGTAGGCGTAATCAAGCACCAGGGTCTCCAGAACTGGGGATTGTTTGAGCAATAAAGATAACCCCAAGATATCACCGTTGGTAAACCCAGTGGATAGCTCCAAATGTTTGAGACTTTTAAGTTCAAAGCATTCATTGGACATGATCTTCGAATGCATAAACTTCACAAATGACAAATGATTCACATGTGAGAAGCGGGATTTGATTTCAGGAATGCACAATTTAGCAAAACAATTAAGACAAACAGAAAAAATATCCAAAAAAGAAGCGTGTAGTTTTTAATATATTAATTTACTATGCCGTCAACCAATCCCTCTGACTCAATGCCAGTACCAACATGGTAAATAACCTAATATGAAATGAGATGTGTTTAAAGCTTTAGCTGAACAATTTCAGAGAAACCAGCACAGTAATATCCTCGTAATAGTAAAACATAATGTTTCACAGTAGAGATATTACTTAGCCTTATTCTCACAACCTGTGTACCTTCCTCTAAATGCACTGGCCTAAACCACTAAGCACTCAAACTTTTCAAGATTAACTGAATTCTTTCGTACAACGAAAACTTAAAAGTAAATTCCCCACAGTATCAGTCGACTAGAAAAAGCTTAATAAAATAAATGACAAAAAATAAAATCAATGACAATCATGCTTTAAACTGATAAAAGCAGAGATGGAGGACTCAAGAAACCCGAAAGAATTACCCGTAGCCACTTATTTTGAACAGAGAGATTCTTGACACCCCTTAACAAGTTCATGGCACTGCTCCAGCACTTTTGAGAATAATCCAAGTCCTCAGTGAACCACAGATCTGCCTCAACCACAGAGGATAGGTCCCCAGTATAATGCGCCACATAAAAGTGGTATATTTTTAGTTTGGCCAAGTTTGGCGTGCGTATCTCAATGGAGGATTCCATTTCTTCATCAGTCACAGCAAAATAAAATCTCAAATGCAAGAACCTAAGAGATTCAGAGATGACCCTGAACTTCCTCTTCCCTACATGGAGATAATGAAGAGTAAGCCTCTCAAGGTTGCGACACCTCAAAATCAATTCAGAAAGCGATTCATCAGCAATCACAGAGATCTAAATCCCGGAGAGACTCAAGTCGAATCCGGTCGTTGGAAGGTATAATAAGTTCACAGCGGCATAACGACAAACGCTTGACAGACCTGTTTCTGAGATCACACAAATGGAAACCATACAGTGGTTTGGAGCCGCTTTCTCCATATTTTTGGTTGTCGTCATCATCACTATTATTATTAACTACGACGTCGAAATCGAGATCGATAACATCGACTTTGCAATCAAGGGCATAGCGGATGTAAGAAGAAACCAAGGATCTGTGGCGGTGATTGAAAGAGTAATAGAAAGTCAATCGGAAACCGCGAAGAGGGATGGTGGTGGGGCGGTTGAGGAGGGCCTGAGTGATGAATTCGGCGAAGCGTTGGTGGTATTCAGGGACGGAGGAGTAATTACAGTCGAACTTGGTGGCGTCGAAATGGAGGAAAGGAAGGGAATGCCACAAATTCCGCCATTTTCGAGATATATAGCTAGTTTCAATGGCGGAGAGGATCGGCAGGAACGACAGGATATGGATGAGGAGGTTGTTTGGGAGGTCATTTAGGGTTGTGGATCGCTTCATTGGTGGTTGCTCCGCCATTGATCCGGCTGCTTGGAAATCGGGAAGTTAGAGAAACGAAATGCCACAGAGCTCTTGAGTTTATTTAGAGGGGAAGCATATTCTCGCGGGGAAAATGCAAACGTGACGTTTTGGCGGGAAAATTTCTCTCACTTTTCCATTTTTCATGGTAGCAAGTAGTAACTTACCACTTATCTTGTGCTCCCTCTATCCCTAAATTAATTTGTTTAATTTAATTTTTTATTTTTATTTTTATTTTACAAAAAAATGAAAATGTAAACTGTAAAATCATTATAGAAGGGACGAAATATAACTCAATACTTAATGTTTGTAATTACAATTTTATTCTTCTATGTTTCCCCTCTAATTTTTTTTTTATTTTTTCATTTCTTTGAATACTTTTATTTTCTCAAGTTAAATTAATTAAGAACGCTCAAATTTTAATTTAACTTACAAATTTCAAATTAAATACAAAATTCAAACTTAACTTGTACTAATCTTTATGAATAAACTTTGGTATATACGTATAATCTAAATTTGATTGTTTTGTTTATTCATCGAGTTTGTAATATGTACCTTCGTTATTCGGAAATTTAATTTTGAAAAATTTTATTCAATTATAATGAATATTTGTAACAAGGTACATATGACAAAATACAAACTTTTGAATTTTCAAGTGATTGTCAAACAAGGTCTTACTCTACAAATATAAAAATAGGGTCCCTTGGACTATTAATACAAATTAATTATATTAGCTTTTAGTTAACAAATAACTCCGCTGTAGCATTGGCTAATTTCACACTGATTAATTAAAATTCCGGGTTCGAACCCTGGCAGCGGAACACACTTTTTTTTGTTTCTTTTTTCCTTTTTTTTTTGAAAGTAAAAAATATAATTATATTAGGATTTTTTTTCCTTTAATACTACTTTCGTACAAAAAAATAGTTCACATCGAGTTTCAAATTTGTACTAAAAATAGTACTCCCTCCGTCCCAGAAAAATAGTCCAGTTTGAAAATGTACAACTTTTTTAATTTGGTCAATACACCAAATGTACAACTCATTTTATGCTCCTAACTTTCACTAATGCGCCTTCTAGTTATTTCTATAAAAGTTAACTACATATGCATTTATTTTACAACTTAAATGTGATCAAAAATTTTATTTTAAAAAATATTTACAATGGATCTTGATGGAAAGATCTCGTTACGTATATTAATTTGATATATAACAAACTTTTAAATTATTCATGTATTAAAAGATATAATCATTTGAAAAAATAGGAGAAAATTAAAAAAAAAATCAAAGCAAGTGAGCCTTGTTTTCCTTACCACTGCTCTTTTGAATATTTAAGTTATTTCAATTCAATTAATTTTGACTTTTATGAAACTAGATCATTTTTTTGGGACAAATTTTTTAATTAAACAGATTATTTTTGTGAGACAGATGGAGTATAAAACTTAAAATTCAATGTTGACTATTTTTGTGGGACCGAAGGAAGTAACAAGCAATACTACATTTAGTCTTACCATGCAAACTTTAGTCTTACCAAAACTTGGCGCACGTATTGTAATCGAATTCTCCTCAGTTCTAAGTCCTTAAATGAACACATAATGACATATCTTTTCAATTTCTTCCTTCCACGATAGACAAAAACATCATCTTCTCAATTCCTTCCTCCGATAAATTACACTGATTTAGATGCATTTACCTGAGGGCAGTACTCTGCTTGAGGGAAATAACAATCGTACACAATAAACTTCTGGGAATATAGAAATGACAACCTTGTCTTAAAAGCTGGACGGATGTATTCACAAGGTCAGAAAAATGAAAATCTGTGTTCATGTTACTTGCCGAATCAGTTGAAATTAATTTCCATTCCTTGTGTCCACTCTTAAATCCTCCCTTTGCCTTTGCCCCGCTTTAAGCAAATAGCCATCACGTACTAGACTCGGACCTGTTGATGTATTTACACTAAAGGAATGTCTAAAACACTAAAGTTCACTTTCTCTTAATGAGTTGGTTTCTTAAATCGCAAACTAAAAAAAATCTGAAAATACTTGTTACAAAACTGGATTAGTGATGCCAAAAACTAGAGTTACTCTTTACATACTTCAGCATAACAAAGGCATTTTTGGTTCCGAATGTTGAAGCATTAATTCTTGGACAATACTGATGCAGCTGCAGTCCAAATGCATGAGCAAAGAGATGACGTCTAAACCTCATGATTTTCCCTCTGAGGTTGTTTGATTTCCCTTCAATGGAGCGAGAACTCCAATCCAGTCACCAAAAGATGCTGCAGGATCTAGCACAATAGATCCACCCTGGGACGTCCCCCCATCAGTTGCAGCCCCAGGTACCAAAACAACCTTCTTCAAACCCAACTTTTGCACATGAAACAAACCCAAAATATACAAACACAAAAACTACTGGCCAATGATGCTTTTTCTCTATAAATTACAGTATTTCATGACCCTATGTCATGTCCCTGAAGCAGCAAATAATCTAGCATGTTGATAACTAATAGCAGAGAAGCAACAGCAAAAGAATGTGTTTGATGAGGAAAAATAATATGTTTTGGCAGCATTGATGTTACATTTAGCCATATTTCCCCCCGACAAAGCTACTCAAACTTTTCCAATGGAGCTGTTAAAATTTACTATCTCTAACATCATCAACGAAAACTACAACTAACTAGTTCATAAGATCCTATGTCACTCCCTCTATTGCACATTGATTTCAACTAGAATGTGAAATTTATTTACTACTCCCTCTTGTCCAATTTGCAAGGCAAACATTAAACTTAGTTCAAATTTGTGCGTTACACATGGATTAGTAACAAACCGTAAATTCAGAACCAAACTTCAAATCATAATCCCCCAATAGAGTATATGGAGCAGAAACAAAGACAGCATAAAAGAAAACAGCTATCATGCTTGAAGACTCAGAAAAAAAAAATAGCAAATGGCTAATTCAAAGGCTAGGAAGGCTTACCGGTAGACACATATTTTGAACAAAGAGCATCTCGACATAACTTAACAAGTTCATGGCACTGTTCCAGCAATGTTAAGAATAATGCAAATTCTGTTTAAGAAGCACTCTCGCCTCGACCACAGAGGACAAGTCCCCAGAATAATTCGCCACATAAAAGTGGCAAATATTTATAGAGGACAAATTTGGTGTGCATATCTCAATCGAGGACTCCCTTTCTTCTTCATTCATCGGAAAATATTGGCTCAACTGTAGATGCTTAAGAGAATCAGAGATGACCCTGAACTTCCTCTCCCCTGCACGGAGATCATCAAGGGAAAGCCTCTCATGATTCTGACACCTCATGATCAATTCAGAAAGCGACTCATCCGCGATCTCCACATCATAGAACTCTAAAACCCGGATAGATTCAAACCGAATCAGATCATTACAAGGAATGACAAGTTCACGGCGGCATAACGACAAACGCTTAACAGATCTGTTCTTCAGATCACATAAAATGAAAATCATACAGTAACTTCGAGCTGATCGAATTCTCCGCGTCATTGGGACTGCCCACTTTGACGGAAAAATCGAGATCAACAACATCGACGTTGCAGTCAAGGGGATAACGGATGAAAAAAGTAACAAGGGATCTATGGCGGTGTTCGTAGGAGTAAAAAAAATTCAATCCGAAATCACGAAGAGGGATGGTGGTTGGGCGGTTGAGGAGGGCTTGGGTGATGAATTCAGCAAAGCGCTGGTGGTATTCAGGGACTGTGGAGTTGTAAAAGTTGGACTCAAAGTTAGTGATATCGAACTTGAGAGAAGGAAGGGAGTGCCAGAGGTTTCGCCACTTCCGAGATATGTAGCAGGTTTCAATGGCGGAAAGGATCGGCAGGAATGAGAGGGTGTGGATGAGGAGGCTTTGCGGAAGGTCGTTTAGGGTGGTTGGCGGCGCGGCGGATCGCTTGGCTGCCGGCTGCTCCGCCATTCTTCCCGGAAGATCAGAAATTTCGGAAAATGAAAATGGCCAGTTAAACTACCTGCTTTACGTGTTTGATTAAAAAAGAGCAGGAATTTCTCGCGCCAAAAAAAGGGTGTAGTTCGTGACGTTTTGGCGGGAAAATGTTTCTTCTTTTTCTTAGAGGAGTAACTGACCCGTCTTTCATGGAAAAGATCAAAAGAAGTTGAAGTTGGATTACCTGGGAGTAGCATTGGAGGTAAAATTCGATCTAATAACAAGGCTCAAATTCCTCGACACATATTCATAAGGGATAATTTAAACCAGTTTTTATCTGATTTTCAACGAGCTTGTTATTGATCTTAACTTGAACTATAACGCACTTTTTTTTCTTTGGCTGTTAAATCTTCCACTTTTAGCAGTACTAGAGTAAATTTTTTTTTTTTAATTTTTTTCCAGAGTGAGTTTTGGAAATGGCTTATCCCTGAACCATCCTTTTTTGTGCAGTACTTTCTCTAATAGAAATGGTGAAAGTCAAGTTTGAATTAGGCATTGCACATATACACAAAAGTCCATTAAAGGAAACCAAAGTCTAACCACAAAACGATGGAAATTACAGATACAAGGCTTCCCAATGCTGAACCTGCGCAGATTGCAGAAGACCTACACATTATTTAACAGACAAAATGAGAAAGACCCTTAACGTACAACCAGACTTCAAAGAGTTTCCCATCAGCAGTAAGGAAATGATACTTCATACACCAAAATGCCCCCTCCCATAAATAATCCAAAAACAAGTTTTCTGTCATCGACATTGATTTTTAGGATCTCAATCAGATAACAAATGGAGGGGATGATGTTTGATCCTCGCATAGAGGATATGCAACTATCTTTTCCAACACTGCTCCATGCTTTTTCAGGAGGCTTATCATGTAAAGTTCATTTTCAGTTCCCTTGTACCTCTTCATCTTGACTACCTTGAGTCCGAGGCATTTGGAAAACAATTGACTTAACCTTTTTACATGTTCGCAGCTCTCCCTGCAGATTCGAAACAAAATTACCAAGTCAGTCTCGACTGGTTAGATTTGAAGAACCATAACATCTTCCCATAATTCGGGCTAAATCCCATACTTCATCATTTGACCCATACTGGGGTACAAGGACCAGTGTCTCTAGCTGTGGACATGTCTCAAGTAAGATTTCCAGGCCAAGAAGATCATCTCTTGAGTATCCAGTAGATAACTCTAAATATTTGAGATTGTCAAATGCAAATGTATCGGAGAGAATCTCTTCTGCAATATTAAGCTACGACAGAAAGACCCAAACGTGAGAAGAAACGATACCCCCTACTAAAGTTCGTCGCCACAAAACAGCATTCAAGGAAACTACTATTTTTCTTTGACAAATTAACAGAAAGGAAACAAAACTTTATACTTCTTTGAAGTAATTCAGTGAATTTCCATCACAATACATGTATCACATCCAAGAGATCAACCAAATTATGAACAACAAATGCTTTAATTTTGCTTCAAAGGAAACCCAAGGATATGACTAGCAATCTTTTTATTTCAAATTCCATAGGACTAGATAGCATAACTGAAAGAAAAGAATTTCAGCCAATTACAGCATGATAAGCTAGCCAACTCCACGAGTAGTACTATGGCTGGGCTGGGAAAAAAAAAAAGAAAAAACCCCATTAGGTATTAGTATTCATCAAAGAATTGTCCCATTTCACCAAAACTTGTTAGCTCATTTGGTACTTGGTAGAGAGTTACAATCACTTAAGCAACAACACTTATTTATAATAAGAAATCCATTTGAACCTCACATCAGTTGTACTTGGGTGCACCCAAAGTCTTGAGAACACACATCCAGTCAGCAAAAGATTTAATTAGAGAGATCTAGCAAAATCCCCATCTGTTGCAGGCACCAAAGTCACCTTCTTCAAACCACCCTATGCCGCATTGCATAAGAGACCCAAAACATACATTTCGTTTTTTTTTTTTTTTTTTTGTATTTCTGAACCCTATAAACTTGATCTCCTGGAGTCTAGGAATGTAAACATAGTTAGTACTTGTCACTCTTAAAATCTTCAGGGAAGCTTGCCTGAAAACAAAAACCTTTTATTGAGCACACAAAACAAATGAAACTGAGGTTAATTATCCATTACAATGCCAGTGGACTTGCATCTTCGTCTGACGTCTTGTAGGCATCCATTACAAGACTCATATAACTGGCCTGCTATAGAAGAGAGTCTAATACTGAACAAATCCAAATTCCAAACAAATTTTCAAGTTAGTCCAACTTTGTACCAATTTCAGGAACTCAAGCCAGAACATGTGTCTTAACGAAAGTTTTTTCCCATTTTAGTATGGACTTAATTAAGTTTTAGAGTTCTAAGTACCTCAATTTATGAACGTAAAAATAGATGGAATTGAATCTCTGTCCAAGAGGTTTTCAAAGTCTTTTTAACATGGTGTTGGACAATGGCTGAAACAACACAGTTTGTGCTTTCTATCCCTGTAATATCCTGATCTCTGGCGCTTAGGCTTCTATCATATGCCAACATCATCAGAACACCCAAGAGGCTACGAAATGCAACTAAGGAATGCGACCAAAAGGTGGAAGAAAACACCTAAGAAACTTGAAGTTCGAATCAGGCATTGAACAACTGCACAAGTATACAACTATACATCTGTTTTCATGGAATGAAACCAAAAGTTCAAAACCACAGAACCAAGGAAAATACAGATACTAGCCTTTAACTTTTGAAGGCCAATGACGTGCACAGTTCAGAATAGCTGGTTGAACCAATGAAAAGTACACCAAGTTTGTAGCTTCAACAGGTCCATAGGCTTGAATACAAGATGTCATTAACCAGTTGAACAACTAACAAGTAGACTCATATACCTAAACTTACAGTCAATCAAGAATACTTATTCAAACCTAAAATTAGCACTAACAGAAACCATTACTTGGACTGCAATTTATGAGGTTAAAGATTATTTCCAATAATTTAGCATTACAAAATCAGAGGACGTGTACATACTGCCAGCAGTTAAGGAACAAACCTTAAAAAACACACACTTAGCAACTTGTTGATTCTACATAGCAATGATAAGTTACAGAAGAGAACATCAGAGACTACAGTCTTTAGAGCATTGTCATCTGAATTAATTTTATGCAACACAAAAATCTAGACTTACTCGGTACATACTTTAACATCACCATGCATTTTGCTCTCCAAAAGTTTAAGAGTCATGCAGGAGCAGCCAAACACAAATGCATCAACAATGACACATCATTTAAACCCCAGAATTTCCTCTTGGCATCTATTTAGTAACCACCAATTTAGCGAGAACAAAAGACCAGTCATCAAAAGACATGGTTGGATCTAGCACAAGAGGCGCAACCTCGGTTATTTCTCCAACAATGGCAGGTATCAAAACAACCTTCTTTAAAGCCTTCCTTCGCTCTTCAAAGAGGGTCAGAATATAGATTTCAGCTTTAGTATATCTGAACCCTTTCAACTCAATCTCAAAGAAACTTGTTGTACATGTACTCCTCCAAGAAGCTTGTCTGAAAACAAATTTCTCTCTTAAGCATAAAAACTAAGTGAAGTATATTGCTCAATACTAAATAAGAAGTCGGGGGAACAATCAATGTGTCAGTGGACTTACATCTTCACTGGTGCGGCAGACATAATCAAGTACTAGTGTCTCCAGAAACGGGGATTGCTTAAGCAGTAAAGACAGCCCAAACACGTGTCGGTTCGAATATCCAGTTAATAGTTCTAAACGTTTGAGCCTTTTAAATTCAAAAAGACACTCATGGGACTTCATCTTCCAATGCATAAACTTCACCCGTGACAAATGAATCACAAGTGAGAAGCAGAATCATCGATTCACCATTAAGCAAAACAAAAGAAAACCATGATGAGGAATGAATACCCAAAAAGAAGAAAGGAAGTCTCTTAACTGACAATCATGTCATTGACAGAAACCAAGCATCGTGACTGGATGGCCAGCTAAACAATGCATTTGTTGTAGTATATTTAGTATTGTGATGGTGGAGATGTTACACTTAGCCTTATCGTAATGCTTACCTCGCATATGTTACTCAACTATTTGAAATGTAACTGGATTATTATTCATAACCAAATTTCAAACCATAATCCTAAATATACCGAATGATAGACTAACAGAACTAGCAAAAAGACAGAAAAAGCATATCCTGCTTCTGTGCTTCAAGACGTCAGGCCCCAAGAAAAAGAAAAACAATGCTAGTTGTATGTTTGGCCACATAAAAATGGTATATTCGTATCTTAGCCAAGTTTGGTGCGCCTATCTCAATTGAGGATTGCATTTCATCTTTATTCGTTGGAAGATAATATTCCAAGTCTAGAAAAGTAAGAGACTCAGACATGATCCTGAAATTCCTCCTCTTCCCTTCAGCATTGAGAGGATGAAGATGAAGCTTCTCGAGATTCCAACAATTAATGGATCAGGTGATGAATTCGTCGATGGATTAACTTCTTATTTACTTGAACTATTACAATTTCCATTTTTAATCTGTGGTGTTTCCTCACGTTAGTCTCCTATTGATGTTTGTTACAGAGTATGTATCTGGAGGACTAATATCGAGGAGATGCGACATTTATAGCTATGGAATCATGCTAATGGAAGTGTTCACAAGGAAAAAGCCAAGTAATGAAATGTTCACCGGAGATTTCAACTTGAAAACTTGGGTAAACAATGCAATGTCAGCTGATTCAATCCTCGGGGTTATAGATACCAACTTATTGACCCGAACCGAAGAAATGGAAAACCATGAGGGGGTTGTCATGTGCTTTCCAAATCATAGGGGAATTTTCATGTGCTTTCGAATAGCATGAGGGGTTCTTGTGAATTACCCCTAATTAAAATTACATTTTCTTATATAAATGAAAACATACAAAGTTGTAATAACATTATAAATTAAAAAGACAAACTGAAAAAAAAATTCAAAATAGATATTTAATGCATTAATTCCCATGATGATCACTCCTTGTTCCTAATCTGTTTATTTCGAGTAATAAATTCTTGAAATTGAGCATGTTCTCTTGGTATCCGAACAACATTTGCCTCCAGAACTACTCGTCCTTTTGTAATTTGTTCATTGAGATCGGTCTTGTCTTCCATTATCATATTGTGCACAATAATACAATCGGTCATAATATCATGCAACACTTATTTATCCCAAAAACGAACTGGAATTCTAAATATTGCAAATCGATATTGAAGAACTCCGAATGCATGTTCCACATAAATTAAATAAAAAGTTAAAAAAATTATAGAAAAGTCAAGCACCTAATTAGCATTGAGGAACACTAAGGCACCAAATTGGTGCATTGCTGTTCATATGCCACCGTTTAGTTATGAATAGTGTTTCCTTGGGCTTTCACTTTGTTTGGTGTGTCTTTTTGGGGATGGTCTAAGGTAAATCTTATGCAGTTCTGAACAATTTCAATTAGTATCTTTAAAAACAATGACATATTTTTTAAAACAATGACATAATCAAGGAGATGATTTTTTTATTTTTATTTTTTTGGAGAAATATGTAGTTTCCTATAATTTCACAAGAAAAAAAAAAAAGGTTTGAAGATAATTTTAAATTTTAACTTAATTACTTTTTTCGTTACAGATTGCGATAAGAGTAATATTTTTATTTTATCTCAATCAAATTATGACTAATATAAAATATTTACAAAAAATATAATATTTTTTAATTTTTATTTTAGTTTAAGAAATTAACTTTTGAAATTTTTAATTTAAACTCCATCCGTCCCAGAAAAATAGTCGAGTTTCAAATTGTACAATTTTTTTAATTTAGTCAACTTAGCAAGATACATAACTTCTAATTTTACCCTGATTGAAATTTAATTAGCTAATCTCTGTTACTTTACTTCCCCGATTTCTCTCTCTCTTTCGATCGACCATAGCAACCGCCGGAGACACGCCGGATTAACTACTCTTCTCATTTCACCACCAAAACACCGAATCATCACAATACGAAATTCACTCTCCTTAGTCCCTTCTAAGAACGGACTAAAAACAGGCCACAGTACCTGAACAGTGGCAGAATTTTATCACATATCCCGCATATTGAAACCCAATGTCCTTGCCAATTTTAATCCAAAATTCAATGTCCTTGCCAATTTTAATCCAAAAAAACCAAAAAAGGAAGAAAAAAAAATAATGAAGAATTGAAGATATAAGGATAAGATCGTATTCCTGATAGGAAATCCTAAATTGGAAAAGGATTGGAGATCCCAAACCATAAATTTAGAAATTGCAGATTTCTTTTTCTTTTCCCCCTTAGCCAGAAAACACAAACGACATATGCTACAAACTCAGAAAATTATCAGATCTACTTACTTGATTTCACTCTTTCCTATCAATTTTGATGAATTTCTTTGCGCTTTTGGTGTTCGATCGATAAGAATTGAGGATCTGGGATTTCCAGAATCGAAGAAATTAATTTCCTTCATGCAGACGCCAATTTAAAATGACGGGTTATCCAACAAAGACAACTTCGGATGCGAGAAAACTGATTGAAGACGGGATTGAGAATAATATAGAAGTACTGAATTTGCAGATGATTGATGAAGGAGAAGATTGGGCGGTAGTCAATATCGCCAGTGGCAGCGGCAGGGGCGGTAGTTACAATGTGAGACGTATATGGAGTCGGCTACCAAAGGGTTTCAAGCTTTTTGAGAAAATGGGAAACGACAAATTCACATGAGGATATTTAAGTCATTTTATTTAAATTAATTTTGACTTTTGTGAAAGTGGACTATTTTTTTGGGACAAGATTTTTTTTATCAAATTGGACTATTTTTGTGGGACGGAGGGAGTATCTAATTTTAAAATTCTTAATTATTTCAATATTCTATTTAATTTATTTTTTTAAAAAATAAAATTAATATTTAAAAATACCTCTTTTGATTTTATCCTAAATATTGTTAAAGGACAAAAACGTTGCATTTTGAAATATGGAGGGTAAATTTAATCAAATGTTATTATAAAAGAGCAAAATGTACATTTAACCTAATATGAAGGACTATTTTCAAATTTTAGTTAACCGGAAATGACCATTCTTCTTCTTCCTTTCTCCGCCAGTAAAACACACAACACAGTGTCACTGCCGCCGTCGACTTTTTTGTATCCAAAAAAATTTGAGATTCAGCATACTTTTAATTGGTAAAGAAACGCCAGAAGCTATTATTTCGAAGGATTTTCAGCAAATGGGGTGACTATTTTTGGATGTGCAGTCCATAGAAACACACACCCACTGAATTGAAACTGAAAAAAGATTTTTTTTTTTTTTGTGCAGATCTCGGTGTGCCTAGGCTTCTCCGGGCGTATACACTGGATCCACCCATGGGTTCAGTTCGTGGGTTGGCGTTTATGGCACTGGCTGATACCTGGGAAATGAAGGATTGAGTAGCTATGTGCGTGAAGTTAAGAAGTCCCATTATCAGCATTATATTTAGAGTATTTATGAAGAGTGCCTTGGGTGAGTTGATTTTAATTACAAAGGTTATGGATTATGATTTCGGCTGATCCTTTATCTGCAAAGTTTTGGGTCCTTGCTTACCTTGCTCTTATTGGAACCATTTTGGTTACTCAAGATCCATTCCTGCTTATTTGATTAGTTTCATCACCATATGTATCCTATAAGACATCAATTTAGTCATATATTCCGAGAACTTGATGTCAACTCATGCACAACATTGGCTGAGAAAATATAGTGCTGGGCTGATCTCGCTGATTTAGGTGAATAATTGTGGGCTTTTGCTTAAAAGAAAAGGAAAATGCATCATTGTCAAGCTGGTTCTAGGATGCTCGGTCATCCTTCTCTGGCGTTTGTTTTGTTTCGTAATGCTAGAAACCGATATATCTCAACATCCATAGGACCGGAGGGGACAACTTTAGCTTCCAAAGCTGGAAATCTCATTTTTGTGGCTTCCATTGCTAAAGCCCTCACAAAACCTGGAGGTGTGTCAAACCTGGAAAAGAATTTTGGGTCCGCGCATTTGTCTGATGATCTTGTCCTCCAAGTTCTTCGACGAAACTCTTTAGAAGCATCGAAGAAGTTGGATTTCTTTCGTTGGTGTTCTCTTAGGCCCAACTACAAGCATTCTGTAAATGCTTACTCTGAGATCCTTCGGATCATCTGCCGCTGCCCTCAATACCACGATGAGATTTTCAACCTTCTTACTTCCTTGAATCATGAAGGCTTGCTTCTCGATTCTGCCACCTCAAAACTGATCCTTGAGTCTTTCATTCGATCTGGAAAGTTCAATTCTGCGCTGCAAATTCTTGATCACTTGGAGAAAACTTTAAGCAAGACAAGCTCTTTCAACCTGGAAATTTATAATTCTGTGATTGTTGCCCTTGTGCAAAAAAACCAGCTAGATGTAGCTTTGTCACTCTTTTTGAAACTCTTTGAGAACTCAAGTGGGAGTGGATATGGTACTGGGTTTCCTGATGCTTTTTCTTGTAATCAGCTGCTTGTTGGCCTTCGGAAAGCTGATATGAAAGATCAATTCAATAAAGTTTTCAAGAAACTGAGAGATAAAGGGTTCTTTCCACTGGATAGATGGGGATATAACATATGCATTCATGTATTTGGCTGTTGGGGTGATCTAGCTACCTCTTTGTCTCTTTTCAAAGAGATGAAAGAAAGGGATGGTTCGTTCAGTCCTGATCTCTGCACGTATAACAGCCTCATTCATGTGCTTTGCTTGGTTGGGAAAGTGAATGATGCCCTAAATGTGTGGGAGGAACTGAAGAGTTCCTCTGGTCACGAGCCTGATTTCTTCACTTACCGTATTCTCATCCAGGGCTGTTCTAAAGCTTATCAGGTTGATGCTGCTATGAAGATATTTTCTGAGATGCAGTATAATAGGTTTCATCCCGACACAGGTGTTTATAACTCCCTATTGGACGGGTTATTGAAATCCAGAAAATTAATGGAGGCGTGCAATTTGTTTGAGAAAATGGTCAATGAAGATGGTGTTCGGGCCTCTTGTTGCACATACAATATTCTAATTGATGGCTTGTTTAGGAATGGAAGAGCTGAAGCTGCTTATCAGCTGTTCATGGATTTGAAGAAGAAGAGCAACAACTTTGTGGATGGAATAACTTTTAGCATTGTTTCTTTACATCTCTGTAGGGAGGGTCAAATCGAGGAAGCTCTGCAATTGGTGGAGGAGATGGAAGCCAGAGGTTTTGTGGTTGATTTGGTTACTATAACTTCCCTTTTGATTGCACTTTATCGTCATGATCTGTGGGATTACACAGAGAGACTAATTAAGCATGTCAAGGATCGCAGTTTAATTCACAATGTTCTTAAGTGGAAATCAACTATGGAAGAATCATTGAGACTCCCACAAAGCAAGAAAAAGGATTTCACCCCAATGTTTCCTTCTAGAGGTACCTTTTCTGACATTTTAAGTATGCTAAGTTCAGCCGAAGGATTAACTGGTGGTCGTACCCATGTGGCAGATAGCCCTGAGCAACAATCTGATGATTTTGATGAGTGGTCGTCATCCCCATATATGGATCATCTGGCTAATCAAGTTAGTCCTCCTAGTCTATATGCCCTTTCGAGGGGGAAAAGGGTCGAAGAGAAGGGAACAGAGTCTTTTGATATCGATATGGTAAATACATACTTGTCCATCCTTTTGTCCAAAGGAAAGTTGAGTTTAGCCTGCAAATTATTTGAGATCTTCACAAATACAGGTCTGCATCCTGTGAGTTACACTTACAATTCCATAATGAGTTCTTTTGTTAAAAGGGGGCATTTAACTGAAGCTTGGGGTGTTCTTCAAGACATGGGCGATAAACTTTGTCCTGCAGACATAGCAACCTATAATGTGATAATTCAAGGCTTGGGAAAGATGCGTCGGGCAGATCTTGCCAGTGCTGTCCTAGATAAGTTAATGAAGCAGGGTGGTTATCTCGACATAGTTATGTATAATACTTTGATTAATGCGCTTGGGAAGGCGGGTCGCCTTGATGAGGCTGTTAAGCTTTTTCAACAAATGCAAAGTTCTGGGATAAATCCAGATGTTGTCACCTTCAATACACTCATTGAAGTTCATAGTAAGGCTGGGCGGTTAAGAGATGCTTACAAGTTTCTAAGGATGATGTTGGATGCTGGATGCGCCCCGAATCATGTTACTGACACGACCTTAGATTTTCTCGAGAAAGAGATTGAGAAATCGAGATATGAGAAAGCTTCAATGAAACGGACAAATAACTCCCCTTCACCAGGAGAATAGCACTAAAAGTTGTTCAACTAAAGATTGGTGAGTAACTGAGGGTTGGTTCCTAAGATCTTATATTATGTTCTTTTCCTTTTAGTTCCTAAAATCTGTAGAAATGACTCATTTTTGGACAGATGATAGATTTTAGCTCACACTAGCTTTGTCAGCGTACAGTGGATGCAATGAATGCAGTTGGTTTATTGTCCGTGTCATCATTGTGCACTGACCATGCTTATTTTTCATATATCGTTTCAATTTTATCGTATTTTAGACTGTCTTTAATTGTTTCGACATGAAATTTCCAACCATTTAATATCTGAAACGAAAATGAAGTCACATTTCAACATTAGAGAAATTTCACCAATGTAGGTTATGGTGTTTTTAAAATTTTTATAGTAGTAGTTTGATCTTTATTATTTATGAGCACTTATTTTTACTATTGCCCTGGGGCAGAGCCCAAACAAATGGTGGTGTACGACATAGAGTACAGAGTTGACGAGGATGACACCTGGTGCAGTGTTTCCGTGGCATTGTCCGCTCATAAGGGATGCTATCAATAGCTTTTTGAAGGTCCCTCTGAACGAGAGCATTTCCGCCGGCAATTCCAAAACCATCACCGAAGTGGACGAGGTGTTCTTGAGGAAGATCCAACCAGTGTCAAAGCAGCTTCAGGACTGTGAGTGCCATAGAGTGATCAAAGGCGTGACGGCTTGCACTGCTCTGAGTTTCAGAAGTGATGATCCGCGCCTCTACGAGGCGGTTGTGGAGGAGGTAATTTCTCTCCTTTTTTTTTTTTTTCTATATCCTCTTCATCTAGGGTTTAAAATTTCCTACTCTTTGCTCAAAATGAGTTGGAGAAATATCATATATATTGCACGCATAAGAGTGTTGATTTTTTTACTTCTCATTGTTTATTAGGCAAGGTCTTGTTCCTTCAAACCCGGAATTTATCATAAACAGGTCACAACAACATCCCACCAAGGTCCGATAATGTGTTCCTGAAAATGCAGCCCTGGAGAGAACGAGGATGGACATCGGCATCTCAAAGGCCTGATGATTAATCACCTCGGTTTCACAATCTCAATCTCTGCCATGTCACTGCTACATTTTGTGGACACGTAAACCCTATCGTTGCAGATACGAGCTTATCAAATTGATCCCGATAGCCATATCCAGCTTCACCGTCATCTTCATAGTCACTGTCACCGTCAATATTGTCGAGGTTGATGGGCCAGAATTCTTGATCGGAAACTCTGTACGTACAGTTTTTCTCGTCTTCTGCAACACAACAGAATATAATGCTGTCTGGATTTGTGGGTTCTTTGGTCAAGATGATTTCTGGGAGTGTATTTTGATTGGATGATAAATTAATTGGAGGGAAACTGATAGATACGGAAGTAGAGGGATTCCATAGTTGCAATTCCAGCACCTGATTTGATTAATCAGAAGACTGACACAGAAGTAATCCAGTGTGAGCTGAGATCACAATGGGGTCATCCTTGAGCTCCGGTAAGGATTTTAGGAACCTCTGGGGTTTGGGTTTGAAATAAAACATCGTAAAAGCATTGGTCTGTTTGTTCTTTGCCATGAACAAACGTAGGATATGGATATGGATTCTGAGCAGGTTGATCTCTATATTTCTCCTCCTTCAGCCATCATATTGCTTTTGACTTCTTGGGTTCTTTTTGTGTTTTGATTTTTTTATTTTTTATTCAAGGATTGATTTTCCGAAATTCTGTTCAGTTCCAAATTGGATTCCGGAGTACTTAATACGACTCTATGCTCTTTCAAAAGGCGTACAACATACATTTCGTTCTTTCTTGGTTCCCTTGTACCGCTTCATCCCGACTAACCTAAGTTTAGGCATTTGGAAAACGATTGATCGAACCTTTTTACTCTTTCGCAGGCCTCCCTGAAAGATACACAGAATCAACGTCATAATCCAGTGTTAGGTAAAGAAGAGCCATATCCCCACAACAAACAAGTCTATAACCTTCATACTCACATCACTATTTGACTGATAAAAGTTCTCGAGGACCATTGTCTCGAGCTGTGGACATGTCTTCAGTAAAACTTCCAGGCCAAGAATGTCATCTCTCGAGTAGCCAGTTATTAGCTTCAAATGTTTGAGGTTATGAAATGCAAAGGTTCTTGAGAAAACTTCCTCTCCAATCTTAAGCTACATGAAAGACTCAAGTGTGAGAAACAGCAATATCCTCTGCAGAAGTCAGAAATAATGAAGAACACAAAAACCTATTTCCCCTCTCTTTTTGTTGTTTAACAAATTATGAAAAAAACAAAACAATGCTTAAACTTGTTCTAAGGCATCTAATGACTTTCCATCAAAATGGAACGGTCACACACATATCAGATGGTCCAATCAAATTCTTAAAAGCAATTATTTTCTTTTTTTTTTTCTTTTTTTTTTTGGTTCTATGTATAAACCAAAACCGGATCAATGTTGATAACTATCATTTCCTTTTTGAATTCCAAATTTTACCCGAAAAAGAAAAAATCAACGCACAATGGAAAAGGTTTCAGTCAATTTAACCTAAGACAAGCTATGACAAACTTCACACATAATAAGTTATCTTCATTACAACAACAACAACAACAATATGCACAGTACATTCCCAACTCTGTCGGGGTCGGGGTGTGAAGTTATATTTATTATTACTTTCACCAATAATATCAAGGCAAGATGCATAAATCACAAAATGAGATAATTTACTACAATCTCAGCAACTATAACCAAAAAAGACCAAACCTACGATTTTAAGAATTAAGGGTACAAATTGCATAATGACACATTACTATCACATCCAAATGCACTCACTAATTACTCATTTTTAATCAAAGATGAAGTGTATCAATGGCCGACAGATTGAAATAAACATGAGTTTAATGCATTCACTAATTACTCATTTCCAATCAGAAATGAAGTGTATCAATAGCCAGCAGATTGAAGTAAACATGAGTTTGAAGTGAAAATTAATTTCGCTTTTCAAGCAAAGATCAGCCTTTGTGGTATCCGGAGACTTAGACAACCAGCCACACATGACCAAGCAAAAAAAGTTGAGCGCATTACCTTTCCATGATTCTTTTCTCCCCCCATTATTGATTCCTCAACACTCCAATTTTCTGGATTCTTTCTAATATGTTCATCATACTGAAGGTGAAAATGAAATCAGAGAAATTCAAAAAATGAACAAGTTGTAGAAAAGTTTGAACACATAACATAAGTTCATATAGTAAATAAATTGCTAAGGGTTACTTGCATGGATTAGCATAAAGCCAATGGGGCTGATCGCTACATACACAAACATTATCCGAATCTTCTAAAACAAAAAGTTGATGTATTGATAATAATTTCTCAAAAGATAGAGAGCGACTTGTACCATCTCCCTTTCACCACATAAAATCATAAATCATTCAGATAAAATAATGCCTGATTATGCAAATAAGCCCCAAAGAATGGCTTAATATCAGCAATCTGAAAAGAACTCACCTCATGCTGTACTCCCTCTGTCTCAAAACGATTGTTTTCTTTAGATTTTCCCTTTTTTAGTACAATTTGTACTAGAAATGATAATCCAAACTGGACAATCATTTCGGGGGGGGGAGGCACAAGGAATGGAATGAACTTTCAATCCACTAAGTTAAATAATGCCCGATTCTAACTCACAAGAGAAAAATCAGGATCATGGGAATAGGAATAAAACAGAACGCATACCAGAAACCAAAACCACATGTTTTCAATGGTTAGTCGGACACCACCAAGAAATCTTACCATATTCGTCCAGCAAGCAAACTCCCACCATGTATGGTCAAGAAATATCTTTGAAAGCATATTTTCCAGCGTAAACTCTATTGAAAGTAACTGATTCCAGACTTGGAGCACATATCTCAACTGAGCAATGTTCAGTCTGGTAGTCCTTGAAGCCGTACAACTTGAGCTGCTTTAGTTTTGGGGACACTATTTTCAAATGGCGCAAACTCCAAACATTGGCAATACACAAAATTTCAAGATTAACACATAATGCCATCATATTCTCAATGATGAACTTCATCCCTCGTAGAAAAATGCTCTAGATATATTTCCCTGAGAGAATGAACTGCCATGGACAGTGCATTCCCAGGGGAACAGATATTGATTCCACGCAGTCTTTAAGACCTTAACAGAGCAATTTATCAGATCAGAAAAAATGAAACCTATAAGGCTCATAAATATCATCACTTTCATCATCTTCTTCGTCATCCTCACCGTAACTAAAGATATCAAAATCGAGATCAACCTCTGTTGCGTTAGAATTAATAACGTACCGAAGCCAGGAATTAACATAGGACCTGATGGACTCATAATCCTTGTAGTGGAAAACCAATTTGAATTTCTCAATCGGGAAGTGGCAGGGACGGTGGAGGAGGGTTCGGCTGATAAATTCAGTGAACAGCTGGCGAGCGTCCGGTTTAGTATTCTCCGGAATACATGAAAGAAATTGATTAAAGTCGAAATCGAGTTTGGGAACAGAGAGCCAGAGGTTAGACCAGTTGGGAGCGGCGGCGGTGGTTGGAAGGAAGGATAGAATGTGTAATAGAATGCTCTCCGGGAGGTCATCTATGGTCGATTCGCTAGATTCCATTGGCAAAGGTATCATCTTCTTTCGGTTCTTTCTTCCGGTTCTGCCGTCTCCGTTTACAGGTCTTCATGGTTTGATCGGAAAATGGAGATATGGCGGGAAGGAAAAAGACCCCTAAGGCGGGATATCTTGATATAAGTACGGAAATAACTATTGGCGCGCAAAATAATCCGTGAATAACGGGACTAATTTGCATAATTTTGTTAAATTCCCATCATCTGTGTGTGCGTGTTTTATTTATTTATTTTTTTTTACAAATTTTCTCGTTTTAGAGATTTGTAAGAGATTTATTGATAATTTCTTCAATCTGAAAAACTGCTGAAACCGCCATTTTTATGTAATTGGAACTGATCTCAACGGATTCAAGGAAGTAATATCAGAATTTCTAAATCATTTAAGCCGAAACTCGAAATCAAACATGATTAAAAAAAAAAAAACCAAGATAACATGGCATTTTGGAGTTCAATTTATCTGTAGTGAGCTTCAGATTAGTGTGCTTAACAATCCAAGATTGAAAGACATAAGAAAACATGTGGGCCGGACATTCATATCCATTCAATTACAAACTAAGAAGTGCTTCATTTCCTGCACTTCTTCACCCCAAATGAATGATTGACTTGATTCGGATTCATCCTGGAATGCAGCTTTATCCGTGCAAAGGTACCTGAACCGCTGCTCAAACCTTTTATCCTATGGTTCATCAAGCATAGGAAGACGACTTTGTCTGAGAATCTGAATGGTGTAGCACCCGGTTCTGATCTTCCATGTTTTTGTCGCCTCTTATAAGTTTTCTTTAAACAGAGCAGATCATAAATAAATCTCACTTAGAAGTCAGAATCACCACCACAATTAGACTTCAACGCCTTGAAGCTTCTGCTGATGGGTGAACGCGTCACCACAAACATCCAAGACAAACAAGGTAAAGTCTCAGCTTCTGAGAAACCAAATCAACATGATAAGTCTCAACATCTACAGTTTTAACCATGTATACTAGATGTAACTAACAGGAACTCCAGGGGTGAGGAAGTTCACTTGGATTCTAGTAACACAAATGAAGTTATAACGCAAAAAACCATGAGCTAAATACATGTGCAAAAAGATACATACTGTAACTATTCTGCAATTCTACAATTTGTGAGCTCAATTTAACTGCTAATATTACCAGCTAAATAATTTTCATAATAGAAGACCAGAGATGGCCTGTTGGACTAGAATATGGAGATTCATCAAGGAAAAAGTACTCCAATTCTATCATAGAGAACACAGAACCTTGTAGCATTAGCATCTCTTTGTTTAAAACTCTTCCTCATTTTCAAAAGACTGTTTCACTACAAACATCATCATTTTTAAAAGCAGGAATGGTATCCTCAATCATCTCACAGTATCTAATAAAGAAGCTACCAAAAAGCAAAGTTAATATCTGCACCAAACTATTCTTGCAACCAAGGGGATCATGTAGATGATTTGATTCGGAAAGAAGTCATGATACTGCTCGATAAGGAGATGAAATCTTATCTGTTGCAATAGCCAATTCCCCCACTTCCTTCAAAACTGGCCGAGTGAAATGGCATCACAAAATCTTCTCCTACGTATATGATTTCTAATACAAGGAGGATGGTAAAACAAAAGGAAGCAAAATTCTTGACCTTGGGATTTAGATTCTAAGTCAATAACAAAGACAAATATACACTTTGAAACATTGAACATTTGCAGAAGACACAAAAGTATACCTTCAACAAGAGAATTCATTTGAAAAGGGCTATATACTCTAAAAACTCCATGAAGCGTATCATGAATCGAACTCAAGAATGTATCTAGTCCTACTGCTTTCCAAGTCTATCCTATAGGTCTTCACTGCTAAATACTGATCAATTCAAACATTGGAATTTACAATGTACAAGGAAATCAAAGAATTCAATTAACCATGCCAATTAAATCAGCCTATCAACACAGATGACATTAAACCCCACTTCATAATTCTATGAACCCAAATAAAAACTATAATAGTTGGAGCAGAAATAGAAATTCATCACCCGATTATTTCTGAACTCTCATGACGATTGCAGTCCTTTCCTCCCCAGCCAAGCTCACATTTCTAGCATTCAGAAACCGAGATTTTCTAAAAAATTTAACAATCTCCCTCACTTCTTCATCCCCACATTCCTCAACAGCCACCACACAAATTCCCCCAATCTTCACAGTCCTCTCCATCTCCTCAACATAGCGGATTGGGAAAAGGGCCCGATCAAGGTACCCACTAAACCCGAAATCAAACACGTCATCAAAGAAGGGAAGATTGTGGGGATCAGCCCGGCTGACCAGCGGAGGTGAATCCACAACCTCCACACCAGTAACGTCCGCCACCCCCATTTCCCTCAACGCCATAACAGCCTGGCCGGGACCGGCGGAAACGACCAAAGCCCGAGAGTGGTTGAAGAGGTGGCTCCGGGTCTGGGCTTGAAAGGTGGAGAACAAGGCCTTGTACGAGTCGACGGCGTGAATCCACATCTTGGAGCTCCAAAGCCGCCTGTTCTTCTTCTCCAAGGAGGTAAAAGCCCGGTGAGTGTAGTCGCAGGTGGACGTCGGGAATAGTGTTTGGGAGGCCCGCTTGGAAGTGGGATGATCCGGAGCTGTGGGGTCCACGCAGGTGGATGGGGTTTGGATGATCAGACCCAGGAGGACAACGGTGGCTATGGTGATTGAAGCGTATGAGATCTTATTCAGTAAGATCTGTACGTGTTTCTCCATTGTTGAAAAACAATGGCTTCGATCGCCGGGAGCAATAATCGAATTCTCTGTTCAGAGACTCAGGGAGAGAGAAAGGGCGGCGACAGAGACGCCATTTTTGTGGCTTACGATGGTGGCCCCACTGGAATACGCCGCGCTGGTATTCTGTATAATTGTTTACTCTTATTATTAGTAGTTTTTTATCATTACTTTTTTTATTTTGTACTAACATTTTTTACGTCACTTTTTAAAATTTCAGGTAAAATTTTTGTTAATAATATTTTCAAAAATTAAAGTAATCACCATCTATTTATTTTATTTGTTTTTCCACATTAGTACTGTTTTTATTTTGTAGTAAGAACTTTTTTTACGTCATTTTTTTTAATTTTAGGTGAATATTTTTTAATAATAGTATATCGAAAATTGAAAATTAGTGAAGGTTATTTTTTCATTTTAAATCCTTCAATCAAACATGTGGAACAAAAATACAAAATCAGTGACAACTAGCAAGATCAAAAACACCTTATGAGGAACATATATTGATCAAATATCCAATCATATACATTTATTCAGGGGACAAAAGAACCACAGATACCATAAGTTTTTCAGTTTTTGTAGGTATGGAAATCAAATGACCAATACAATAAGAGACATAAAAACCAAGCACAACTTTTCAGGGGAAAAAAGAAACTTCAGGAAAAAGGAAGAATTTCAAAGCACAAGTTCAATCTCTGCTTTGATCAAAGATGGCTGTTTTTAGGTAGAATCAATGGTCTTGGTGGAAACCATCCTTCTAGTGATTTCCTTTTTGCTGTCCTCCTTGTCCCAGAAACCCATAGCAGTAACATCACAGGGAAAACCTTCTAGTGAATTGCACTGACTAATTTCCAGGAACCTGATTTCAGGCATTGCAGCTTTTACCTCCTCCCAAGTCAACTGCAGCCTTTGGCAAAACTTGAAGCATAGTCCCTTGATGTCCCATTTACATTTCGCGGTTTCTGATTCGCCGGTGGCCAAGAAATCTTTGCTCATTTTGCTCACTCTTGTGTGCTCCAAGCATAGATACTGCAGCTTCTTGAGTTTCTCTGGATTAATCCATCCTGGCAATGTTTCTCCCAAATAATGCTTCAGATACAACTCTTCGATGGAAGTAGGTGGCGATAACTTAGCCAACTTAGTTAAGATGTCATTATCTTGAGCAAGGCCGCAATCGCCTGCATTGATGGATAACAGCTTTAGCTTCTCTAGTTTTTCCAGGACCTGCAGTTCATGATCTTCTATTCTGCTTTCTTCGTTTATGTCTATCTGTAAGACACGAAGTTCTGTCAGGTTCTCCAGCTCGCCAAGGCGGGATCCTGTTGGATTGGCTGGACCAGAGATTTTAAATCCATAGAGCTCCTGGAGACAAGTGAGTTTTGAGAATCCTGTTGGTAAGTGCTTGAGTTGTGGGCAATTGCCAACATTCAAGAAAATCAATCTCGGAAGCTTTGTCATGCACATTGGCAGCTTCTTTAGATTCTTGCATTCCTCCAGGATCAGCACCTGGAGCCCCCACAATTTGGCAATTGTGTTAGGGACTTCAGTCAATTTTGTCACTTCTCTGAGGTTTAGGTAAGCTAAACGCGTAAGGGTCGCGATCCATTCCCAAAAGTCGTTAAGATCAATGCTGTCAAGTTTTACCCTTGAGAGATCCAGGACCCTGAGAGAATGGACTTTGGCCAGCTCAATATGTCTACTGAAACCAATATGATCAGTTTCAGTGAGTAGCAGTGCCCTTAACTTTGAATTCCCCTTCAGCTTTTGGAACCTGGTATCAGTTCCAACTCCCAAGCGACGAGAACTGCTATTAGCTGTTTGCCTCCCCCCTTCAAAGCTGCAGAATTCTCCATCTCTAGCGATCTTGATAGTCAAATCTCGAACCATATCATGCACCTTGCAGGTGTACACACTTCCATCAAAGTTTCTTCTTTGAGATACTTCAACCAGGCACCTACTGATCAGCTCTGACAAACAATTGAGAGCTAACTCAGTAACGGTTTCTTCAGTCCTGTTTCGGACAAATCCTTCGCCAACCCACCAATGAATCAGCTGGTCAACATCAATTTCATGATCCTCTGGATATATTGAGAAACACAATAGGCACGGCTTCAAGCGAGGAGGAAGCTCATCATAGCTTAGCTGTAGAGATGCAATGACTGACATTCCCTCCAAATTCCCTCCATCTGTCAACTTTTCGTGGAAAGTTTCATTAATCCTTTCCCACTCTGCGACAGTCTTCTTGTGGTTCAAGGATAGTACACCGGCAATTGTCTTAATTGCTAGAGGAAGGCCCCCACATTTTTCAACAATCTTCCTTCCAACATCCACTAATGGTAGTTGTTCATCATTAGTAGAAATTTTTGCAACTTTGCAGAACAGTTCCCAACTCTCATCGTCATTAAGTAGCCTAGGTCGAAGGATCCTTTCTTTTACAACTCCCATTTCTCTCACAACTTTCTCTATTCTGGAAGTGATTATAATGCAATTCTTGTTCTCTTCAAGCTTTGGCAATCCATCATATAGCGGCGACCACCACCCCTCATCAACGCTCCACACGTCATCCAGGACTATCAGGTAATTTTTATCAGAGAGTAATTCTCTGATTCTAGTGAGCATATCACCCTCACATGATCCACCACTGTCTTTTTCCCCAAGTTGTTTCAACATGCTTCTCATGATTTCAACCACATTGACAGGTTGAGATACTGAAACCCAGAGTTTCTCCTGGTACCGCTTTGTTAGAACCTGATCATTGTAGATCTTTTTGGCAAGAGTTGTCTTGCCTAAACCCCCCATCCCGATTATTGCCAGATGAAGCATCGGTTCATTCTGACTGAAAATCCAGTCCTTCATTGTCTGAGTATCTTCTTCTAGACCAACTATATCAGTCCGGTCAAAAACCTGTGAACTCCATCGTCTTCCTCCAAGGCTGTTCTCGCCACTGCCAACATGTGCAGTAATTGGTCCATAATAAGAATTCAAGTTTTCGCGCATTCTTTGAATTTCGCTATTGATTTCTTTAAGCTTCTTTCCCATTCCTCTGCGAAAGGACATCTCTGAAAGGGAGAGGCAGCAAGTCTCTCCCATCTTGTTCTGATAATCCTCTCTAATCTGGCAGTCAGCAACCAAATCATCAGCTCGGTAAATTAGTTCTTGTAGAGAGGCAATGGTTGCCTTGACAGTTTGTTGATTGTCTTTTTTCCTGCTTGCATCAATAACAAATGATTGCATGAACACCATTTGTTCTTTCAACTCGCGGAATTGATCTGGATACTGAACAACATATTGCCCTTGTTCCTGGATTGCAGCAGCCACATCTTTGACCAGCTCTTGTGCAAGTGCACTTACTAGAGCATCTGCCATTTTTTTTCTGCAGATATATAATAGAAAAAACTCTTAGTAAAACATAGCTAGGCCTATGCAACTTAATCTAATCCTTTCATCCGAGAAAAGTTTAAGTCAATTATTTTTCTAGGAAATAGGAAGTATAGACAACCATAAAACTGGACAACAAAAATTACAGATATAGCTATTTCTTCCTAGTCGTGCAGTCCCTGAGACCAAACTCTCCATGATTCATCTAAAATCCTTTAGCTACTTGTGTGTGCTTGTGTGTGCAGATCCTGAGACTCATCAGCACATTACAGTTTTTAAGGGTTGGTATCTTTTTTCTTATTTCAGATAATGACTTCCTTCAAATCACAAAAAAATCAGATAAAAAATAATCACCTTCGATTAGCTAAATTTTCGAGCTCTGAATTCAAATCTTCTAAATATGGAAGTCACAGTATTTCATCAAGATATAAATCTGCTACCAGGTTTCAGACGAGTTTCCAGCCTTGTAATTGTGAGTAAGTTGGATGCTGGAAGCTAGCAACTTGGATTACTTGCCATCATAGTCAAAAACTGCTACTGCCAGCATATCATTCTACATATAGCAGAAAGGATGTGTCTGAAAACAAAAGAGCTGACTTTAAAGCAAGACATCTATATCATATAAAAATGGAAAGATGAGCTTTCAGGGACAAGATGAACACATGAAACAAGCTGTCGCTACAAGAACAGAAGTCATACTCACCTCGGCTCAATGACAGGCAGCTATTTGCTAAGATGGTTTTACTTTAACTGAGCTCCATTAAACTAGATTCTAGCTTGTGAAGAAAGCAGACTGGAACTTGAGAGATTTTTCTCTTTATTTTGGGGTATCCAAGGTTTCAAACTAGAGAAATGAGGCTAAAAGCCATCATAATGCTCAAGTTCTAGCCATGAGGTTCATTTCAGATGTTAGCCTACGTAGTTCGGACTATGTGACTTATTCTCTACATAGAGTGATGTTTATACAGTACACTAATCAATTGTTACAAATACGACGCACTAGACTCGGTGCAGAATATGTATAACACGACTTTAAGACGAGATTTCGAGTCAAGTTTAATTCTAGTTTATTTGGGTTCACAAGAAATAACAAGGCACTGAACAATCCCTGATTATCTGAACATGTTCCTCACGTGGTCAAAGTCACTGAAGGCCAATTTCACACTGAATATATCCCTTTAACTTTACTTGGGTACATTATAGGATGCTTTATTTAAATGTCTAATTCAAGGCCAGAAGATGTCTCCCACTAAGGCCCTCACTTTACAGAATGCAGGACTGTCCTGGAGTTTTCACCAATGGTGCAAAAATTGACTTGACTTGAGCATTTCACTGGGATCATTTTTGTGACTAAAAGAAGCACTCTTGGGTCATAACAATTATGAAACAACGTTGGAAATCTAGAAGCTGATGAATAACAGCTTTTATACCGTTCTTTTCCAGGTGGATTGCATATTAGAATTGATCAGGATTCAGGAGTGATCAACTTAAACTCTGCAAGAAGTTTGTATCCCTTCATGTATCCATTGTCAGCTTTTTGTAGAATTTGGCAAAAGCCTTCACATAACATCCAAAATTCTGGATCTATCCATGGCTTTCTGGTTCCTGCAACATTCTAAATGTACTAACAAAATACTACTAACCTTGTGCAGTCCAGTTTTTGTGGTAGTTTGGGATTCGAATGACTTAACTATTTTCAACTGTGAATAAAATTTAAGATATAATTCAGTAGTAATCTTTTGTTCGTCCGGTTAAGCAATTCATGAGCAACAAATTCCTGAATGGTCTATTCACTCAAAAGTACTGCACTAATTGCTTGACAGGATGCAATTGGCTCTACATAAAAGTAAAGTCAATGCCTCGTCTCCCACCCATTCTTTACTTTGAAAAATGAGTGCTTTGGAGTGCTGGACTTTAATCTGATCAAATGTTGGCTTTGATCATTGGCTGCCCTTCCTTTCCCTATTGCTCTTGAGCAGAAGAAATGAAGGATTATGGGCTCAGATAAACATCAAAAAACAAGAAGTTTATTCTTCGGTTTAACAGTTACTCTAAGCAGAAAACATACAGATAGCCTTCAAATCATCTTCTAGTAGGCAGAAAAGAGAAAACATAAAGATCTGTTTAATCTAAATTTATATGTGGGCATATTGTAAGATAAAAATGATGTCAAATAATAGAGTCTTTTTGCTGTTTGTCATCATGCCAAAGTACAAAGGATAAAACCAAATATGTCCTGAACCTTTCTAACTTTTCCTTGTCATGATTGCACTATTGAATTTACTAGGTAGGTACAGAATGAAGTTCATTAGAAAAAAGATGAAGAACAACAATCATTGATGATCTACAGTGCCACATCATTCTATTTGAACAGCGCATCTTTTACTGCAATTTACAGCAGTAGAAAATAAGAACAAACGTTTCTTTCCTTTTTTTCCCCCCCAAAACTGAATCAAGAGAAAGTTAAGTCGGCAGGCTATCTTGATGTACCAGAAATCTTCTCGGCCCCCAGAGCTCTTGAAATTCCATGGATTATGACATCTTTCGACACAAATAATTCCGGTGCTGTGATTTCAACCCCATCAATCGCCAGGAACCCAGATGAATTGCTTTTGTGAATTTCAAGATTCTCGCCGTCCTGAAGGGTTTCCAAAGATGAATTCTCCGGCAGGAAGGCCAATTCCATGGAAGCATACCTCTGAGCCAGAATGTGTAGCCTCACAACTCTGTCAAGTAACGGCGAAGGAAGTGACACTAAACTGAAAAACGGCGGAGCAAAAATGGTAACCGATCTCAAATCAGGGTAATCTCGAAAAATCCCATCAAGAACAGACTGCAAACCGATTGCAAATGGCAAGAATCCATTAGTATTCAGAAACTGGATTATCTTCGGCCACTGAACAAGCTGGTTGTTTGCCTCAGTATTATTATTACTGGGAGAAGAAAACCCACCAGTGTCATTGAAATTCTCACAGTTGGGATCAGAAGGAGCAATAAAGTTGGAATCTTTATCAACAACATCATGGAAGTTTAATGATGAAAGTGATCCAAGAATGCCGTGAACTGAAAAGGGTCCGCCAAGAAACATGTCAGGATGAGTAATTAACGCGTTATTGATCTCAATCACTCCCTTTTCTTCATCAACTTTGGTAATCTTGACATACTTTCCCCGGAGCAGAGTAGTTAAGCAACTCCCCTGAGGTTTCTTGAGCAGAGCTTGAATGGGGAGATTTGAAGCGGAAACCTGGTACTGCAAGAGTTGCTTCATAGCCAGAGGAGGGAGATGGGCGGAAAGGTTGGAAATGGTGGAATCTTGGATCGCAAAAATGGTGGATTCAGGGGACGAAAGGAAGAGTTCAGGGGTAATCTGGAGAAGGGTTGCCATCACGTTGAAGCCTTGGGATCTTAGAGCTTTGGAAGCATTCAAGGAGAGATCTTTCTTGATGGATTGCAGTGACGATGACGGAGTTGAATTGGGATCTTCATGGATTACAGTTGAGATTGCAATAACTGCTAGGGCTATTGAGGTAGCAATGTAGAAAGGGGCGTGCCACCAATGTGAACAAGAAGAATTCGCCATTGTTCTTCTTCAGATATGAATTTAGAAAGGATCAGAAGAAGAAGAAGAAAGATCCTTCCTTTTCTATTGCAATGCGACTTTTTGAGTTTCTGCTTTTCTGTTTTCTGGCAGTTTCTGCAACTTTTCTGGCCTGAGAGGATTTCAATAGAATGAGAACCACTCTATTTATATTGAGGGAAGAAAACAGAAGAACTATATGTACTTGCTCCGTTGAATGGACTTAATGATCTTATAGCAACTCTTGAGAAAAAGCAAACCCTATAATTTACATATACACATGGATTAGTAATATAATAAACCAAATCCCAATCTGTTTTTTTGCCTATACTTCTTCTTGCTAAGTCTACCTATATTCACATTTATCTTCTGTTCTAACATACATGATTTAGACCCCATTTCTCCGATCACTGAAGAGTAAAAAGAGCAGCAATTAAACTAAGTCAATGCTTCTCCGAAGTAGCATCTGATGTTGGTGGTGATGATGATGAGGATGATTGGCGTCTAGTGACACGAATATAGCAAAAAACAGCAGCAAAAATGGCAGTGATAAGTCCACCAATAATGACACCACCACCGGCCACTGATTTATCTGAGGAATGATGCTTTGACAGTTTTCTTGATAAAGTTGCTTCTGGAGCTTCTGCTAAATCACTGTCCTCTTCGTCATCGTCGTTGTGAGCATGATCTACTTCTTCTGAATTTAGTGCCACTGACTGATTTGCAGGAACAATGTCAGCTGAGTCCTTCATGATCTCATACTTCATCGGCTCTGAATCCATTTCCCAGGTTTCTGCTGCCAATGATTGTAGCATAAAAATCCCAGATAGGATCAGGAATGCAATAAGGATTCGGGTGCGACCCATGATTTTAATATAATGTACAGTATCTTGAGTTAATTCAACAGCTGTAGACTTGTAGTGTTACAATTAGGGAATGAAATTGAAGTGGGATTCAGCGTTTTTATAGGCTGATGGATGGAGAGAGAGGCGAATTAATGTAGGTTTTTTTGTTTTTTTGTTTTTTGTTTTTTTTGCAGAATTAATGTATGGTTTGACTAAACTAAAGTGTGTGAGCTAATTGGGTTTTGGGTAGTTAAAATTTCGATGTTGTATTGTTGTGTAGTGATGGAAAGCGGCCAGGTTGCCTCCAAAGGGAATGTGGCAGATTATATTGAGCTGTCTGAGTTTGAGAGGAGTAATACACGTAGTAGGAGAAGAGGTGATTAGTACTCCTTTGGTCTCATTTTAATAATCTTACATTTCTCCCGTCAACCATTATTGAACAGTTTGTATCAATCAGAACCCAAAAAAATTTCCAGCAATCGTAATAAAATTTCTTTCTTTCAAAAAAATAATCTTACATTTTCTTTGTTGTACCCAAAAAAAAAATTAAAAAAATAACAATAATCTTACATCTCATACGGTTGTATTGTAAAAAGTAAACTATTAATTTAGAGTGTTCTCAAGTCTTAACTACTCCCTCCAATCCTTAATATAAAGCATGATTTATTCTAGGTTTTACCTAATACGTATTTTTAATTGACAAAAAAAATTTTAAAAATATTTCATAACAATCAACAGAACACAAAGAATGTGAAAATATGTTGTAAAGATTTTTTTGTCAATTAAAAATACATACTAGGTAAAACTCAAGATAGATCAAATGTCTTATATCAAGGACCGGAGGGAGTATTATACTACATGGTAAGTCAATTTAATCGTCTCTCAAACGAATTGATTAAGGATCAATTTGAATAAGGTTCTGAGACATATTTAATTAACAATTACACACTTTGTTTTTGTTTAAAAAAAATAGTTCACGTCGAGTTTTGATATTTATATTAAAAATAATATAAATTTAAAAAATCGTATAAACCGAGTAATCTCATTGCGTGATCATCATCCGTGAAGTTTCATAGTTCACTGAACCGGCCACAATGGCTCTTAGGTAGCTGAGATGAGTCCGGTAGGACCCAAAAAAGGAGGAAGCTGTGGTGAGAACAGACCCTCTCGAGTCCTCTTCCTTTTTGACCAAATCTCGTTGGCTAATGCTAATGATTTTTTATTTTCATTTTATTTTTGCTTGCTTGGGCAACAAAACTTTGCTTAACAGGACAAGAAAGATGATTTAATTAAAAGTTATGTCAAACTTCTAAACCTTTGTATTCCTATCAAATGCATCTCCAAAAATATCTAAAAATGCTTTCACATGATCTCCACCATACACAAGCATTTGATAAATGTTTTTCTTTTCTTAACATAAACGTCGGAATAGTAGTTAGTAGAAACGAGGACGCCAATTTATTAAGGAGTTATGAATCAAGGTTGATGAGTTTGATTGAATATCATTTTCTTTCCTCCATGTCACTAAATCAAAGGGGGATTTGTTATCATTTATTCTGATTTTTAATAATCTTCCCCTCTAGCAATAATTAATCATCTAATTTGGATTTTCACTATCATTGATAGGAGTAAAACCCAAGATAAACTAAAAAAATAAAAATAAAATTGCATGGCTGGAAAATTGAATAAATTGATGACAAATGTACCATGGACCAACATCGGGGGCAGAAAGCAAACTAAAATAGTAGTCGTCCATAGTCCACATAGTATAAAGAGGTGGAAAGGGTTGCACGAGTGAAGTAGACCTGAAAGACCAAAGACTAATCAGAGATACTAGTTGTGACGGTGCTTTAATGCATGGATTTGTTGAAAAAGTTCTCCTTATAAAACTTAAAAATTAAAATACATTAATCACCATCCCTCTTTCCTTCCTAGTGTTCGTCCTGTTCGAAAATAATTATCGCGTTTGAATTTTCAATTAATTATTATATATTATTTCTATCTCAGAAAAATAGTTCAATTTTAAAAATACAAATCTTAAAATTGGACTTATAAGATCATTATAACCTAAAATTGATTATTAAATTGATAAGTAGCCATACAAAATTATTTACTTTTTCATATTAAATTTTACTTTATAAGATTAAATCATCTAATGTTTATATTTCAACATTTCAAATTGGACTATTTTTTTAAGACGGAAAGAGTTTATATAATTTATATTAAAAATAAAAAATATAAATTAAACAATCATTTCTAAACGAAAGAAATAAAATATGCCATGCGAAAACCGCACCCCGAATAGCCAAAGAATACGCACCTTGAACTTGTAACCAAAAAATAAATCGTTAGGTGTAAATTGTATATGCATCATTTCATCTTTTTTTTTCATTTAATTTATTTTTCTCCTCCCATGTCATGATATATCATATAATTTGATATTTTTTTCTTTTTGCCCCAATAAGGAGTAAAGTTTGTTAAATTATTGAATTATTGAAACTGCATGATGAACTATAATGCATGCATGTGTAATATGGCTAATTATGAAGAGAATATAAAATTATAAAAGCAATCGTGTATCCGTGTGCAATAAATACAGAATTAGATATGCACTTTGGTTTTGGAGGAAAACACCTAGATATCGATCCAAGTTTCCACTTCAAATAAATCTTTCATTCATTTGGTGAAAAAATCACATAATGCAGATGTGTGGTCCAAAAGTATCAACCTGATCGATCGATAGATATATCGATCGGGCCAAAGGATATATACATACATTAGTTCAAGGAATTAGCATCGCGGAACGTAACATCAACTTGAATATTGGGATTAATTCATGAGATGTAAACAGCTGTGTTTGTAATGATATGTGCTAGCTAAGCTTCTGGATATTGTTGAGGAAAAATTCATGGTTGAAGATCAAGGATTTAAGCAGGGACGTTTGGTAATGTATCCAAGTCTTTTATAATAGATAGTGACCTTTGAGGATTGAACATGGAAGTGGTTATAGAGAAAGGAATAGACCTTTCATTTTTACGTCGAATTACTACTTGATTGATTGATTGAGACAATGCAAAACAAACTTCATTATGATGGTGGGTGGATTGTTTCTAGTTTCTACATGAACACTTTACTTTTCTTTCTTTTGCCGAAGCCCACATCATCGACCTAAGATTTTACAAACCCATTCTTTTCAAGAGTTTACTCAGCCCAATGCCAAAAGTAGTAGCAAGTTGAACAGTTATCTTCGTGACTTCTCTTTCCATCAACCATATCGGTTTTTTTTTTTTTTTTATATACTGAGGAAGCGTAACGTTTAGTTTACAAGAAGGCTCTGTGAGAAAGAGTCAAACAGTTCAAATGTAGCTTATCTAGTACTAATGTAGGAGGTGTTGTCAAAATATATAACCCGAAGGCAGAGTAGCCCATTTTAGCTAACGAATCTGCTACTTCGTTACCATTTCGCTCGATGTGTAGAATTTCTACTGTCCAATGTCGGTTAAGCACGAGAAGTATTCTGCTTAGGACATTGCTAGGGTGGTCTGGGCTTGTTTCCTCCTGGAGGGGTTTGGCTACTACTGAGCTGTCCATTTGCAATTGGACCTTGCGGAGCCCAGTTGCCAAACGATTTGAAGTCCAAAAAAGACTCCCCAGAATTCCGCTTCAAGACTAGAACGTTCACCTATGTTTTCAGTGTAGCCCGATATCCATCCTCCGTCGTGATTCCGTAAGACACCGCTGGCGGCTGATTTCCTGGTAATCAGGTTGGATGCTCCATCGGTGTTGATGCGGATCCATTCCCACGGCGGCGGTCATCAACCATATCATTGCATCATCCCAGGCTTGCTTTTAGAATCGTAGCCCAACATCTTTCCATTCTTGTATTGGGAGATGTTCCAAACTGGAATTGGAGATGGTGCTACCTGCACTAAAACAAGATATTGTCTCTAATGTAATTACGTAACTCGTTATTGTTGATTAGCTAATTTTTAGTTTTTATCTAGTTTTTCATAACTCTGTACCCGTCTATACAAACGAAGAAACACGTGAACAATAACAAACCATGATGCAATCCGATTAACTGGATTAAAAGCCAAGCCGAGGAGAACCATCCCTCACACAAGAAACTATGCCCTCCATTCTATTATTTTAAATACTTTTTTTTTGGAAGGTTATTTTTAATAATTCATGTCTTTGTATTATTTAATTTGACGAAGTGAATCATTAAAATGTGACGGAAAAAAAAAGTAAAAAGAATAAACTCAACCTCGTTTCATGAATGCATGCATGAGAACAAAAAAATATAGGGCTTGTTTGGACAAGTTTTGTTTTGCCTTTTTGTCTTATTTTACCTCTTAAAACACTCTCAAACAGAAAACCTAATACTATCCAAACAACTTTTTAATTTATTTTTTAAAATTTATTTTAAACATTATTTTTACACAATTTTCATTCACAACCAATGGACCACCTCTGCGGTTGGCGGTCTGGCGGCGGCACCAATGGTAGAGGTGGTCTAGTGGTGATCTAAAAATATTATTATTTTATTTAAAATATTACGTAAACAACTTTTTAAATTTTATCTCAAACTACATTTTAAATCACATTTCAAACTCAAATAATACTCCTTATGTCCCAAAATTATTATCCAATTTGAGATCTCACTTTTAGTACAATTTCAACTAAAAATGAAAATTAAAACTGGACAATAATTATGAGATGGAGGGAGTAAAAAACTAAAACAAAAACTAAAACAAAATGTTGAAAATGTTGGTCGCCGGATAATCTTAATTCCTTCGAATTTCATTATCATACTTTTTCCGGGATAAATAAGATGTACGTCGGTCGCCGGTCGGTGATGCATCTTCACTTGTTCTAGCTATCGATGTTTTCCCGATCCTTCATTCTGTAAAGAAGATCACCATGCGTGTTCTTACATTAATATTTCACCATAGTCGGGTTGTAGACCTACTTACTACCATGAAAATATGTAAAAGTAAAGAATTTGCTAAAAAAAAAAAACTTGTAGCAACTACTTAAAATGATTAAGGACCTTTTTTATCTATAAATTGTTTATATTTAACTACATTATGAAAAGGATATTATATGATGCATGGCCCGGAGTGGGGATCGCTATTATCAATTATTGGTTATTTCAAATTTCAACCTCAACTTTTAAAAGCAATCACTTGTCATATCGAAAGCCATGGAATATGAAAAATGTTGGAAAATATTGTGAAATGAATCACCAAAGTGCGAAAGGGAAGAGGCTTCATAATAAGCCATTAAATTCATGGTCCACGCTGCCCCCCTTTTATGTCTGCGTTACATCCATGGCTTGCTTCATCAAATAAAACATGTACTTTTCAATTTAAAAACATAGTTCTGAAACTACATAGATAATCGGTGAAACCAGCGTATTGGAAGAGAGTTGAGTTGTATCTTATAAGGGGCCAAGCTAAACCTTACAGTGGGTCAAGATTTTCAAAATTTGTAATTTAATATATTTGCCCCTTAACATTTACAATTTAGATAAGGTAAAAACTATATTTTTTAAAAAAGATCTTAAATTTTAAGGGGGTATTAGCCAAAAAAAAAAAAAAACAGCTGGGGCTATTGTATGTAGCTCTGCCTTGATCTTATATCCAGTATTGTTTATTAAATGTGCATGATTCTTATTTGAAATAAATACATTACGAAAGATATAAAATCTTCACGAAGATATACTTTGATCTTTAATTAAAAAATTCCAACTAATAGTTAATATTATGATCAAGTAATATAGTATAAGTATTTGAAGTTACAGTAAAGAAGTTAGGTTATAAATGAACGAAATGTTTTCTTTAAAAAAAGGATTTCCCCTGGTCAAAATAGTATTCCACATTTCCACATAGCTATAACATGGAGCTCAACCTTCCGATGATACGAGTCTTAATTGATGGAAACTCCCAAGTTATTCAACTTAATTGTATTATGAGTAATGATTGGTAAAGGAAAAAATGTCAAGGAAAAATGACAAGGAAATGATCTTATCCATCCATTATTAAAACTTTTGAAACAGGGTTTATGCATTTAAGTTAGTGCATAGTTAAGATCTAGACACATCATTTCTTATTATTTTTCCTTATCATTTTTTCTTATATCTATCACTACTTTTGTATTATGTACTATACTTGTTGCAAATTTATTTGCTCTATATGGTGCAAACAAACTAATTAATAGAGTTCTTACTTAGATGAGAAATTAGGATGTGGTTATATTAATCAACCATAATAGATACACACAAATATGTCCTAGGACATCCCTAAATCGTTACATTTAACGAAAATTTTGCGTATCAAGTTTTTTTTTTTTACTTTGTTTTCTTTTTTTTGGTTGAAACAATCATTCTTAATTCTTTTCCTTTTTTTTTTTTTGGAAACAATATTCTGAAAAATTAGGTTAGAGAGATGCCCTTATAAGGAGTTGCAATTATCGTCTTTTTGGAAGTGAAAGAAAGCGAATGGAGAGACCTAATTAAATTCTAACGGGCCTACTTACGGACTAAATGTGCTCTGGGCATTGTACTCCTCTAAAGGTCATTTGAAAATCTTAATGATCATGATTTCGAGCTCTAAATTTAATAAGTAAATGATTTCAAGCTGCATTATTGACCAGATCGTATATTGTATTGATGCATGCATCATGATGATTATGCATTATGGAGAATAAAAACAATGTGAGGAAAACAAATATTCAGTTCATCAGTTATTCGAATACATGATACACGGTGACGGAAAGTAAATAATATAGTACGTAAAGAGTTGTATATATCGCAATGCGTTTATCTCTTGAGTAATTTAATCGTATTATTTTACTAAGAAGAATTGATATAGATTATATATTCTCAGGTCACACAATTTATTTCAATCGATCAAGATGTGTGTTTGCACCGAAAAGTATATATAACACGATGCTTCGAATAATGCTATCATTGCGCTATCTTTTGGTTCAATGGCTGCACAACAACACAGTTGTAATCCATAGAACTTAATCACTAATTTAATACATCATTCCTAGTTAATAATGTTCATTATTGTAGGACCTAAATTCACTTAAATGTAATGATGAACAACCATTTCTAAAAGCAAGAAATTAAATCTATGGCTGGAAAGCAACACGGAGTTATTAACTTATTTTAACATGATTTGGGGATATTAAACAATGCTCATCCATTTTGAATGTGCAAAGGAAGAGACTTGTAATTATGCTTCCTTTCCATTTGGTGGGTTTGGTGAACTGGTAATTAATTATGATTGTTTAATTGCTTACGAAAAAGGTTAATCAACTTTATAAATAAGATAAGAAGATAGAATAAGAACTAAAAATATTGTTCTCGCTTGGCCTTCGTAACAAAGTTAAGAATAGAAATTAAACAGAATGCCTGCATAATGTTATCTTTAAGCATGGAATGGACTTATACCCCTTCTTTTGCATAATTTAATAGCAGGTGTAAGAAAATAATTACTGCGAAATGTGACTTTTCTTTGGGGCAAAAAATAAAATTCTAGAACAGGATATTTGCTAAGTACCACTCCTTCCATCGCAAAACTATTGGCCGATTTGAAGTTTTATTTTAAATTCAAATTGAACTAAAGATAAAAATTCAAATTGAACAATAATTTTGGAATGGAGGGAGTAATAGAAAAAGTTCACAATTCGGAAATTATTGCTCAGTTTGTATTTTCATTTTTAGTACAAATTTAAACTAAAAGTGAAAATTTAAATTGAACAATAATTTTTCATGTGTTTCATGTGATATAATTCTAGTACTTCCTTCGTCTCGAAATTATTGTCCTTTTTATTTTTAGTGCAAATCTAAACTAAAAGTCAAAATTTAAACTGGACAGTAATTTTTCATGTGTTTCACGTGATACAATTCTAAAATATACTTGACCGGCATTTTGACCGCCGGAACCGGCCATGGTTGTGCTGCCGCTATAACTAACGGTGATGAATATTGATGGTTGGGCAACAATGTTTTTGTCCCAAGGCTTTTTATAATTCAATCTCAGATATATTAAAAACAACTTAAACAAAACAACATAATATAAATAAAAACGATAATCCATACTAGCTAGATTTATTTATTTTTTTTCAATTGTTCTTTTTCTTTCTGTTTTCCCCTTCCTTAGGAACGGATATACTCTACTCTCTTTCTCCCTTCGATTGTACTGAGTTTTTTCTTGTTTTCTTTTAAGTGAAACTGAAATTTCTAAAAGAAAAATATATAAAGATGAAACTCCACTTGAAATTATTTTTGTTTGGTAACAGCGTACTAGGTTGTCTTTGACCTTTCCAATTGTACACTGATCACGACCATTAACCTACGCCAAGACATTTGGAAATCATGCTTTTATTTCAATAGCTTTACATTTCTTCAAAAGCAACACATTGATCCAAAGTCTTTGTTAAGGCCGTGACATTATCTAAGAATAGTTGTTCCGAGGCGTTCTGATCCATAGCAAACATGAGTAAGTTTGCTATGGAAAAATGTTGCGACTGCGCGCGGGCAGGTTTGATGCACAGAGCAATAGGAGTTTCATCGCACCAATAAGGCAATAACTACTCTGTCAATGGCTTAGTATAGAAACAATAACTACACGTCCCACCTAATAAGCAATAGTTTTGGAGGTAATGTGAAATTGTGAATATTACAATAACGAATCAACATCTATATATTTGCGAACTTTTAAAATAGATTTTTAAAGATACGAGGAAGTATGTGTAATCAATTGACCCACATTAGTGGATTAGGACTTGAGGAGTGTTTGTAAATTATTTACCTTAAAATAATACTCCCTCTGTCCCATAATTATTGCTCAGTTTGAATTTTCATTTTTAGTTCAAATTGTACTAAAAGTGAAATATCAAACTAGACAATAATTTTGGAACAGATCGAGAATTTAATAAATTGTAGCTTGGACTCTTGGAGATTTGCATGGGGGGTGCTACTTCAGTGATAATTATTTGGGTAAATTAATGGAGCTAAATCGAAGTACAAGCAATTGATGAAACCAAAAGAGTGAAGACAAAGTTTGGATTTTTCATATCTTACAAGGCTGAAGACATTTTAGGGGATGGAGGGAGTTCAAATCTATGAACAAACATCACCAAAATTTGTACAACGTAACAACATTTTGAACATCCCTCCTATTAATTTCACAAATATCAAGACGACAACAACATTGCAAGATTATTGGTTGCCGCGGCGGCGACGGCGGTGGACGGACGGCGGTGCTACTAATTTAATTTTAACTGATGGCGGTGGTGCTGGCACTCAAGAGGGGTGGCAGGAAACCTAGCAGTGTCAGAGCAGTAATCATAGATCATATGGTTAGCCCTAACCCAAATCAGCTGGTGGTTCTGGTGCAGATTGAGTTCTCCCAAGGTGGGTTCATCCCACCAGTATTTCTTCTCATTGCTGCTGCTGCATTTTTTAACATTATCCGAAGCTGCCAATGTTGCTGGGCACTCACAAGCATCAATCTGAAATCCTTTGTAAGAGGCTATAAATGGTGCATGGCTCCAATCAGTCTTGACCCTACCACCTTGTGTTGCCCAATCATCTGCATTCCATATGGAACTATACACTCCCATTGCCTGATCCTTGGGAAATGGTATTCCTATGTGCTCCAGGTTAGAATGTACTCTCACTGGTGTATCATCCACCAAGAATCTGCAAAATTAAAAGGATTGCCCATAACATCAAAATATTGTCCGGTTTTCGCTAATGATACACGATCAATATTGATAGGGAGGGAGCTTACACAACTTGGCGAGGATGCCAATAAATGGAGTAATTATGGAAGTCCTTAGAGGGATCAAACCAGAGGTTTAGTCTTTGCTCTCTGTTTCCAACTCCATTGACATACACATTAGTCTGGACAACATAAGGTTCACCAGTAGAGTTGCCAAGGAACTCGAAATCGAATTCATTGTGGGTTGGGCCATCAGATGACATCTGCATTCATACATGAAAAACATGGTAAGAACAAAAATGCGATTTTTATAACAATAATTGAACCAAATCCACCCCAATTATTTAAGTCACCAACGTTTGATCAAAACAAAGTAGTAATAAAATATGATCGAAGTCAACCTTAATGGAAACTGGTAAGCAATGAAATAGTAAGTAAAAAAAGAAGGCAAATGTTATTTCACCAATAAAGGCAATGATGACTTTTTGTGCTAGTGAGCTGAGAATCTTTTTCAGTACCATACTATTCATTATTAGACGGAATAATTGGACCCAGAAAAAAAAAAAAAAGAAAGTGGGTGAACACTCATATATGGAGGGCACTGCAGCAATAATTCAGGTTCCTAGATGATCAAGTTCACGAGATAAAAGGGAAATAGACCAGTAAGACATGTAAATATTTCCTTCATCCAACAGATTTCCCACTAGTTAATTGACTGAATTGTATTCTGACCCTGGTAAAAACCCAACATGCATGAATAACGCATTCAATGAATTCTGGAATCACCCAACAATAAGTTATTGTAAGTACCGAGTTCTTCAATGACAGAGCATTCGAATAGGGAAACAATGAAATTAACTCACATAGAAAGCGGTGACAGTTCCAGCAGAGTCACCCTCCACAAGCTTAATCTGAACCGTGACTTTTCCAAACATGTATTTGCTCTTCGATTGAAATCCAGCGCCTGAAAGATGAAACCATAAACAAAAATCCCATAATGAGTACCGTAGAAAGGGCAGAAAAAGGAGCAGCATTATGACATTGTGCATTAGAGCAGCGATTATTAACTGCCCAAAAAAGTGGGAATTCATTAAAAATCCGTCTTAAAACCTGAGGTTTATGCGTACCAGAAGTATAATCCAGTTTCATTTTGAGAACATCGTCGCCTTCATAAATAAAATGGTCAGAAGCAAAAGTGGGCTGAAACAGTTCATCAAATTTCGGTGTCGATTGAACCATTCCCGCCATGGATGACAAGGCAAAACATAAACCCATCAAAACCCAGAAGTTTCGAACAGAGATTACTCCATTTGAAGAAGCCATTGGTAGATTCATTACAAAGAAAATCGAGAGAAAAAAAAAATGAAACAAGAACAGAGAGAAACAGAGCGCTATCCAAAAGCTCTCAGTGTGTGAGTGAGAGGGTGAGGGCCACTCTAAACATTATGGTGGTTTTTATAGGGAGGGTTCAAGCTAGCGAGGATGCCACGTAGGAGGAATGGTGTACACGTCAGATCACCGGGCTCAAAAGAATATTGTAGCCGTTGGGGGGTGAGGAATTTGGGTCGACTCGATTCGGTTCGGGTGATGGAAACTGGTCCCTAATTGGGTGGGGGCAAACTGCAAAGCAAAGGGCAATGAAAGGGGAGGAGAAGTCGCTATCGGAAAAGAAAGGAGGGTACAGATACGACCCAATCAGGGGATGCCACGAGGTATGATACAGCTGGTCACTTTGCAGTCCAGTTGTCAATGACCAGTTTCAGTTTAAAGAGGGATCAGGAAAGAGTGCCCCCCATTTCTCTCTTTTCATTTTGCATTTCGAATTTTGTGGTATTTATGTGATTTGTGGGAGCAGATATTTTGTTTAGTAGTACTATCAAAAGCAGTAGAAACCCAAAATAGGAAGAGAAATATGGTTTAGTTTTGCGCATAGAGTTGCAGACCTAAACCAACACCAAACACACACTATTGAAATCGATAGTCACTTCAGATGATTTTCACAAACTGTTTTAAAGATATTCCTTTCATTTTAAATAAGAATAATTGCTAAAAATAAAGAAATGTTGAAATAATAATATCTAATACGGTTTCGGTTCCAAATAATATGTTAAAATTACGTTAGACTCTCGTCTCAAAATAACAATACGTGGAGTGATTCAAAGAAACTATAAATAAGTGCCAGATCTTTCGCAATAAAATGTGAAATTCGGTATTTCAGCATAAAACATTTTTTTTTTTGAGACCGATGAAATTGTCTGCATCATATTTTTTTACTGAATCAGGGTGTAGCTTGTTTTGAAATTGTTTTTTAGGATTCATCAAACTTGTGGGAGAAGACAAGAACAGAAGTATACCAAGAGTACAGTGATAGATGTGGGCAGCAGGGGACCCATGGAATGATCAAATGATATGGAGGCAATATCATCACTTTTACCCTTGTTTCTTTTTTTTTTTTTTACTTTGTGCTGACGGCAATCATATTTGCCAACTGGACTGTGCGCCCAGCTAGCTACTTGAATAATGAATCCCCCCTCTATAACTCTATTCAAATTGTGTCTTTTGTACGTTATGGTAGTGAATTGAATTCACCCCCTATTTATTATTTAATCCGTGATAAATATTCATTGTTTGTATTATCTTTCTTTTTTGTTTATTTTTCTTTGGTGGTTTTGGAGCCTAGAAATGTGTGCCAAATAAAGGGTTTTTAACTACTTCCCTTTTAATTTTCTGGTGACATGAATGATTTCTGTAAGTGATATGACTTGCTTTGTCATGTTAATTTTGCTCAATTATTGAGGGGGTAATTTTGGATTTAGCTTAAGTTCTTGGGATTTTGGATTTAAATTGAAGCAAAAATATAAAAAAAAAAATTTCAAAACTTATCAATAAATCAGAGCATTCGTACAAGGGAAAAGAATACAAAGCGTTCTCATTTTCTGACCTGTTTACACTTCATTCAACAGCCTAGTAAATCAGACTAAAATGCCTGACATATACTACCTCCTATTTTTATTTGTTTTAGGGTTGCACAACTATTAAAAGAACAATGATTGAGAATTTAATTTATAAAAGTATTGTTTTTCTTACTCCTAATCAAAAGTATTGAAACTCTAAAAAATTTGAAATTGAAGTTAAAGAGTAGGTAGTTGTTATTAATATATGTTATTCCCTCCATTCCAAAATAAATGTAGTCTTGACAAAATGAAAAAATTTCAAAATAAGTGTCACTTTCGGATTCTAATGCATTTTCTGTCAAAAATTCCCAAACATACCCTCAAAAGAAATGGGATTTTAATGGGATTGGTTGAGGATATTTTAGTAATTTAGTTACTTTATTTAATGTTTTCTTAAATTATGTACAATTCTAGAATGACACTTGTTTTGGAGCGGAAAGAGTATTAAAAATAGGAGAGATAAGGGTAAAATTGAAAAAAAATAATATTTAATGTAGCATTAGAAATAAAGTGCGACAGATAAAAAAAAAACACTATAAGTTCACCGTAAAATGAAAGATGAAAAACAAATGGAGGTATTACAAACCAATAGGCTTATAAATTACCTTAGCCTAATGGTTTTAGATGTATAAGGCTCTGTTTGTTTCCTTTTTCTCATGATTTTTTCAGAGTAATATAATAATATCTGTCCAATCTCAGTTACTTTTTTACATTTTCAATACATCTTTTTATATTTTCAATACAAAAAATACTTAAAAACACACACTAAAAAAACAAAACAAACATACCCTAAGTTACATTCAAAACCTCAAAAAGTTAATGAAATTTTACAATGTAAATCAAGTACCACACATGGCAAATGAAATTGTGCAATGTAGATCATCACATATGGCAAGGATATTGTCGTAAAAATTATTCTTCTCATTTTAGAAAAATAGTTGAACTATAACCGTATAATAATATATATTATTCTTCTCATTTTAAAAAGGTCTTCATTTTTTTAATTTTTTTTTAAAAAACTGATAGGTTATTAGTCATCTCTAGAACAAGTTGCTTTGAAAGAATCATAAGGAAAAAAATTTTACAATAAAATCAAAAGGTCCTCGTGAAGTGAGTACATATATATTTATTGATTGATGGATTGGGGGGACATGTCTCATCAGAATGACGTCTCTAATCTTTTCTTACAAGTTCCCTCCTCTACTGTTTTGCTTGCATTATTATTGCCGATCATCGCACTTTGTAAAATGTGCCTCTTTATTTTTCTCTATCCATTTCAAAATACAAAGTCTTTTTAGACTTGACTTGACACGTAAACTAAAGAAATAATTATTCAATTAATTTAAATATAAAATATCTATTTTATCACTCATTAATTAAATGAGAACTATAAACAAGACTAAATAAAAATAGATTAGCATTATTTGCTTAGAATTAGTAAAACGACTTACATTTTAAAAAATCTCTCCAAATCTAAAAGGACCTATAAATTAAAATGGATGAAGTACACACTTTTTACCAACACAAGAAAATGTAAATAAATAATTTATTTTTTGAGTTTACACTAATTCCGACATTTGTTTGCGGGTGCAATTGAAAGAATCAAGATGTTTACGTATATGTTCCCGATTAATATAACCTCCTCGGGGCTACTAGGTTGGTTTTATCATAACATTGTAAGGGTTAATAATTGTTCTGGCCGAATTTTTGTAGGAGTATAATTTTCAATTATATGTATATGTATATATGTATAGTATTGCTATAACAAGTCAAAAAAAAAAAAAAGATTTTCTGGATACATTTTCTTTCTCTTCCGGAGTGCAACATACAGTTATAACAAATTTTTCTTGTTGGTGAATATAGCATATAAGTACACACAAAAGATTACATAATGAAATAATAAATAAAGAATGTTAATAAAATTTTTATTTTCAAAATATCAGTCCAAAACAATAAACAACAAAAAGCTTGAGAGACAATCCAAAATACTAAATGCCAGAATTAAGCAAGCTCATGTGAGGCCTTGTCGAAAATTTTTAGGGCATGGGATGACGGCTGTTTGCGAAGGAAAATTTTTAAAAGGTTTCTTGTAAGAAGGGCACTAGTCTTTCGCGACAAGTTGTGCACAGATTCTCATGTAAAACTTATTTCCCAAGCAAAACATAACGAAACCCAAAGCACGGAAACTTTGTAACTACACACTAGTTTCTTTTTGTGTGTAATTCTTCAAAAAACGAGATCACACGGGATGTTACCACTTGTGTTTTATATCGGAGGTCGAAATGTTGATTATAATGCTATGCCTTAATATTTTTTTTATCCTTCGTTTTATGTGATCATCAAGCTATAGTGTCTTCTTTGTTAATTGCAGAATTGGACCATTTATAATATCAGTCAAATTATTGTGTCTTAAGTATATATTCTGAAATGCCTCAACAATCCTCTCATCCTTAACGTTAGTATTCGACTCTGTAATAAGCTAATTAAAGAAAAGGCGGAAAGAAACACGACTCAGAGAAACATATTTGGGTATTTTAAAGCAGGAAAAATTGCTAATCTACCATAACTTTTACATGCGTTGTCAATTCTATCATATTCTTTTTCGATTAGTCAATATTACCCTAAGCTATCCAACCGTTAGCTGATTTTGTCCAATTTGCTTTTTTCTGTTTAAATTAACTAACGGAATTCTATTTGTTTTAGTTACAAAAATACTTTAATAATTTTTAAAATTATAAAAATGACCCTAAAAATTTACAAAAATAACAAAACAGTCTCTTTTCAGTTTTTGTTTAATTTTTTTTGTTTTTTATTTCTTTTTAGTATTTTCATAACTATAAAAATATACTATATGATCTTTAAAAAAAATATATTTATTTTTAAACTCTAATGTACAAATTTATAATTTGATATTTGTAAGTCATGTTTAATTTACATAAACATATTATTTTTTTAATAATATGATTTAATGGTAATGATATTATTTTTTTAATCCATTTTTTTCAATCTAAAGAATAAGATTATTTAACTAAAACTAATTTTGCACAAAAAAATAACACATTTAGCATAGATTAAAAAAGAAGTCATTGGTATACTTTAATGTATTACAATTTAATTCAACAGACTTTAGATTGTATCATAAAATTTAAAAAATAATAAATATAAAATATAAATTTTTCTGTAAAAGGCCAAGTACGAAAAGAAAGTAAAAAAAAAAACACCAATTTTATTTCTACATTGGTCCAACACAAGAATAGAGTGTCATGGCATTTACAAAAATGTTACAAAATATTTTATAAAAAAACATTTATATTTATCATTGCAAGGGTTTAACATTTTGCGATAATTTTTTGAGATATTAATATATCTAACTTTAGCAGAAAATTTTTTTTAAAAAGAAAAAATAATATAAAGAAAATCTATTCCAGTACTGGACTCCACATTTTTTTTTGAAAAAAAGGAAAAATTAGATTGCCCCAGTGAGAATCGAGACATCGAATACAGTAATTTTATCTCACATCGTAAATCACCTGACCATCTAAACCTCTCGCCTTTAGTGGACCCCGCTTAAATATGGATAAAATCACTCTCCCGGTTAGAAATCCTTTG